ATGGCATGGTAAAATGATTTGAGAAGACCATAGAGGAACACCTGACAAAAGTATAGTCGCGCAAAGAACCAGCGAGATTGGGACAAACATATGCCTCTATTTTTAATGGCTTACAGAGCAGCTGATACGAACAACAGGTGAAAGTCCAGCTAGAATCATTTTTGGAGGGGAACTCAGGCTACCTTGCGATCTGATGTTTGGAATACCTGAAGAATATCGAAAAAAAAAATCGAGAATATGCCGACGAAGTGAGGACACGACTTCTGGGGATACATGATTTTGCTCGAGAGCATATCCAGCTAGCCAGTGACCGAATGAAGACCAGATACGGCTTGAAAGCCAAATCAGCCGGATTTCAACAAGGTGATTTGGTGTGGCTGTATAATCCAACAAGAAAGAAAGGAATGTCGCCAAAATTGCCTTCAGCATGGAAAGGACCCTACAGAATAATCAAGAAGATTAATGATTTGGTTTATCGAGTTCAGCGCAACACCAAGAGTGTACAGAATTGGACAGCTGTGATATTCGGGAAAAAGGGCTATCGCGTTTATTCTGGATTTTATAAGAATAGAGTACGGATATATAAAGGTCAGTATTAGTTCGTAGTTTTTAGTTTAAGATTGGCTGTGATATGATTTAGATAGTGAATATTGTAGATAATTAGTGAAGTTATGTAATTATTGGTCACGCACCCCAGAGCCGTGACAATACAGTATAGCAAAACATTAGTTGGTTTAGGACATAGAGTTCAACTGTGTGAAATTTGGGACAAATATTTGTTACGCAAATTTGAAAAAAAGCTAGAGCCATGAATATAGAAGCAAATATGCCAATGTATTTATGGAATGAAGCAGTGATACTTATCTAAATAGACCACCAACTATTAGTCTACTCCAATAGGGATTTTTCATATTTCTCAAATTATTTTTTTTTTAGATACTTCTAGTGATCAGTTATTACATAGTTTACTTTTTTTCCATTTTAATTTATACGTTGTACGAAAAAAAATTTTTTCTACAAACGTCACTAAAAGTGTCATTTTTAACGGATGCTGTCAGTGTCTAAAATGCCATTTTATGACACTGGTGCTAAAAGTGATTACTTTTAGCACTAGTGCTAAAAGTAATCACTTTTAGTGCGTTTCTAGAAAAAATAGTGTATGATATTCGTGCTAAAAGTGATTTTATTTTGTTCAAAGGGATGGAACACTCCGCCTTCGGCGTCGTGTCCCAAACCTCCCTTTTCACAAAATAAAATGTCACTTTTAGCACTTATATCATAAATAACTAATTGAAATTCAAATCAAAAACTTTGGCGCGAAAACACAAAATCTCAATATGACAGCACTTTTTTTTTTTTTTGACTTTGACTAAGCAGTCATTCAGCCAGTTACTAAAGAGATATATATTATTAAAAATAAATACTAAACTAATCTAACCACACATAAGGACAGGGACACTCACTTCACGCCCAGGGACCTGTCAAGGCGACTTGTATTGACAAACAAATAGGCCACGGAAAGGACACATAAGGGAAGCTAAACTAACTATTAAAAATCTATCTATCGATTTATAATTTTAAATTTTACAGCTGTAGATTAGACTCGTGTACAAAGGTCATAATGATATTATTAATACGCGTATCAGATTGAGCTAACAAGTTGAGAATGTTAAAAGGGCTTTGTTTGTTCTTAACTTGGAAAAGGTTTTGAAAAAAGTTTTCTCTTTGTTGTGTGTATTTTAAGCATTGAAAAAACAAATGATTTAAGTCGGAACGAACATAACAGAAGTCACATAGGTCCGAATTGCTTATTTTAATTTTAAAAAGGTGTGCAGGAAAGCACGCATGCCCAAAACGAAGTCTATTGATGGTTGTAATATATTTTCTAGCTACATTCATCTCATCATACCAAGGTTTTGGTAGTAGAGTTGGTTGGATTAGAGCATAATTGGTTTGACAGCACTTGTGACGTTAAAATTTTGTAAACAACAAATACGCAGTTAACAAACTCCTGCTGACGCAGTGCTATTTTTGTGTTATTTAAGTGTGTTAAAGTTTGATTTTTGTGAAAATTGTCGCAATGGATGAAGAATATTGTAAAGGACTGCTTTTGTAAGTTTTTTTTACTTGCAAGTTCCCTATTGACAGATTTGTTTACAGAATCGTGACGTCAAAAAAGGTAGCCATCATGGAAGCATCGTTTTGGCGGGAATTTTTTTATTTCAAATTTAGTATTATTTTTTGTCTAAGAAGGGCGATATCAGTTAAATAAAAACTTGTCATATGAATATTGTGCAGTATAAACTATCGATTTAAAACAAATTTGGAAAATTTTAGTTCACTTGCAAGTTCCCTATTACCTACCCTAAATCAAATAGGACAAATCAAAACAATAAATATTTGATTTGGCCTAATAATTGATAATTGTTGTACAGACGAAAGCTTGAGCGCAAACCAAATATGGATAAAAAAAAATTATATTTGAAAAAAAAAACAGTCTGTAAAGAGTTTATTAAAGAAACAATCAAGTGAATAAATATTGAGACAATATTTTGCTTATATGTTTGTACTTATATAAAATTACATTGAAAAACCACAGAGGTCAGTTCGTCATTGGTTAGATTCAAGATGTAAAAATGGTGATATTTTTCTTTACGTTGGGTTGGTAAGTACAAACTCAATTTCCCTTTGTTGTAACCTTAACCTATTTATACTACTTTCCATGTGTAGGTACTACTTTATCGCTATCCTTGTTCTACCCTTTTATTTCACTTTGTTTCTTTTCCTATTAATTTATTATTAGCCTTTGGCAACACTGAAAAAGACGGGTCACTGTCAAGTCAAGTGTCTTTAGTCTGAAAGAAGCGGGGAAATAAAATGGTGGTTATGGCGATACGTGTGTTTTATTGCAAGTTTATTTAATTATGCTAATTTTATGAAAATTATTAATGATGTGGTGAAAAATATTGAATTACGGGGAAGCCCCAGTGTCTTCACAACTATCTCAGAAGTGGGATACAGGCATTTCTTTCGAAATAAGGCGGATGTCTATGGATTTCGGAAAGCGTGCCTTCCATTAGCCCAAAAAATCATGGATAGGGATCCAGGCCGGATTTAATGCTGGAGCGAATGGTATTCCTGAAGGTCAATTTGATGCTTTTATGATGCAAAACCAAGGGAATGGTTGCCAATACAGATACTACAGCTGGGATAAATAAAAAGCTTATCCCCAAATTTAGAGGCCCCTATAGAATCAAAGCTATTTTAGATAATGACGTATGTTATTGCTGATATCGAGGGTTTCCAAGTGATGCAAATGCCATTTGAAGGTGTTATGGCTGCTTTACAAATGAAGCCTTGGCTTCAACACTAGAGAGAATCTGATTTGACTTATGCCTGGAAAAACCATTTCATATTTAATCCAATTTGACCTATTCCTTAAGTTTCACATTATGAAATTATTTAACTTACTTATGTGTGCTTTATGAATTTATGATTATGTTGTTTTCCTTATAACTTGTTTAAATAATGATATTTATGCTTATGATATTACCATTTATGAAATTATGATGCTTATGTTATTGATATTTATGTTTATGATATTCATGTTTTGAAATTATTATGCTTATGTTTATGATACTTATGAACCTTATGCTTATGATGAATTATGTATTTCTTATTTATGCTTATGCTATTCACATTTATGAAATTATGATGCTTATGTTATTGATATTTATGTTTATGATATTCATGTTTTGAAATTATTATGCTTATGTTATGATACTTATGAACCTTATGCTTATGATGAATTATGTATTTCTTACATTTATGACCTGTTTGTATAAAAATTAGGCAACTGAAATTATTTTGGTGGATATTTTGGAAATTGTAAATTTTATTTTTATACTGTTGACCGAGGTCGGCCAAAGTGTCAGGATAGCCGAACTGTTGTAACCTTAACCTATTTATACTACTTTCCATGTGTAGGTACTACTTTATCGCTATCCTTGTTCTACCCTTTTATTTCACTTTGTTACTTTTCCTTTTCCTACTATTCTTTAGTCTGAAAGAAGCGGGGAAATAAAATGGTGGTTATGGCGAAACGTGTGTTTTATTGCAAGTTTATTTAATTATGTTAATTTTATGAAAATTATTAATGATGTGGTGAAAATTGTTGAATTACGGGGAAGCCCGAGTGTCTTCACAACATCTTCATAGAGATTATTATCTACCAAGATTTCCATTTATTTTAGTGCATATTTGCTTGCATAAGTTTGGCAACATCAAAAGAACTCCCAAGCAATCGCAGCCACAATATTTTCCAAAACGTCGTTCGTACGTTCTACAACTCAAAAGCCATTACCAACGTCATCGAACTCCTTAACAAAAACCACACTCAACAAGCGTCGCAAATGAGAAGCGCAATCGATGGAATCCATAAAATATCTACTAGGGAATTTGCCGCTTCGTTAACCAAGCCGGCGGTTAGTTTTGACAAGTGGACAGTTTATTTTGGGCAAATATTCACCACTTGGGATTCGTTTGTGGAAGGGTTGCGACTTTGGTGGATGAAGCAGACAGTGCAGCTAAAAGTTTCGTTAATGATATGTACACACAAATAACATCTACTTTAAATGAAGTTTATGTTAATGCTATTTCTATAGGAAGTCTTTGTGACGTGTCTGAAAACGATTTGAATAGGATAAACAGATCTTTGAGTGTGACCAGTCAGTTTTTCAACTTGATTATTTCAGCTATTTCCTTGTTGATCATATATGTTGTTATATTAGGCGGGGCGCTCACCGAAATAACGTGGCTTATGAAGTGGAGTGTGATCTAGCAAGTGGCATACCCCTCATTACGTGCCAGTAAATGCATGTTACTTGCCTTATCACTTCAGTGGGCTCTTGCTTATTTGTGTATGTTCGCTTGATTTAATGTAGCATACTACTTGCTAGATCACACGCCACATCATCACCAACTCAATTTGAAGGTAGCTTTTGAGTAATTTTAAAATAAAAGAACAACAAAAATTTAAATATGTCTTTTATTTTGTACTAATCTATATCATCCCAAACTTATCTACAACAAAGTGCCAACAAGAATAACCAAAACAATAGGAATTAAGAATCCTGCATTATTAAATAAAATTTTAACTAAAACTTTCAATACACCACCAACTATTGACACTACCCCATTAATTGCTCCGGTTAAAATTGATCTGGTTCCAATATCTCCTCTGAAATTAACCAAAGCAGAATCAGCTTCTTCAACATCACGTCGTTTTCTTGAAGAAGACGTACAAATACTACCAAAAACTGATTCAACCAATTGATTAATCAGTTCAATAGCTTTTTGCAATGCATTTAAAACCACATTTAAAACGGTTCCAATAACTTGTGAAATAGCATTATTACCAGCACCGATATCAATTGATTTAAGATTATTCAAAACAGTACTTAAAGCGCTGTTCAGTTGACTGTGTAATGATGTCACTGTGTTACAACCCGTTTGAAAAATATTGCCAAATATTGAAGCTCTAGATTGTACGATATTTTTACCAAATTGTGTAACTGGTACTTTAATTAAACTAACTTCACTTTGATCAATATTTGCTTGAACAAATCCATTCTTAACTGTCAGTAGGTTGAAGCCAATGCCTCGATTGAATGCTTCTAGGACTTCAGGGACTTCAGGATTGGATTTTGTGTTGAAAAGTTCAACAATGTTGACAATGCCTGGCGATTTCAATATGGAATTTTCAATTTCTTGTCGGATATTTAAATCTTTTGTAAGTCTGGCTGGAGTGGCTACTGTGACACATAGAAGAGCGACCTGAAATTGAGTTTTTAAATTGATTTTTTTATTTGAATCTTAGGCTCACCAGAGTTATTATTTTAGCCATCTTTAGGCACCAACAGCACAAATAACACTTGGCAAATTTGGTAATTGATGCAATATAAATAACTGTTTTATAATTTTTGTATGTGTATTTATTTATTTAGGGTTCTATACTACAATGGGTTAAGGGATTAGGTGAGGAAGAAGTTTGTTTGCATTATAATAATGTGACGAATTTAGTGATAGTTGTTTTTATTCAGATACATAAATACAATGATACACTATTTGTAGCCTTTGGGTCCTTATTTATTTAAAAAGCAAAATACCCAAATCGTAATTTTGTGACGCCATCCACATCATTGTCAAGGTCATAATATTATTGTTTTGTATAAAGAGGTAAAGTTTGAAGGATGGCGTCTCAATTTTTGCTAAAAAATAGTATATTTCCTAACAAGTGTGCAGAGTAAGTCTTGTTCACACGGTGGCTGTAGTTGAATGAACGAAACTCGAAGTCCAAGTTACAAAATACAAAAATCTGATTATTTATGCATTTTCATTCGTTGAAGGTAGTTTTTCATATTTCAATGGGATTTTGCAAGGGATTTTGCATGGGGGTTGGAAATGGTGTTAAAATAGTACCCTATTAATTTCATGGCTAAACTTAAAGTCCAAGTATGAAAAAAGTATGAAAATCTCAATATTTATGCATTTTTTTACAGTGTGTCCGCAGCATATGGGAAACTTTTTTATTATTAATTTTACGAAAAAAAGTTAAGTATTGTTTATAAAAGTTTCTGCTTCTTGAAAAAATAGTATTAAACTATTAAAACTTGAAATAGCATGTACAGGGTGGTCAGAAAATAGAAAAATATACAGGATGTTTTGGTAAAAGTAGATGAAAAATGGCACGTCACTTTTTTTTAAACCTTTGATATTTTTTTCAGATTGAGCAAGTCATATTACAGTCAAAAGAAACCTTTTGTTATCACAAATAAACCTGCCAAAAAAATTGGAATAGGGATTTTTGGGGTGAAAAAACGATTTTTTCTAAAACTTTGACACCCTGTATCTCAGAAACTACGCATTTCCGGACACATGTTCATGGGAACTTTTTTTTTCTAAAATATTGTAAGGAATCACATTCTGAAGTAATGAACCGTACTCAGGAAACACCCTCTGTATATTTCTCTAATTTCTGACCACCCTGTATATGCTATTTCAAGTTTCAAAAGTTTAATATTATTTTTTCAAGAAGCAGAAACTTTTATAAAGAATAACTTTTTTTCGTAAAATTGATAATAAAAAGTTTCCCATGTGCTGCGAACTTAAGTAGACACACTGTATGTTAAGGGTAGTTTTTCATATTTCTGTGGGGTTAGAGTAAATGGGATTATTTATGGGGGTTGGAGATGGTGTTAAAATAGTACCCCATTGATTTCATGGCTAGACTCGAAGTCCATGTACGAAAAGAATACGAAAATGTCGATATTTATGCATTTTTATTTGTTAAGGGTAATTTTTCATATTCCTAAGGGGTTTGAGTCAATGGGATGTTTCATGGGGGTTGGAAATGGTGTTAAAATAGTACCCTATTAATTTCATGGCTAGACTTGAAGTCCAAGTTAGAAAAAAAATAACAATATCTGAATATTTAAGCATTTTTAGTTGTTATGGGTAGTTTTTCATATTTCTACAGGGTTTGAGTCAATGGGATTTTGCATGAGGGTTGGAAATGATGCTAAAATAGTATGTACTCTGTCAATTTCATGGCTAGGCTCGAAGTTCAAATAAAAAACAGCAAATATTGAAAATACAAATATTGTGCTTTAGTTCAAATTTTCTGGGTTTTTAAACAATATACATATGCAAGACAGGTCTAATATTAACCGAGATATTAACAAATATTATTCATTCTCAAATAAATATCCAGATATTTTTAATATATAAGCGAGTGACTGAAAACACAAAAAGCAAAAAACAAGCCAACCTACAAAAATGTTGAAAATACCAGTAGTTTTTCTCATGGTAAAGTACCTACATTACAGTTTTATTTTAATAATTATGATTAAACATTTTTTAGGTCACTTTTTGCCTAACTCAGGCAATAGATGCCTCAAATATAATCTCCAAAGATGAATTATTGGATAAAAATATCGACGTCCAAGACAAATTAGATGTTGATTTATTGCTTCACAAAAGCCCTACTGCTAAAGTCGAAGAAGTATTGGATTCCTTCAACAATGGCCTAAAACATGAACTTCTAAAAATCAATGGCAACTTCGTCGAGATCAATGCTAATGTCCTAAGGGAAGTTTTCACTGAAAACATCAAGAAGCTTTATAAAACCGTATATCATGAGGATGTTTTGTTGCAAAATATGAAGAAAAAAATCGACTTGAATAAAGTTGAAAGTAAAATTTCAGCTTCCGAATTCAGAAATAGTGGCCTACAAAGAAGTTATTGCCAAGATGTTAAAAATGATGCCCAAGCACTTTTGGTTGATTTTTGGCAGGAATGTTACAATATCATAAACGATCCTAGCAGATTCAAAGTTACTAATAGATTCGATTTTTTTGTAGAAATTATGAAAATTAGCTTACAAATCATTATACAATCAGGTACAAGGGTTGTGGAAAATATCACGTGTGATAGCAGAAAACGTCGTGCCATTTCAGATAATTAAATTCGGGGTTTGCTAAATAGTTGGGAAGAAATATTTTTGAATTATTGGGTTTCGTTGTAAATTATTTTTGCATTTTTATGACATAGTTTACTGTATAATTTTCAGTTATTTTTGGTTATTTGATGTGTAAAATTATTCTTATCTTGCTTTGTAAAGTAAAAGTTTATTGAAAATAAAGAGTCATTTGTAACTTTGTAGTTTTAATGAGAGAATGTCTCGGAGAATGTATATTGGAAAACAAACAAAGCTTTTTGAGCCAGTGTTGAAATTTCAACATGTTTTGTTAATTTGAATAATTTCTGGAGTTTTCCCACACAAATTACCTATTTGAACTTCAAGTTCCAGCAATTTGGAGCCTCATTTGATAGTCTGAATTTAACTCTAATTGCGTAACTCTAAATTTAAGTTTTCTTTTATTCATTCTAGGTAGATGTCATTCTACGAGCAAACGAATACAATCACGAATTCAAAGAAGGTTCAGTGAAATCGTATGATTCAAACCAGCTAGCGTCCAACAATCCCATCGAAGATACCCGATCAGAAGCTTCGTGTCTTCTTACGACAGGTAAGTCTGAGGCCTAACGATGGCTCTATAGTTTTTAGTCTTGAAAATCTTCCTTCCAAAATGGTAAAATTTCAATTTTTTTTGTGTGGAGATTTCAACTTCAGATGATCAATTGGGACCTCATCAGAAACTCCATACAGTGATTGATTGTGGGATTCGAAGCCGAATTGATAAATTCAAAAATTCACCCTAAATTCCTTAACGCGATTTTTTCTGCGGAATTTTTATGGAATTTCAGTGAATTTTGAGAATACGTAATTCTGGATAAATTGCATGGAATTCCGAAGAATTACATGAAATTGCTTCGGAATTCCCAAGAAATTGCATGAAATGTTGGTGAAATTCCGAGGAATTCCGTAGAATTACACAAAATTTTGAGTATTTTCCTAAAATTTTTGCGAGTATTTTCCTAAAATTTTCAGAGAAATTTTGAGAAAGAAACCTTATGAGAGCTGGCCCTCAGGGGAATCTCATGAAATTATGCATAGTGATAGTTCTTGACCTATAGATTAAAAGTGTCCATTGGAAAAAAGTTCTAAAAATTCGCTTTTTTTGAGTTACAGTCGTTTAAAGTTGCTTCATATGTGAAATTGCTAAAACCTTATGCAGTTTTTTCGGTTACTTCGTGAATTTTAGAACGACATATGCATAGTATAATACGTTTAAAATTATTCGATTCCAGAAATGACGATTTTTAAACCACGTCTATGGTTTAACAAGAAATTTAAGTTTCTGTTAAATTACAGGGAATTTCAAAGAATTACATGAAATTTCAGTTGAATTCCATGGAGTTCTTGTGAAATTGCATGGAATTTCAAGGAATTCTCAGGGAATTACATAAAATTTTAGTGGAATTTCGAGCAATTCCTTGTCGTTTTATATGCAATTTCAGTGAAATTCCGAAAAATCGCAATGTAATTACATGAGGTTTTATATTTGTATTCCGAAGAATTTCCGGTTAAAAACCGAAAATATCCCATGGCATTACATGAAATTTTAGTGAAATTCCGGAATTTTTCATAAAATTAAAGTGGAATTCCGATCAATTCTCGTCGATTTACATGAAATTTTAGTAAGATTCCGAAAAATGTCCGTAATTACATGAAGTTCTATTAGAATGTTTAGAAATTTTCGGCTAAAAACATGGAATTTTAGTGAAATTCCCTCGGAAATTCCGAAAAAATCCCATACCATTATGTTAAACTTTAGACAAATTCCATAAAATTCAAGTGGAAATCCAAGCAATTCCCATCCGTTTACATGTTATTTCAGTGAAATTCCAATGTAATCACATAAAGTTTTATTGAAATTTCGAAGCCCGTTAAAAACATTCGGGAAATTTTCATAAAATTCAAGTGAAACTCTGACAATTTCCTTCCATTTACCTACATGTTATTTCAGTGAAATTCCAACCTAATTATATAAAATTTTATTGGAATTTCGAAGCATTCCCCGTTAAAAACATGAAATTTTAGTAAAATTCCGAAAAATTTACATGGAATTGAATAAAATTTTAGTGAAATTCCGGTAATTTTCATAAAATTTTAGTGAAACTCCAAGCAATTCTCGTCGATCCACATAAAATTTTAGTAAAATTCCGAAAAATGTCCGTAATTACATGAAGTTCCAATGGAATTTTGAGGAATTTTCTGAAAAAATTTCATGGAATTACATGAAATTCTAGTGGAATTCCAAGGAATTCCCACCTAATTACATGGAATTCCAGTAGAATTCCCATGAAATTTTAGTGAAATTTTAAGGACAATGTGTCGAATTCAGGTATTGCGTGGAATTTTATGTTGAAATTTCGAGGTATTTATGGCCATTTTCATCAACTATTTTAGGGGCGCCCTAACGATAGGTATGCCCTAAACTGACATTTCTCCATGTAAAAATGTCATTTTAGGGAATAATTATCGTTAGGGCTCCCCTAAAATAGTTGGTGGAAACGGCCTTTAATAAAATCTCAAAGTGGAATTTCGAGGAATTCTCGTGGAATTACATGAAATTTCAGTGACATTTTGAGAAACTTTTATGTAATGACATGAAATTTTAGTGAAATTTCAAGGAATTCCCACCGAATTACACAAAAATACAGTAGAATTCCCACGACATTTTAGTGAAATTTCGACGTCATTGCGTCGAATTGAGGAACTCCGTGAAGTTTTATGTTGGAATTCCGAGGAATTCCCATAAAATTACTTGATCTTAGTGGAATTGCATGAAATTTTATTGTGGAATTGCGAGGAATTTCATGTAATCTCAAAGTGGAATTCCGACCAATTCTCGTGGAATATTCAAATTTCAATGGAATTCTGAACAAGAATTTACGCTGAATTTGTATAAAATAATAAGTTTTCCTCTATTGGGATAAGAAACGCTGAATAATTCAGCTTTCTATACAAGATAGAAAGCTGCGATTCTTATCCTATTTTTTTTTAGTGTCTTTAGTACAGAAGTACAAACCCTGCAAAGAATCCGGCTCTAAATCTCAGAATAATTTAGTGTATGGAGTTTGGGGGATCCCAAAGGACCATTAAGACACAATTTCAACAAAAACAAAAAAAAATTGAAATTAATCTGAGATTTGGAGCCGGATTCTTTGCAGGGTGTGTAGTCCTCTACTAGGATAAGAATCTCTGCAAATTTCAGCTTTCTATCTATGATAGAATTGGAGATATGCAGCATATTGTAAATTTGAATTAGAATATTTGTTATACAGGGTGTCCTTAGATAAAATTACATTTTTTGCATCATATAACAAGATGCGGTTTGTCTTGGGAGAATAAGATTTTATTAAAGTTTTTTCCACAGTATTGTCAAGTACCGGGTGATTCTCTATATTTTGCACCCAGACCTATCTCACCTGTTTGGAGAGATACCCAGAAATGTCAAATGTGAAAGTTGTAGGTAATATCAGAAAGTTTTCAATGATGTTAGTTACAAAGTATACAGGGTGTGTCACAAAAGTGTGGCGAAGCAAAGTTATACTTTTTTAAATGAAAAACCCCATATATTATTGTCCCATTAAAATAGCCTTTCAAACCGGATTCCAAATATACTAGGTTTTATAAGTTTATTCCTTAGTCCAGCCTCTGAATATCCCATTTTGAAGAAATGATATGGATTTTTTACATGAATGATTACCTTTATATTTTACTGGTGGTCTGTATACTTCCCCTTTTTCAATAAAAATTCAACCCCTTTTGTCCTATTTTCTCCTGGACTATTAGGAATAAACCTAAAAAACCTAGTATATTTGGAATCAGGCTTGAAAGGCTAATCCAATGGGACAATAATATATGAGGTTTTCCATTTAAAAAGTATAACTTTGCTTCGTCACACTTTTGTAACACCGTATATTTGTAACTAACTATTGAAAATAATCATTGAAAACTTTCTGATATAAGGTCTGTTTCTGCAGAAATCACAAACCAGTCAAAGCGAATTTCATTGGTTGAAAACAGTCAGAAACAGTCAGAAAACTAGTTTCAACCAATGAAATTCGCTCTGACTGGTTTGTGATTTCTGCAGAAACAGTTATTTTTACTACAATCTTACCTACAAGTTTCACATTTGACATTTCTGGGTATCTCTTCAAACAAGTGAGATAGGTGTGGGTGCAAAATATAGACAATCACCTGGTACAGACATGCGATTTTTTGAAATAAAATCACTGCCTCATTTTTGATGGAACACTCTGAATGTTTTGTTTTCGAAATGTGTCAGTTTATCTAAGAACACCGTATATGGTGTCCAATTTGTGTGAAAATCAACAAAACCTTCATTTTATATCTGTTTCAGGGTTCCTAGTAGGAGTATTTGACGGACACGGAGGTGGAGCTTGCGCACAAGTAATAGCCAAACGACTTTTTCAGTACCTGACTGTTCATCTTTTACCTTTCGAAAGTTTGCAACAATATTTGGCCAATCCAACAGATTTACTGGAAAGGTACAACGATAAAGTGCAATTTGTCGATGACGTCAAGGGTATTTACGACGACAGTTTTTCCAAATTTGTTAAGGAACTTGCACAGGTAAACACACATCTTTAAATGCGTAAAATGTTCATAGGTATTTAATTTTCTGTGGAAATTGGCCTATTAGGGACTTTAAAACCAATAGTAAAAGTGAAATATTGGACCTGGGAGTCACATAATCTTTTTTTCAAAATTTCCATTTTCTTTACACCTTTTCATTGATATGATATTTAAACATTTGACTATAAATGATGTTATATATTTCCCACTCGAATATCCTGTCGATATTTTCATTTATAAAGTTTTAGGAAGGCTACAACGAAAACTTCGACATGACCAAAGCGATAGAAAAATCTTTTTTAAAACTCGACCAAGATATAAGTGACGAAGCCATGCCCGTAGACCAAAAATTCAACGTGAAAACCCTATCTGTAGCAATGAGCGGAGCTGTCACGTCAGTAGCTCACATCGATGGACCTCATCTTCACGTGGCCAACGTAGGCGATTGTTGTGCAGTTTTAGGATCTTTGTCGGACACAAATTCTTGGGTAGCTAAAAAATTGACAGAAGAACACAACACTTATAACCAATCGGAAGTGGATCGGATTTATTCGGAACATCCTGCCCAAGAAAAATCCACCGTGATTAAAATGGATAGGCTGCTAGGGCAGTTGGCACCCTTAAGGGCTATGGGGGATTTTAGATTTAAATGGAGCAAAGTGAGGAACATAGAATCTTATGGTTTTATAATAAATTAGTGTGACTTTTTGTAGGAATTAATGGAAGAATTGGTAACAAAATTTGGAGACCAAATGATACCACCCCATTACCATACGCCGCCCTATTTAACTTGCAAACCTGACATCACGTATCATAAGTTAACACCTAGAGATAAGTTTCTTATTATTGCTACTGATGGATTGTGGGACTGTCTTACACCATTGCAAGTAAGTAAATGCCTGAAATTTTAGCTACTTTGAGTAGTTTTTGTTCAATGTTCAATCAAGCAGTTGATTTATTCTTCAGGCAACTAGGTTGGTAGGCGAACATATGAAAGGCAAAGTAACCCTAAACCCCTTAAAACTACCCCGCAAAAATATGACGCTCAAAGAAATCGACGACATGCTATTACAGCGCAAAGAAGGCTTAAAGATCAAACCGAAAGATTCTAATGCGGCGACGCACATAATCAGAAACGCTTTGGGAGGTACTGAATATGGTATTGACCATTCGAAAATTTCCCAATTGCTCACCTTACCTGATGACGTTGTTAGAGTTTTTAGGGACGATATAACTGTTACTATAATATATTTCGATACGGAATTTTTGAGGCATTGTCCAGCGTAAGAACGGGGTATAACAAGAGTTTTATATATTTGTTGTTTTTTGTTGACTGAATAAATATTTTAAGATTTTTTATGGCGTCAAACTTTGACTCTAATGGTGCTGTTGTCGAAAATATTTTATATTCACTCAAAATTTAACAAAGAAAAATATTCGCAAAAGTGCTGGCGCTTTTAGGAATTAGGATATTTTATTTAGAAACATAATTATGTGTCTGAAAGGGTAGCTCATTTATCGTTCACGTTGATTTAAGCATCCCAGGTACAAAAATGATGATAGTATTGCAGCTCTGAAACACATTGTGGAGCTGCTTTGGGGTTCAGATGGAAGAGAAGAAGATTGGCTGCATAAGTAGTGAGACTGAGATGGAAATTTGCTGGACATATTAAATATGAAGACGACAGATGGAACCAAATAATTATTATACATTGGAGACCATGGAATCATGAGCCAGAAAAAGGAAGACCACAAATGGATTCTCGGAGCAGCTTCTACTTTTGTTTCAGAGTTACAAAATCTTTGTCATCCTGTACAAATCCTGTAATGAGTTATATACGCCTGAAATTGCTCCTCCTAATAATTTTGATCAATGTATTAGTTTTTAGTAGGTAGAAATCTTACAAGAGTGAATCAGAGGAGACTTATATCTTTTATTTTATTTATTTGTTCTTCCAAATGTTAACTATTATATGCAACAGTTCAAACTATCGGGCATATTGGCAATTTCGTTTAACAAATATCTGTATTATAATATTTTGACAATAATTTTTTCTAGACAATTGCCATTGGCCTTATATTCCTATTTTTTTCTTGGTTTTGCTTCCTCATAGATTTAGTACAAATAGAGATATCAGCCCTTTTTAAACATTTTTGTTTATGGGCAATTATTTTTGTGTAACTCTAGCATGCATACACATTTGATATGCAAGCTTGGTTGCCATTTTTCCATGTTTTACTTCAATATTGTTTTGTGCAATGTCCTCATGTGTGAAACTACGCTAGTTTCACTGACACTCCATAACTGGAAACACCTCTACAAGTGTTTATTTTTTTGCACATGAGCATAAACGCATACTTATTATAAATAAATAGGATTTTAAAAATGTTTGTAGTTTTTTTTTTCACCTGTCAACATAAGATGTGTAGTGTACATTCAGCAACTAATAAAACTTTAAGTATCAACTTTATTTAATACAAATATAAACTGTTCTTTTCTATGTATAATAAAAATAAAAACTAATAAGGCATTTTTAATGTTAATTATTGAAATGAAAAAATTAATTTAAGTAAAGCAAGAATTTCATGAAGACTTATCCGAGCAAGAAGATTATAAATATACAGTGCAAAATTTAAAACACCAATAAGGAGCTCGTACTGAGAAACATCATTAAAATCTTAAACTCCTAAAAATCTTCAGTTAACAAAAGTAACTTGCAGCCAAAAAAATTTACAAAACGCTATTATGAACAGGACAAATATTTTAATTAAAATTAACCTTCTTGACCAAAATCTTTCATGAATTTTTCTAATTTTACCAAATCTTCGTCATTTACAGTTGGTTTAGAAGTAGCCAAAGACCTCAACATATCATTCTATAAAAAAAAAACAATCATAATTAATTTATTTTTAATATTATATGTTTATTTACCATTGTAACAGGTGGTTCTGCTAATTTATCACCATCAACTTCCATCCAAGACATTTCCTGAGCTCCAGCTTCACCGGGAGAGCAAGGAATCAATAAATCGTGTACAATGACGTTTGGGTCTTTAGGACTTGGCCCGCTGATCGTTTTAAAGTGAGTAGCAGTTTGTACTTTGCGTACTGGTTGCATTAGAGCGTCACGTACTACTATACTGATATCAGCTCCAGAATATCTACACAAAAAAATTACTCATCAAAATTATTATTGAACAGTATTAGAATTTTTACCCATCAGTTCTTCTACCAAGCTCCTTAATATCCTCTTCAGTAAGTTCAGTACGGGTACTGCCCAAATGAATCTTAAACATAGTCGCCCTGGCATGTTCTTCAGGTAGAGGTATATAAATACGTTTTTCGAAACGCCTTCTGATAGCAGCGTCTAGTACCCATGGAATATTTGTGGCGCCCAGCACTAAAATGCCTTCTGAATCATGACCAACCCCTGCAAAAAAAAAAAAAAACGTTTTACCAAATATTGGTCATTATTAAACATCAAAATTCACCTTGCATTTGAACCAAAAACTCCGTTTTTATTCTCCTAGCACTTTCCGATTCGTTATCGGACCTGGACGAACACAAAGAGTCGACTTCGTCAATGAAAATGATGCTAGGTTTGTGGGTTCTGGCCAGCTCGAACAAATTCCTGACTAATTTTTCTGATTCGCCCAGCCATTTGGACACTAAATCTGACGAGGACACAGAAAAGAAGGTGGAATTGTTTGCTTCAGTTGCTACGGCTTTGGCTAGGTAAGATTTACCAGTACCTGGAGGCTAAAAAAATGAAGTTGATGTAACTTGTTGGTAAGATTAGAGTCAAATTCTTACCCCGAAAAGCAAAATCCCTTTCCAAGGAGTTCGTTTGCCACTGAATAAATGCGGAAACCTGATAGGTAATATGACGGCCTCTTTTAAAGCTTCTTTAGCTGCATCCAAACCTGCTACATCGTTCCATTTGACTTTAGGCTTTTCTACTACTATGGCGCCTTCTAGTTTCGATTGCATCTTTTTCTTTTCAGGATCTTCGTCGTCTTCGTCGCTATCACTGCTTTTCTTGTCATCTCTAGAATAAGTATTTGATACAAATATAAATATTTTGTTGTACAGGGTCATTGGTCACATTTTGACCAATAGGTAACTTTTTTATTCAACATTTTTGACACATGGTTTAAAGGACCCCCCTCAAACCTTATGGAAAATGTTTTTTTTTTTTTTTAAATCCATAATTTTTGACCTCAAAACAGTATAGGAATTGATAAATAAGGATTTTCTAAATGGGTATTAAAAATATTATACTGGCACCGAAGCATAACAACAATTTTGTAAAAATTTACCAATTAAATAATGGGTTAGGTACTTTCTTTTCTATACAATAATAATAACAATAGTCTCCATGTAGGTATTCTTGTATATACTCTTAGGACAGGTTAGCCTTTGGTCTTGTAATGGTCTTTTAGGGCACGGGTTAATTTGGGCAGCCTCTTATTTTGGATATTAGTTGGAAGGCGATTGAATGTTTGGATGGTTCTGTATACTGGAAAATCCTGATAGTTCTTAGTAGCACTATACTTATTTCTGGATCGTATGTTGTAGGAGTAAAAATTCTTGCTTTTATTTAATGTAAAATCCTGTCGCATCAACTATAGGTGCGATTTTCTTTAAAATATGTTCTGAATTCATTGCATGTCAAGTTGTTCGAAATATGAAGCCCTAGATATTGATACTGAGTGACTTCCTTTAATACTGCATTGTCTAATTTTACATTCATTTCACAGGGGTTTTTGCCATTTTGCTTAACATTCATATAGACAGTCTTTTCTGGATTTATACTTGGTTTGTTATGGCTCAGCCAGTGGTTATATTTCTCAAGATCCGAGTTTACGATTTTTTGTAAATTATCTCCTTTATCTTCAGCACAAACTAATACTGTGCAAACATATAGTAAGTAACACCAGCAAGTCTAAGACTGTGTACATATAATAGGTATTGCAGAGGCCTCAGCACTGAACCCTGAGCTACTCCAACCTTTGTATATCCCTCTTCACTATCCACTCTATCTACTGACGAAAAATTTCTCCTATTGGTTGAATAGGATTTTAGTAGGTTCTGGCAAACACCTCTAAAACCCATTCCATACAACTTATTCAACATCAGGTCTATGTCAACAGTGTCTTTTATCTATGTGGAGATATCCTGTGAATTTTTTATATTATTTTTCACGGTAAGAACAGACCTTATGTCTTCTATGTATGATAATACATAATATACATTGAAATATTACTCAAACAAAGGTTATTGTTCACATAGAAGAACTAGTATAGCATACTAGTCTATTTTATCATTCAAAAAAGTCTTGTAAAAAAGAAACAAAAATACTATCCAACACAATGACGTTTTCCACACATTTTCCAGTATCATTGGTCAATATCTCCAAAACTATTGATTATTAGACTCTAGCGCAATGGTAACTTTTAATCCGGAAGACTTCCTCTAAACAATATGAAAAATTCAGGAAATTCCCACATAGATTACTTTTCCATAAGGTTTGAGCAAGAGCGGGGTCCATGTGACATAGGTCTTACATTATGGTCTTACTTATTAAAAAGTGCCAGAAAATGTTGGTTTCAAGTATACAAGGTATCCATCAGAACAATGATACTTTTTTTTTTAAATGGAACACCCTTTATATTATTACATTTTTGGATTCTTCAGGAAATTCTGGATCTTTTTAATATTCAACATTCTATGCCTATCTTCAACTGTTTCCAAGATATTGATATTTCAGAATCAGAATTTCTGCTATCTGAAGTCTAGTATAAAAAAAGGTTACCATAGGTCATAGGACATAAAGAAGCCGTCAAACACGAGCTTTCAATAAAATTTTCCTTTAAAAACTGGGTTATTGACAAATTAATCAGATTAGTTTTTTCTCAGTTTGTTTTTCTTTGTATGTATTTGAATTTTAATATTAATTTCTGTCGGTTAAGGGTTGAAAATTTGTATTGCTTATATGCACCTATGCGAATGAGGTACACTAGAGAAAATAGAAAATACCTCACCTTCCAATATGTATTCAGGCTTTTATTGAAAATTTCCATTTAAACAACATTTTCCTTTGCAATACTTTTGAATTATATTATGTTCAAATATTATTGAGAACTCAATTCTCAATATTCTTGGGGAATATGATTTTGTAGGAACTCAAAAAATACCAGATATAAAGATGGCCAAGTTGACTATAAGACAGTGGAGTTAGGATATAGTAAAGACGATTATAACGAACGCTTTTCAAATTCCCATAAAAATTGCCTAGAAGACCGATGATGTGATTTTTACCCTTTAGAGTGAACCAATTTTGAAGGACTTTTCGAGTTCACTATAACCAGATTTTACTGTATGTGTAATTACTAGTTAACTGTGCAAAGAAAAAGCAAGGGGGTAGTTAATTGCGATTTTCTGGTAAGTAAATTCCAGTAGGTAAGGTTCGTTTCACCAGGGTTCATACTTGACCTTGAAACTTGAAAAAAAAGGGTTGTCGTAGATTAATTCATACGACATATTCAATTTTTTTGACAAATCAAAATGGTTTAAGAACCGACGAACGTTTTTGGTGTCATTGATTTGTTTCAGTCAATTTTTATTTGTTAAACAAGGAAGGCAAATGCTGGTGGCAAGTACAAACCCTGGCGAAACAAACTTTACCTAAATCTCTAAATTCTTGTAACTCCAAAGATCTCCATGGATATCTCCACGGTTATCCTTAGATTTCCATAGATCTCCGATCTCCACATATCTTCATCCTATAGATCAGAAAATTTCCACAGTGACTACCCCCTCGAGAAAAACTAATATAGGCAAATTCAATCTTCTACAAGTTTGATTTGATGCTGTCAAACCATGGAAATTAACAAAACTTTATAATTATAGGAATAGTTTTTGAAGGGTTTACTGCTATCATACAAATATTTTTATTTTCCATAGAGCCTCTGGTAGTACGGGATACGAGGCCTATTTCATCAAATCATTTTACACCGTCTTGCATTGTTATCATCAGTTAGATAACATGATGCTGAAACGCACCTGTACGGGGAAATAGATGGGAGTGGGGGATTTCGCTGAAAAAAAAATTCCAGAAAATGTCGTCATAAACAGGGAAAATATATAATTATACACCGTCTTGCATTTATTTATTGAGTTAATTTGTACACAAACAAAATTGGATCAACACATGCAAGACGTTTTCATGGAGGTTTTGGGGTTGTTATATTGGATAGAAATTGTCAATTTTTCAGAGGGGTGAAATATCATTTCACACCACTTCATTATTGATTTAGATTAAAGCTTGAATGTAGAATAGCCACTGGATACTGATGCAAGACGTCCTGTGGAGGGATAACGGACTGCAAGACGGAGGTCAATGTGTTGTCTTATGAAGGAGTGAGAAATCATTTTACACCGTCTTGCACTGATACTAATGGGAAAAACAGAACACATTGATAACATTTTAAAAAATACAAGACGTTCTAAATGGAAAGAAAGGACTGCAAGACGGTGATGAAGTTGACTAATTTTGACGGGGGTAAATCCATCAGGTACAAATGTGAATACTACTCCAAATTACAAATTACGCACAATAATTTTAGATATTTTTGCTTTTACCACGTAGAATAATTCTATTTTGCAAAATTCTCTTAATATGTATATTTGAATGACTCTACGGACATCAAAAAAAAAAGGTTGAAAATTGTTCTTTTTCTGACAGCTTATAATCATTTTATTTTTTTTTTGAGGTGGATATGTCATAACACCTAACGGATTGTAAGTAGGTATTAGGTAAATTTGAGAAATTTGATTTTAAAGCAGCAAAAAAATGATCTGCCTGGAATTGTAAACAGAAATTATAATTCCTGTATTCAGCAGACTCCCCTGTTGAGCTGCTATGTCAACTGTCCTTTTCCATCTGTATGATTTAGAAAAGAATGAACAGTGAACGGTTCAGTAAATAACTCAAAAGTTCAGTAAAAAAAGAAAACGGATTTATTAACTTTTTTCCCCGAAAAAACGTCTTGGACTGATGTATTACCATTTTTTAACATATATTCTTCCGGCGGACATAAGCATGAAGTGGTGTAAAATAAATTTTCACTCCCTCATGAGACAACGCATTGACATCCGTCTTGCAGCCCGTTATCCCTCCACAGGACGTCTTGTATCAGTATCCAGTAGCTATTCTACATTCAAGCTTTAATCTAAATCAACAATGGAGTGGTGTAAAATGATTTTCCACCCCTCTCACAAATTGACAATTTCCATCTTCTATTGCAACCCTAAAACCCCCATAAAAACGTCTTGCATGTGGTAATTCAATTTTGTTTGTGTACAAACTGACTCAATAAAGAAATGCAAGACGGTGTATAATTATATATTTTCCTAATTTATGACGACATTTTCTGAAACATTTTTTTCAGCGAAATCCCCCACTCCCATCTATTTCCCTGCACAAGTGCGTTTCAGTACCATTTTATCTAACTGATGATAACAATGCAAGACGGTGTAAAATGATTTGATGAAATAGGCCTCGTATCCCGTACTATGGGGGCCATTTACTCATTAACAAATTTAGGAAAAAAACGTAGATACATGCATATTCGGCTGAGATACATGCAAATCCACTGGAGATATGTGGAGATCCAAGAACTTAGGCTGCAGTGGTGTAGAATCCGAAAAGCGTAATTACCAGCGCACATCATTTTAACTTTGTGTTATACCTACTTAACCATTAAAAAAATATATTTTAGTAGGGGAGAATGAAAACATTGCTTTCAGGTTAAGATGTTGTTTCTCAAGGGGTAAAATGATACTGTGTTAGTTTACAATACAGTCCTTCGACAATAATAATTTTCTGCCATCATCATCATGGTACATAATTTCCTATATTAGCATTACATACCATTCATAATAGTCTACTTACTTCCTCTAAAAAGTTTGAGATTTATTTTAAATTATTATTAATATCAAACTAAAATTTTCTGACAGCAAAAATGTATTTTTTCCAAGGTCTGATTCTATATAAAATTGAAAAGTTATGGTACATGGTGGTCTGGAGGAGATATATGGAAATCCAAATAATCTCCATGGAGATCCAAGGATACCTATGTCTGGAGATCCTAGGATATTCCTGGATATACATGGAGCTCCATGGAATTAAAAGAAGCATGTAATTGACAAAAACATGCTACCATCTCTACTTATGCACCAAAATAGATAAAAAAAATTATTTGATGATAGTTTTTATAGGGCTTTCTGCTGCTATAAAAGTAGTTTCCATTGAGCCCCTAGGAGCCGTTTACTCTCAACAAAATCAGAAAAAAAGTGCTACCACTTGTACCACCGCTATTTATGCACCAAAGTTACTGAAAGTTTCAAATCTTTGTGATCATTAGACGTATTTTACGCAAGTGATTTTTGCAGATTTTAATCATTTTTGCATGCATTAACGTAAAAAAAGCTTCCAAATTTAGTTTGGAGCTTCAAAAATGAACAGAACTCAATATTCACTCATGAAAACCGACGAATACAGAATACAAAATAACAAACTAAAAAAATTAATCTCTGAAGCAAAGAAAAGCTATGAAGAAAATCTTCTGGAAAAAAATGACAAACACTTCTATTCTTGTATCAAGTGCAATCTAAACAGCCAGGTTCATGATTTAATCTTACAAGATCCAATAAGCAATGACCTTATAAAAGACTCAAAGACCACCGCAAACACTTTTGCAAACCTATTTCATTCTGTCTACACCAGAGAAAACCTTACAAACATGCCAACGCTGCCCATAGAGACAATGAACAATAATCAACTCACTGTCATTAACCTAACAGAAAAAGTCACCACAGCTCTAAGTAGCCTAAAAACCTATTCAAATCCAGGCCCAGATAGGATACTATCTATATTTCTTAAGAAATGTGCTACGTCTCTAGCACCCTTATTAGCCCAAATATACCAAAATTCAATAGACAATGGTACCATACCAGAGATCTGGAAAAAAAGCTATAGTGATACCAATCTACAAAAGTGGTGATAAAGATCCAATTATAGACCCATCAGCCTGACCTGCACATTGTCCAAAGTTTCTCTTAGAAAATGACATCATACCTCCTACACAGCATGGCTTTATGCCAAAAAGGTCTACTACAACAAATCTTCTCAGCTGCCAGGACGACTGGTCTACAAACCTTGACGAAGGCAAACCAATCGACGTCATATACCTTGTCTTTCAGAAAGCCTTCGATACAGTACCACATGAGAGACTCTGCTACAAACTGAGCCATTATGGAATAAGAGGCAAGTACCTACAATGGAGCAGCTCCTTTCTTAAGCAAACAGCTTTCTATTTTCGAGCAAATGGAACCAGCTCTGATCGGTACCCAGTTGTCAGCAGAGTACCACAAGGATCTGTACTTGCTTCTCTTTTTTTTATAGTGTACATTTCTGATCTGTCAAAAACTATTCAAACCAAAGTAAAATCCTTTGCAAATGACAAAAAATTATATGGAAATCTTTTAACACAACTGCAGCAACTAAAGGAAGACATGAGCACTGTAGAAGAATGGACAACCACATGCCAGCTAAAACTAAATGAAAAAAAGTGTACGGTTTTACACAAAATAACAACTACCAAATAAATAGCATCGAACTCAGAAAAGTCTCATAACAGAAAGACCTAGGAGTCTATATCACAGATCTGAAATGGAAAACCCATATATCCCACACAGTAAAGAAGGCCAATCAACTAATATACCTTATCAGAAAGTGTGTAGGGAAAAATAACCAAAATTCCAATTGAACTTAGAAATCTGCCATACAAAAAAAGACTACAAAAATTCCAATTGACAACACTCAGAGAAAGAAGAGAACCAATGGTCACATACGCCTCATTGGTGTGGTGGCCCAAAACCCAACAAGTCACCGCTCAGATTAAGCTAAGAAAGGTGCAAAGGCTGATATGTCTAGGAATAACGGGAGCAATGTCAACTTGCCCCACCGCAGCCCTAGAGACGCTACTTAACATGCCCCCACTTCACCTATGTGCGAAAAGGGAGGCAATAACCAGTGGTCACAGGCTATTCCAAATAGACAAGTTCAAGCCTGGCGATCTGAGGGGACATCTGAGAATCCTTGATCTAATAAAACTGGAGAATGCCTGCAAACCAAGTGACCACATGATGGTCAGATTGGACTTAGAGATCCCCTTCGCAGTGGTAATAAACGACCGCCAATCATGGGAGAATAAAGAACTACCACAAGCAGACAATGCATCTCTGTGGTACACAGATGGATCCAAGCTGATGGAAGGAGCTGGACTGGGCATTTCCGGCCCTAACTTCAAGCTCTCCAAGGCATTGGGTAAACATCTTACAATATTTCAAGCCGAACTGCTTGCCATAAATATATGTGCACAAGACTGTCTTAATCAAAGCCTCAAAAGAAAACACATCTTCATACTATCGGACAGCCAAGCTGTCTTAAAAGCCTTAAGGGCTTTCAAATGCATGTCAAAACTAGTCTGGGAGTGTAAACAGACCTTAAAAACACTAGCGACACATAACCAGGTAACGCTGATGTGGCTGCCTGGTCATCGAGGCATAGAAGGAAACGAAGAAGCAGATGGCCTCGCAAAGGAAGGGGCCTCAAGACCATACCACGGACCAGAGCCCTACTGTGGCTTAATGAAAAGCCACATCATGGAAGAACTCAACAAATGGGAGAAAGACCAACTGTCATGATAGTGGAGGCACACACCAGGACTCAGACAGTCAAAAAGGTTTATTACCCTTTCAGCAAAAAGAGCTGAACAGCTCCTAAACATGAGCAGACCAGACATCAGATTGGTGGTGGGACTGCTCACAGGACACTGCCCAGTAAAATACCATTTAAGGTTAATGGGCAGAGCGGAAGACGATCTCTGCAGATTCTGCTCAGACACAATAGAAACCGCAGAGCACCTGCTCTGCGAATGTCCAGCCCAATTCTGCAAGAGGCTCAAATTCCTCGAGGGGGCAACACTGTCACCAGAAGAAGTGGGCCAACTGACACCCAGGAAAATAGCTTCCTTCGGCAGAAGTCTACGCTTCCTGGAAACAAATTAAGATGCAGAGTCATGCACAAAATATCTGCAAAGGTAGCAGTGCTGAGCGACTCCCCTGAAATCTACATAATCTACACAAGAAGAGAAAGAGGAGACATAAATGGCTACTACTCTACAGACCTAAAACTGGAAAATATGTTCCAAATGAATCCAAACTTAAACCTCAGAGGACACCATCAAGAACTGTTCTTCTTGGAAGGAAAAAGTTTTTAGCCAATCATATAGTCTATAAATGGAAGGAAAGCCCAGAAACGATAAGTGCACCAAACAAAAACATTTTTAAAAATAGACTAGACCAAAATCTTTGTACCATAAACAACACATTAGAGCATTATTTTTAAAAAAGTACCAAAAACAAAAAACTAAAAGTGAAAAATCAAAAGCGATGAACTCATTGGTCTTAGGCCGCTTTCCATTGCCAAGAACATAATAATAATAATAATAAATGGACTTTCTACTCATTAGTCCAAAATTTCATTCATTTTCAGTGGAATTCCAGTGGGGTTCTATGGAAATTCTGGTATACATATTTTTCAAGGTGGTTTACCCCTTGATGAATAATTAGGTTTAGCAGCATGTTATGTACTTTGGTCAACCAAGTATGCATGACCCAGAAAATTTACTAGTCCAATAGTTTCATAGATAATCTGATGTATGATGTATCATCTCCTGTTATTTTAACAGTTATGTTATGGCTCAAAATCTATAATTCTATACCTGTCTCTATTTTAACGTTTAGAATAAACAGTAACAGACAATTTAATGTTGCTGTTAAAATAACAGAAAATGATACATCTAGGCCTGATTAAATGTTCCTGATACTATCTTTTCGTACCATGGTTGCCTTCAAGTGATTACTTACTTTGAACCGCCATCTAATACTGGCTTTTTCTTCCCTTTTTTTATGGAATCTTTAATTTTCTCCGCTCTCTCCAGGTATTGAACGCATTTTGCTCTAATGCTGTCTTTAGCTTTATCTCCTTGTGCCTCATCTGAAAAAAAGCAGAATGCTACTACTAATAATAAATGTGAATGGTTAGAAACTCGGTCAGGAAGTAGCTTGTGGGCATATCCAAAATTGTCATTAAATAAACATTAATAAGTAGTAAATTTCCCACCAAAAATAACAATAGTGACCTTGGAAAATCCCGAGGAAAACCCATAATTATCGATTTTGAACCAAGAAGTTTTGTGCAACATTAGTCCAGAGACTTTGATCTTACAAACAAGTTCAAAAAGTCTTTGTTACCAAAACCTAGATATTTGATCAATGGAGTGTATTTATTTTGTATCGATTGTTGTTGTGAAAAGCCCCTTTTTATCAATTCAACGAAATGAATGATCTCTGATCTGAAACATACAATTTTCCATTTTGAAATTGATGATAAATACCTTAAAGAGGTGCCTTGTAGTTTGTAGTACGATATCAAGTTCTGATAACTTGATAAAAGGAATATGTAAATACTACGTTGATGATTTAGTATTTTTTGAGAAGTTAATGAGCTCGGTGTTCAAATACTTACACTTAATTGCATGTAAAAAATACTCCACCCCATGTTCGTACAATCTCAACGCTTCTTCGTAGTTCTTGTTCCTATCTTCCTCGGTGGCCTTTGTCACCAAATCTATAGCTTTCTGCAGAGTGGTTCCTGATGCCATTTTAATTAATTAACTATTGTAATCCTAGATAAGTGATCTTATATTGTGAATCACCTTTTTTACTAATAAATTAACTTTACTTGGGTGCCACTTTTGAATGGTTTAAGTGGCAATGATGTTGACTAGGCCTCACAATGTTAGAGGATTAAAGGAATTATGATTTTGTTCATTTGTTCGATTAATTAAGTTTTATTTTTGGAAATTATTCAAATTATTGATGATAAACTATTGGGTACTATTATTTTTTGGGTTGGTGAAAATTTGCATTTAATGAAACGTCAGTGTCAGAGTGTCAGAATCATGTCAGAATTGAAATTGACAGCAAATGAGAGCAGACACAATTCAGTATTGAAAAGGGCTAATCGATATTCACAGGTATCGATCTTGCCTGATAACTTTATGACGTCATCTGGGGGGCCTCAACATAATGCAAATCTTCATAAGGCACCCCATTTGTACTGCTTTTCTTGCTTGGAGGAGATCGGCGTTCACTTGTCTCATATATAAGCTCATAAATAGCAGCTCCTAGCAGATTTTCCCGATTTTTCGAGCAAGTAGAGCAAGTACAAATGAACAGCCTATTTGTTCTAACAAGTGGAATACACAAGGTAGAACAGTTTTGATTAGCCTAGAGCTGATTTTTATTTGTTTTCAACAAATCCGCAGACTTAACACTCAACATGTTGAGTACTGGTGAACCCGACCATTTTTTGTAAGATCCTTATCGATATGCACTATCATCAAGTACCATAGTTGAGTTCGGAATGGCATTTTAGTGCAGTGCCAGTGTGGTGTTCGTGTAGTGTAGTGTTGTATCACGTGATGAAGGTGTAATCGGCGGTGTAACACCAAATACACCACCACTTTGTAACGAGTGAACGGTGTCCCACCATATTTACACCATTTGGACACCAAATCATTTCCAAACGCAAATAAAGTGTACACCAAACTTACTCCTACCAATTAACGAACGCAACAGTGTCAATAGTGTAAAAAGTGTCGACACTTTCTACCATTCCGAACTCAGCTCATATATCAGGTGGGTTCGGCTTGCTCACTCCGTGCACTTCGAGTGACTCCATTCGCACTCCGGCCGTTCGGGTTAAAATTCGCCATTAGCTCTGTTCATTCCACTCCAACTCCGCGTTGAATAGCCGAACCCAGCTTTTGTATCGATAAGTCCTTCTCTAGTAATCCAGTGTTGCCAACAAAAGAAACCGTCTGCGTGGACGTGGCAGCGCAGTGGGCTCTTCTACAGAAAACAGTAATTAACATTCTTCCTGTGAAAAATCAAACAAATTCAAAACCAGAGGCGTATTAAAAACAGGTGCCCAAGCGTGGTTCGATGAGTGTTAAGTTTTAAGTATTTTCTTCATTTTAAGTGGTTCGTTTTGAGTGAAAATGACTGGAATTATACCGGTTCGTTATACGAGGAACCTCTTTTTGAGGGCCTTTTGCACAGTGTACCTTTCGGCCTTTATTTCTCTATATTTTCAAGCTCCAGGTAAGAACCTAATAGTTTACGTGGAAAAATACCGTTATTCGCGAGGTTATTCGGTTTGTATTCCTTTCTTGGTAATTGGAACCCGGTAAAACGTGGAATCTTTTGGCACAGGTTCAACTACTGTAGGATTTACCAATACCTAATCTATTTTTATGTTAAATTTTTCAATTTCCAAATTGGGTTTTTTCCAAAATTAAAAATAAATATGTTGTCACACACAGTTACGGTACAACAATTTCAAGATTTATTAGTTTTGCCTCTTTCAACTTTTAACTTGTAACAAACCATATACATTATTTATCAAATTACAGGTTTATATGGGGATAATGGTGTCCTGCCTGCTAGATCCGTATTGGAAAACAGCAAACACAAAAATTTATCGGCAAAAATTCACTATCAGCCCACCTTACTGTGGCTGGCCTCCTATTTAGGACTCAGCACTAGTGCTGCTGTAGATGTTTTATCATTGCTGGGCGTTTTTCTTGCATTTACAGGGTATATACTAGATTTTTTTTATAATATATTAATTTATTAATGTTTTTTTTTTGTAGAATCGTTTCTCAGAAGTTTTGCATTGTTCCTGTGTTCACTGCTCTTTGGTCACTGTTCTTCTCACTCTACCAGATTGGACAAGTTTTCGTCTCAAACAGCTAGTAAGTTATTTATCTCTTTTCATGATTAGGTATTTTCAAGGGGGTAAACCACCCCTCTGAATTTGGGCAAACAATTCCTCAAGCTTCCTGCAAATTCCTCCAAACTGCTTGCAAATTCCCTGCGATATAATAATATATTTATATTTTGTTTGTTGTGTTCTTGTTATATTCTGAAAACCACTTAGAAACATTTTTTTCAAATCCATATTTACTTAACTTCTGCAGCAACAGTTTTCAGTTTATTGTCTCAAAAGCTCTTTGAAAGTCGAGGAAAACTACACCAACCAACCTTTTTTCACTTAATGCGGTTTTCCATTTTGAAAAAACAGACTGAAGAGTGCTTTCAAAATAATGTTTTTCCCTGAAACTGGCTTGACGAGGAGTTAGTAGTCTGTTCTCCTCTACAAACATTCTTAATTGGTTTTTTACAACAGTTTCCAAAAGTTTTTCATGATTTGTTACCACATTTATTTATTCGATATTCTTCACACCTCCTTGTATTGGCTTTCTTTCCAATTGGTATTATGGATGAGGTTTTCCAATCTCTTGGAAAGCATCCCCTTTCTAAGCTCTTATGTTATTCTATCCACACTGCTCCTTTTGTTATTCATGTTTTTTACTATTTTTCTTAGGTCTCTTAGTTGTAATAATTCAAATCTATTAAATTTATTTAAAGGCGTTGCAATTTCATTGGTAATATCAAGTATGTTTGTATCTCCTATGTTACTTACTAAGTTGCTTATGCTTTCTACAAAGTATTTGTTAAATTTTTCAGCAAATGACTCATTTTGTCTCATTACTGTGTCAATTTCAATCCGATCTTAACGTAATTAGAGTTGTAATCAAGCCAATTAAATCCTTACTATTGAGTATTTTCAATGCAGCTTCAATAGTTTCGCAGCTGCACAGTTTTAAAGCCTTTCAATTTTGATTTTTATCAATGTGATCGCATAAAAGCAAATTTTTTTTTTCTCAAATCTCAATCCTTTCTTTATCCACTTGCAAAATTTCAAGCTAATCCTTTAAACACTTTCCTCAAAGAAAAAAAAAACCTTCTTCAATGTCGTTTTTAAGCACATGATACTTTCCAAAATGTCAACATTGAACCACATTTTACCTCTTATCTTTGTTAATTTCAATCCGATCTTAACTTAATTAGGCTTGAAATAAAGCCAATTAAATCCTCTACAAACCTTAAGTGAATAATTTCAATGCAGCTTGATTAGTTTTCAGCAATTCAAGCCTCAAAGTTTTTGTCACAAACTCCCTGAAAATCCCCAAAATTATTCGTGAAAAGAAATGTATTGCATATGTAAATGTTTAACAGTGTTAAAACCAATAAATTCCCCCAATTTCTTAAACATTTCGCCAATTTCTTATAAATTCCTTCAATTTCCCCAGAAATTCCTTCGGATTCGACACAGTTTTGGCAAATAATTCCTAGGTGGTTTGCCCCTTGGGTATTCCGAAATGTTTTATTTATTCTTGAATTGGCCCAAAAACTGTTTACTGTTTATTTACTTATAGTTGAATTTTCTAACTGCTGCGAAAACGCGGGCTAGTACTGTGACGTCAAAGTCCCAAAAATGCGAGGATGCCAAATTTCTCATTAGTAAAGTAAATCCGGAAGTAAATTTTGACATTAGTTCAAAACAGTCAATGGAAACACCATTGCCCATTTCAAACCTGTTCTGAACCAATGTTGAAAAAGTGGACGCGAGAAAACTGCTTATGACTGTGTCTAATTAAAGTATTGTACTATAAAGCGGATCTTTTAATTCAATTTTATCTTGTGTCTGACGTTAATCGATATGTGTATCTTTGTCTAGTTCATGTAATAGACAAAGAAAGAGATTTCCGTTAAGTGTACTAAAAATAAAACTCATTTCACAGTTCACTAGATAGAACTGTGTCTTTTACTATGTTATAAAAAAATAAAACATAGTTATAATCGGTGAACTATTGTTACCTAGTTCAATGAACTTAAACAAATGTTGTCTCCATGTTGCCAAATCTTTCTTAAAATTTGTTTCTCTAGAAACCATTAGCAATAAGTTTTTTTTTTACAAGCATTAAACATTTATATAAGGTGTTACAAATTGGCGATTTAGTATAGGAATCTCGGTAACCATAAGAGATACAGGATCAGTTTAATTGGAGCAAAGTTAGGCAGTTCTTGGTCACCAAAATATTGTTTCCTTCTTATGAAGCTAGAGATAGGTGCCCAAGGATCTGGGGCCCATCAAATTCTGAAAGTAGACTACAAAATCTACAAACAAATGTACAGGGTGTTGCAATTTGGAGTGTTTTGACAGGAAAAACATACTTCCAGACCAGATAGAGGAAAATTGACTTAGACGTCATGGGATCGATTTTCGAGAAACGTCGATTGTCAAAAACCGCATCACAGTATCTTCAATGGTACCATTGATACAGGGCGATTTTCGATTTTCCCCCATTATGAAAAATAGCTATAAGTTTTCCATTTATCAATTTTTTATGTTTCTGTAAAAACATCATGGAGATACTTTTTTTAGCACAATCCAGTGGTAACTTTTTTTTATCACAATCCAGTGGCGGACTCAGTTTTTTTCTATATCGCTCCGATTTCGAAATATCGACCAAAGTACGATATTTTTAAATGAAATACCCTATATATTAATAGCTCATTGGATAGTTTTTGCCGATTTCAATGATATAACGTTGGATAGGTTTATCTCTAGCAGTTTTCGAGAAAAAAAATTATATCTGTTTCAGTCATAAGAAACAATGTGTTAGAAAGAGACCTTCCTTATTTTCCTTACACATATAAAATCCTTTTCTAACACATTAGTCCTTACGACAAAAACAGATACAATTTTTTTTCTCGAAAACTGTTAGAGATAAACCTATCGAACTTTATATCATTGAAATCAGCAAAAACAGAGCTATCCAATGAGCTATTAATATATAGGGTGTTTCATTTAAAAATATCGGACTTTGGTCGATATCTCGAAATCGGAGCAGTATAGAAAAAAACTGAGTTCGCCACTGGATTGTGCTCAAAAAAGTATCTCCATAATGTTTTTACGGAAATGAAAAATTGATAAATAAAAAACTTATAGCCATTTTTCATAATAGGGGAAAATCGAAAATCGCCTTGTATTAACGGTACCATTGAAGATATCGCGATACGGTTTTTGACAATCGACGTTTCTTGAAAATCAATCCCATGACATCTAAGTCAATTTTCCTCTATCTGGTCTGGAAGTATGTTTTTCCTGTTGATACACTCCAAATTGCAGCGCCCTGTACAGAGAAGAACACAGAGACCCAAATTGCGAATGTGGAAGCAAAGGAAATTTAAATCACATTCTCTCCTAACTGCCCTATAAGAGATCAAAAAACAAGGACCCTGTATAAGGAACTAATACAGGATGCAAAAGGACCAATAAATATTTAATCAATTCTAAATCGCCCATCATCAAAATAGTGTGTTTGCTTAGGTTGCCTAACAATAATTTATCATCCTAAAACAGCTATATTCTTCATTTTCCTGGCTAATGTTGTGTAAAGCTCTGAGATCCACAGAGCGAGAAGCGTGTCTTTATGTGTTTTTCCTTTCCTAAATCCTAGAAACGAGAAAATTGATGGAAAATGGACAAACTTATGAAAGACATGGGTATCACTCTGACATACTAACCGGTACATCTTCCATAGTAAAACCAGATTGGGCGGTGGTCTAAGAAGACTCAAGCTGACAAAATCCAAAGAAGAAGGTCTTTCTGCAAAGGTTAAATAAAATTTGATATCAGTAAATTGAATTTAAAAATTAATAAAATGATCCATTCAACCTTGAAAAACCAGAAACCACTAAACTGTTACAAACCTGTCATCAATACTACATGTGGATATATTTCAAGAATCTGCTGAACTTGATACTGTAATTTAATCGAGAATTAAATGTGCATATATGACAATTATTATTTTGCTAAGAAGTATGAACAGCACAACAAGCAAAGAATTTGGAAAATCACAGCAATATCCCAAAACCAAATCAGACAGATAGAAAATACAAGCTTTGAGATAGGAAAATATTGATCTTAGGAGGCGAATAACAGTACTGTAGACCAAGGATAACAATAAAAATCAGAAGAAACAGCAAGATAACATCATTGTCTCCAGAATAACAAAACAAAGCTAGAATGATTTAAAAAAATTTCATTCACAAAGTAGACTATGTATGGTAAAACTATGAAGATTAGGATTGAGTGAGGACATCCTGGATTTCAAAACATTTTAAATTTTGATTTCAATTTAGATTGTTTTAAATGTTATCCCAGTTCAAATCAGCATTTTTGTTTCTATTCAAGATTGAAATAAAATTCACAATATTCTATTCTTTTTCTAGTGATGAGCTCTTACTTGAAGCGGGTTTCCTTGCAATTTTCATTGCACCATTTTTACCGAGCCGAAGAAAAAACAAAACTCCAACTCTAGATTTGATTGGTTTTTGGCTGGTCCGTTGGTTACTCTTCAGAATACTGTTCACCGCCGCATTAGGAAAATTGCTTGGCGGTTGCCCGAAATGGTGGACCTTAACAGGTAAGACTATTCAGCCTAATGCATTAGGTTTCAAAATTTCCAAATTATTTCTAGCTTTGAATCATCATTTTGAAACAATGCCTCTACCGAATCCATTGTCATGGTATGCACACCATTTGCCCACATGGTTCTTAAGACTGACTACAGTTTATACTAACGTGTGCGAATTGGTAGTGCCTTTTTTGTTTTTCTTGCCTATCAGGACTGCAAGAATCACTGCCTTCCACTTACAGGTAATTTATACAAAACAAATATTCAAAAATTAAACATAATAATTTCAGCTCTTTTTACAAACTTGTATTGTGGCAACGGGCAATTTCGATCACGCAAATATCCTTATAGTGACTTTGTTGCTGTCGCTGTTGGACGATCAATTTTTCTACGGCAAAAAGAAGCCCAATTCCAAACTGGACATTTTGGATAAGACTTTGAACGTTGGCATTTGGATCGGAGTGGCTTTTGGTGTTACCAAACTTTACGGTCTCAAATACACAGATGGAATATTAGATGCACAAATCAGTAAGGAATTTATTTAGGATTCAAGAGACTCAACATAATTTAATTTTTTCTAGGTTTTACAAAGATACAATTCAGCAACTTTGTAGAAGAATACCTGCCCTTTGTTATAGTTGGTATTTTAATCACTTTAGGTATAACTGTGTTGTTGTGCATATCACACATTATGTCAGACGAGAATTATTCAGGAAATAAAGTGCTGGGATTAATTGGGGCCACGTTTTACACTATTATCGCGCTTACTATATTTTTCTCTAGCTCGGTAAGTAATTTTATATATAAAAAAAACTAATTGCACTACATTGTACTTTTTTCAGACTGCCATATTATCCTTACATCCGAAAACAAACTCTACAGTAATCCCTGTATTGCGCACAAGTTACAACAGGCTGCATAAAGCCCGTATAGTAAACCAATACAACCTCTTCCCTAAGATACAAGGAGTGGAAGGACGGCCTGAAATAATTTTAGAAGGGGCTGACAATTTGGAAGGGCCTTGGAAGGAATACAACTTTTTATACAAACCTGGAAATGTGAATCATTCTTTGCCATTTGTTGGTAAGAATTTTAAAATGCCTGTGGTACAATTTTCCTCAATAAACATTTTTTTTTCCAGCTCCTTATTCTCCAAGATTAGATTGGCAATTATACTGGGCGGCTCAAACAACTTATGATAAACAGCCCTGGATATTATCGTTGGCTCACAGATTGTTAACAGGCCAGCCAGAAGTCCTGAATCTTCTTGACAGAAGTCACAGCCCGTTTGCGAATAAACCCCCAAAATTCATCAGAGGGGTGCTTTACAAGTACAAGTTTACTACATGGAGTCACAGGTCGCAGCCAGCTTGGTGGATACGAGAAAAGGTGGGCGAATATTTCCCAGCGTACACCAAAGACTCGCCCGCTTTAGAAGATTTTCTTAAGGCAAGGAATTTGTTGCCGTCAAGTAAAGGGCAGGAATTGAATCCGATTTGGAAACAAGGGTTGGATATTGTGAGGGTTGCTGCTAGTAAACTTGAGGCCACGTTGCTGTTTTGGTCAGTTTTTACTGGGGCGCTTGCCATTGTTGCCAGTTCTTCGAGTTTCTCATAAATTGAATGGTTTCAAATGTTTAAAACAAGATGACGTGCTATTTTTTTGAAACTAATTGCCATCTCTGTTTTTTTTTTTTTGAAAATTTTACAGGGTTAGTTGACAATTCAAAGCATCAACCCTAGAACACTATTGTATCAGATTTTTTGGAAGTTAAAAAGTTAGAAAATAGGTACCTTGGTGCATTAAAATATACTCTAAATCAGTCAGGACAAAAATATAGAAAATAGTTTTACAATATATACATTCCATTAGTATTTTTGTACTAGTGGTAAGCAATATTAGTGTTCTAGGGGAAACTAAAAATACTTAATTCTTGATGAAATTTTCCCTCAAAAGCTAAATAATTTATTTGTGTGTTTCATTTTAATTTGGTTATTAATTTAGAATAAGTGCAATGTTAACTTATTACAAGGCCAGAATTTTTGTTTAATAATAGCATTGTATAATAGTATCTAGTGTCTTACTTTTTAAATTCAATATTTTATTTATACAATAATAATATTAAGAATCATTGTGACATTTCTTGAAATAACTTGTCTAGGTATTTTCTATGTAATTTGTAAGTATCAACAAATAATGAATATCACTATTGTGCATAATTGTTTTTTAAATCTGGAAATTTAGTTTTTTAGGTAGCGTATAGGTTAATAACAAGGTGTGTCTAGAACTTTTTAAAGGATAAAATTCTCAGTACAGAATAAAAGATATCAAATTAACTTTTTCATTTTAATTTTTTTACGTCTAAGGTTTTTAGGGGTTGAGGAAAATATGAAAGTATCAATAATTTGGGTTTCAATCCATTCATCTTTGATGGATGGGAAATGAATACCACTTGAAAATACCAAAAGGCGATTTTGGCAAAACATCGTGAATTCACATCCATTGAAGATGAACACATTGAAAATATCACCAAATATAAAGACAAATTTATAAATTCTGCTTTAAGACTCATTCCCAAAAAATGCCTGTTAGTTTTTTCAGTTCTTGCATGTTGCTCGTGTGTTATGATTTTTCAGTTGAGTTTTTGGATAAAACATTGTATGCTACTCGTGTGTTATGTTTTTCTGTGGTATAATTTTTTCTCGCGTAACTTATTTTCAACATAACACACTAGTACCATAAGTAACTATTAGTTTTAGGAGGCCTAGATTGAGCTGAAAAAGTCTTTAGTTAACACGTTAACCGCCGTGTAGGTCACCGGTGACCTACGGGTAATCGTGCCTGGGGCGCCGCGTAGGTCACCGGTGACCTACAGCAAATTTTGTCAATAACTCTGTCGAAACCCAACGTTAAATGGGATTTCAAGGCGGTGTGGTGACCTACCACGACTCTTCATGTGCAGGAATATCATGTTTTTTCTGTATTGTATGTTGCATACCATTTAAGTTCATATCATATATTTGCAAAGGGATTTTGTTGCCTGCTACGCCGCGTAGGTCACCGGTGACCTACGCCCTGAAAATCACTCTATTTCAAGTACTGGTATTCTTCAATGGCCTGGGAGGAAATTTTTTTGAAAATCGGCTTGGCAGTTAACGTGTTTTAACTGTTTAAATCCTAGGTTTAGTTTAATTCTCAACTTTGGGTGTATAAAACAGAAAACATTCATAATGTATATTTATTTTCTTATCACACGATTGGATATTTAATTCAATTACACAAGATACAATAATACAGCAACTCAAAAGCAACATTTCTTAACATTTTACACTGTCAATGTACCTTGTATTTGTACATTGTTCATGTACCAGGGTTGGCAAAAATTCGGAGAATTGTATTATAATGGATAGAGAATTGGATATTTGATGTTTTTGATACCATTATACCCACCTATTTTTATGTATTAAAGCCCAACATTTTCGAACAGATAAGTGCAAAAGTGTTAGTGAGCGCTTAAGAACATTCGGAAGATTTATGGATAACTTCTAAAACATTCCAGTGCTTCAAAATCATTAAGAAACTAAATGAAAACTCTGGAAAACATGAATCCATCAGATTCCTAAAATTCCTAAAGGACCGAAAACTGGAGGGGCTGCTTTGAACTGGAAACCCAAACTTAGCAGCAGAAGGAGCGGTGCAATAGATCAACCTTGGGTCGCGGTACCACTGACACCTCCAACACACACATACACAAGCTTCAGAACACTTTCAATTCAATTGTCAATCCTCCTGCACTTGTCTGAGACAAATTGGAACTTGCAAGAACATTATAAAACGCTACAGAACACTTTAGAATCAAATTATCGTTTCAGAAACATTCTAGAACGGACCAGAACTTTGGAGATATTCAAAAAAGCTTGAGATCCTTTAGAGTTTAGGTTTAGATCCAAGTTAAAATTTCCAGGAGTATTTTGGAACACTCTAGAACACTATACAAATCATATGGAACTTTTGGAAACAATCTAGAGCTAGAAGCTTTCAGTATTTATTAAAAATCGTTACAAGACACTTTAGAATTAACTTAACACAACCCTGTTATGTAGGTACAGGCAAGTCATTGAATATTAAAGATAAAAAAACACCCAGTACATATCCTGTTGAATTTAACATTCAGTTTTTGCTTTTTTTAGTGGGTGGCTCTACTTTTACAGTTGACAATGTTGAGCTGGACTTTGAATACTGTTTGGTCCCATTATTATCAGATGTATTTTTAACTGGTGCAGATTTCTTCCTGGTATACGTTCTTATGTTTGTGAAAGGCCTTTTATCGGAAGGATCAAAAAACCTTTTGGTGGAAGGCTTTTTTGATAAATCCTCAATTGTCTTGAAGATTTTTTGCTCGAGTTCTTCTATCACAGTTAACTTTGCCAGAGGGTCTTCATCGAACTCTTTTGGTTCAGTTATTTTTGCCTTTTCTAGCTCCTCTTTAATAAATACGGTTTCAAACGCAGCTGGTGATGCAGGTTCAGATTCTGGTAACTGACTAGTGGACGGAGTAGGGTCTCGTTGGTTTTCACAATTAGGCTGCGGATCAGATTTGATTTTTCTTTGATAAGTCTTTAAACGCTGCAAAATAGAATATTATTTAAGAGGAACATTATAGCAAAGTCTATATACTATAGGCATTTTTCTCTCTGTTCAGCTTGAATAAACTGACCCAAGAAAATATAATTCTTGACGTAATACTTACTGGCCCTCGAATAAAAGACAATAACAATTCATTTGGTGGAGTATTGCTTAGTATAGCCGGAATTTTATACAGAGATATAAATCTTTCGGTAAACAAATTTCTTTCAAATTTCAGCTGTTGTTGTACTTCGGCACCTTGGTTAGACAGGTATTTGAGTATACACCACTTGACTTGATCATCATTATCCCTGAAACAACTTGTTTTTTTCCTATACCTACATAAAACTTTCAATTACTTACGGCCATTCATCACAGTTCATATGCCGAACTTGGCTTTTCAGGAGCATTTGTTGTAATGCGGTCAGAGTATTTGGATTAGGAGGAATTAAGTGTGAGACACGTTGGCCGCTTCTCTTTATTACATAGTGGTCATCGACTGTTGTCAATTTTTTTGTGATTTCGGTTAAAATTTTTACATCAATAGAATCAAGTCTGGAATCAGTCTTAAATGTTATGGGAATGTATAGTTCTGCTTGTAATGTGTCTAAAATTGTCTGAACAGTTTCTGTAAAAAAAAGCAGTTGTTAACACTAAATAAACAATCTTACAACAACTTACTTGTAGCTGATTCCATGAGGTTATCAGTCAACTCAATTTTTTTAGAACTTTTGAAATAATCCCTTAAAAGAGCGTCGGTTGTTAAGCTTGGAAAACTCGTTGTAGAAAAGCCAATTTCGTCCTTAATCTACGATAAAATTAATCAAATAAACTCCACAAAGTGATTAAAAAAATACTGACCATTTGAGTATATACTTGAGGCTTACATATTTGTGAAGTTGAAGGAGCCGAATCCTCTTCCTTAATTTCCTAAAATAAACTAAATTAAATAAAACTCATTAAAGTAATTGATAATATTGACCTCTTGAGTATCTTGCATAGTTTTGTTTCCCAACAATTTTTCAATTTCCTCAATTGTAGGAATTTTTTTGTAGATTTTAAACTTGTTCGCTATCAATCTGCAAAAAAAAAAATATTCACTATGGTGAATAAATTTCATTGGTATCCTTGCCTTAGAATAGAATGTTGAGCGGAATTGGAATCTTGTCGGAATACTCTTCTAGGTGCTTCTTCTAAACCTTTGCCAGGATTCATATTCATAAAAGCCCTTAATGTTAAGTATCTTTGTCTTATTGTAGCGGAATTTCTTTGAAAAAGTTTTTCCATGTAAGCCCAACTATTACCATTTTTTTTGACTAGGGATAATATTTTTTTGTCTTCTTCCAAGGTAAAGGCACCTGAAATTTTAAAAAAGTGTAAAAACAAGAATAAATCCTACACTACTTGACAACAATGTGAAGGGCCCAGGGCCAAGTGGTTCAAAAGTACAAAAGGTCCTCTAATAGATGGAAATGAGTTTTTACAAGAGAATCTGCAACTTTGTATCCATTGTACACTCTGTATAAAGATAATCCCTTATTTAAATCACAACTCAAATTACCTCTTTTCGTGGCGTCATATAGTTGAGTATTATATCTCGCTTTAAGTTGGTTTGCTGATCTTTGAGGAAAATAATCGGTAATTTTTGTAAATTTTTTACCCCATCTAAAAAATGGAACATTGGTTTAAATTTCTGAGAAATTTTTCATCCAGGCTTTACCTGTCTACCAAAACCAGAAGCAGAATGTCTTCCGCTTCGGTAAATTTATCTTTTCTCCTGTAATTTTCTTTAAGGAAATAGGTGTAGCGGTAATAGATTTGCGTTCGGTGTCTTTTTGGGAAAAAATGCACTATTTTTTCCCAATGGATATAGTTGCCTTGTTTGTATTTATCTACCAGGTCCAATAATAATTTATCTTCTTCTGCACTGAAAGCCCCTTGGATTCGGTGTGATTTGATTTCCGAGTAAAAATGGAGACATGTTATAAAACCTCTGCGATTACCACCTAAAAATAATACAAATCATTGAAATCATGACAAGAAAAATATCCCACTTTGCTCACCTAATTTTTCAGCAATCAAGTCCCAATTCTGATAATTATTGGCAGGAACTAAAGATTTTAATTTTTCATTTTCCTCAGGGGTCCAGTAGTTTTTATTAATTTTAGGGTGTAGGTAATTTTTCCACATATTTAAACAATCTTCTGCTTGATATCTGAGAAAAGAGATGTAGTTGTACCTATATGAGTTGTTTGTAATACGAATTTTTCTGGTATGTTGTAAAAAAAGAAAAAAAAATAAGGATTAAAGTCAGCTTAACGTTGCCAAACTACAAGTTGATTATCATTAAAATTCGTAAATCTTTATAGACTACTTTTCCGCAAATTAGAAAAATTTCTTGTATTTCCTAGGAAGGAAAACTGCTGCTTTCTACCCTCATACAACAGTCAAAAATGTCATTACCTGAGAAATGTGTAGGAGATTTTTTGGATTTTTTTTTAAAACTTGTGATAAAAATTACGAATATGTATATACAGGGTGTTACAAATTCAAGCCACATTAACTTGATCTCAGAAACGATGGAAAATACAGGAATTATTAACTTATCTCTGAATATATTCGGAATATCTTAAAAATAAAAGCGATATTTTGTTAAGCATCAAATTGCCCTGATTTAACCAACTGTATATCTCTCATCGTTTCCGAGATCTCAATGATGTGGCTCGAATTTGAAACATCAACTATAGTATTTTTAATACCCATATGAAATAACCCCATCCAAAAAATTACCAACCAATCACAAATAACTAAAACGACTGGTACTTCCAAATAGGTATGAAAAATACTATACATAGTATTATTACTTGTCATCTAAAAAATGCATAGCTATCCGTGACCAATCCAAACACTTTTCATCCCCTAGCTCAGGATATAGATTCCTATTACTGGCCTCTACAGCTGCAAATTTTTCTTCGAGTTCTCGCAATTTGACTTTGTCTTGTCCACTTTTTTTCTTTTTCTCTTCCAATTTTTTTATTTGCGTTTCCAGCTCGTTTTTTTTCAAATTTTTATACCAAAATGACACGCCTGAAATCAACCTAACTATAATTTTTTTTCAATACTCTTTCCAATAAATACCTTCTAGTAATCTAATGGTATCATCATTTGACCATCTAGGCGAAGGCCTTAATCCGTAAAAGTATAATTCTCCTCTGGCCTCTTTCTTTTGCATATCGGCATTTCTAGGACAAGGATAATCGTCTGCGGTTTTGAAATAGGGAAACCCTAAACGCCACAGCTTCGGCTTTTCCTAGGATGTTAAAATTTAAATTAAAAAACAATTTTAAATCACCAAAAACAAACATACTATTGCCTTCATCCTTCTAGTTCCTTTATCAATTTCTACTTCTTCAGCTAGAGCCCGTTGACATTCCTTCAGCATATTGCTAAACATTTGGAATGTTTCCAGTAATTGCATATTTTTCTTACGGTTGAGAAAGATCAGCTCTTTTAACTCGGGATCGGTGCACGAGGCCACAACTGCCTGTTCTTCTTTTGTAAGCGATTTACAGGAATCTAGTTCACGAGTATTATCAGATTTTCCATCTTCATCAAACTGTAAATTATTAAAACATAATATTTAATATCAATGGTTTTCTGTGAAAGTGGTGTACCATGTGATCAAGAGCCACAGATAATCAAAATTTGAACTATTATACCGGCTCTTGGTTCTCTGGAAAATTTTCCTAGAGCCAATTAAGAGACGGTAATAGTCAAAATTTGAACTGTTATCAACTCTGAATTCCCTAGAGAATTTTTCTAAGGGCATTCAAAGCTCAAGAGCCGATAATAATTAAAATTTCGACTGATCATTAGCAGCTCTTAAGTTGATATTAATCAAATTTTTTTCTTTTGCAGCTTCTAAATGGGTCAAGGAAAATTATCCAATGGGGTATAATTGTTACTTAGAATTGACAATTAGGTATAATTGTTACTTAAAACAAAACTGACAATTAGGTATAACTTAGAACTAACAATAAGGTATAATATAATTGTCATTTGTCACAATTATACTTAATTGTCAAGTTGCAACTAGGTACTAGCTGACGTTACACACATAACCTCATTTTCGATAGGGGGACAAACGAAGCGTTTATGTACCATTTACAGCACTGAAAACTGTGGCACTGATGATAGAAAACGTCACTGCGCCTGATTTGTCTGAACATGTAACAGGTTCATTTGAGAAATATCGTTTGTTTGTTTCATTGAGGTTGGTTTGTCTCAATGACATCTTTGCACCCCTATAAAAAGTGACGTTATGTGATTTGTGGCACAGGTGTTTATAAATAGCCCCTCAATCATATGCTTTGTTTGCCCCCCCATCGAAAGTGAGGTTATGTGTGTGACGTCAGCTAGTGCTTAACTGATAAATAGGGCTAATTGTCAGTTCTAAGTAACAGTTATACCCAATTGTCAGTTCTAAAGTAGAAATTATACCCAAGTGTCAGTCCTAACTGACAATTATAGAGGAGGGACAAAAGAAAGTGAGCTGTCCGCTGAGCGTTTTTGTAGTTTTCTGATTACTCGGATTTTAATTATTAAATGTACATGCCTCAAATGTTTCTTCTTCATCAGAACTGGTCGTAGTAGCAGTGGTTGGAGAATTACGTTCTATAAACTCGGCATATTCAAACCCATGCGGGCCCTTTAAAATTAAAAAGTTTGTTGATAAATAAACGTATAAACAGGTACATAATAACGTTGATAATAATGATAACCAAACTTACTGCTGGGTCTATTCTTATCATGTTTTGGTTTTTTAGATTTCTTCTTGAAAAAAAACCAAGATATAGAAGATATATGGATCAAATTGTTTCAAGATTCACAAATTTACAATCCTTACTCCTCGAATTTTCTCTCTTTTTCACGAAAATACCACTAGTAATATAACATATGAGTTCTACTAACAATGGCTGAATATTGCTGGTGGTGACATCTATCCATCATTTAGTGAAACATTTCAATTATTTAATTAGAGGAGGGCTTATCGATACGATATATCGATATATGCCTCGATCTTGGAATTTTACTCTCAAATCTCAGAGTGAGTTCAGAAGTATCGGAAACAGATCCATAAGTTGCATCATGAACTAGGAACTGGGATCAGCTATTCAACAGGGGATTGGCGTGGAACCGGCGCACTTTTTCAACAAGTGGTCTTACCGTGTGTTCAGTATTTTGATCTAAGTTCTCCGAGCTTGAATTTATCGTTCGTTTATTTAAAAAGTGTACTCGGAGCAGGCTCATTCATGTTCGTTCAACTGCTCTGTACGCTCGTTGGCTACGTGATTACGGCTCCGCTTCAGCACGCTCTGCTCTTTGAGCAAAATACCCAACGCAAGCTTAAAGTAGAGAGAGCGTAAAGTATACAACCGGCATTTTAGGACTACTAAAAATTTTAAAAACGTTGAAAGTGGGTAGGGGCTCATTATCTACTCCATGCTCTATGGATTACAATAAATGTTTTTGCTATTTTCTCGTAGGTCAGTGCCAGTGCATACTCAACGAAACAAAAAATACAAAACTATTCTAAATATTTACACTATTGGTGGGTTTGGCTTGCTCACTCCGAGTGACTCCATTCGCACTCTAGCCGTTCCGGGTAAGGTTCGGGTATTGCTTTTTACCGTATTAGGGGTGACTCCATTCGCTCTGTTCACTCCACTCCGACTTTGCGCTGAATAGCCGAACCCAGCTTATAATAGTTATTTTTCTACAAACGTCACTAAAGTCAAGGAGAAAACACACTCCAAGGAGTGTTTATCCAAGGAGAATACACACTCTAAGGCGTGCTTATCGGCCTCGTTTTTGGTAATCGCCGCCATATTGGTTTTCAACTGTTTTCAACCATTGCCGACGTCATAACTAAGTTGTCAGCTGTTTAAACAGCCTACATCAAGGCGAGAAACGCCATCCTGCTTACGTCACAACTGGTTGTTTGGCGTGGGGGTAGGGGAGTATTTGTTACACACAGGCCTTATGAGGATAAGCCATCCTGTAGTAGCAGTGTGTATCATCCTTGGTGCTTATCGGCCTCGTTTTTGGCAATCGTCGCCATATTGGTTTTCAACCATTGCCGACGTCATAACTAAGTTGTCAGCTGCTTAAACAGCCTACGTCAAGGCGAGAAACGCCATGCTATTACGTCACAACTGGTTGTTTTGGTAGGGGGTAGGGGGGATCTGTTACACACAGGCCTTATGAGGATAGGCCATCCTGTAGTAGTAGTGTGTATCATCCTTGACTAAAAGTGTTATTTTTAACGGATGCTGTCAGTGTCTAAAACGCCATTTTAGGACACTGGTGTTAAAAGTGATTACTTTTAGCACTGAGTGCTTTTAAACAAAATAAAATGTCACTTTTAACACGAATATCATACACTATTTTTTTTACAAACGCACTAAATGTGATTACTTCTAGTACTCAGAGCTAAAAGTAATTACTTTTAGCACCAGTGTCGTAAAATGGCATTTTAGACACTGACAGCATCCGTTAAAAATGACACTTTTAGTTACGTTTGTAAAAAAAATACCATATCCAAATCCAAGCGGCAGTAAATGTCATTAAATAACATAAATTGTAAACAAACACCAGCCTTCCTATTGGTTGAAACGCCCTACCTGGACCAGTGCGCATGCACGGAGAACATTTGGGGCGTGTTTGGGTTGTCATCGCTCGGCGGAACGAGCAGAGCGAATACGGAGTAACGTGATGTCACAGGAAGTACACCGTGTCAAGCCGAATAAACTCGTGCAAAATGGGTTGAGCGATCAGCTGATTATTGTTTAATTTTTAGGGATATGTTTTCTGGAGTCCGAGTTCGAATTTCCACCAGAGTTTTCTAGTTCCTTTTTTATTCTTATCGATATTTTTCAAACAGCCCTATTTTCTTTTGTGTACTGCTATTGCTGCAAAGTCCGCTTGGGAAAATATGTTAAAATAACTAAAACTATCCAGCTACTGTTAAAATTTAGGATTGTTTATTTGTCTCGTCATGAAAAATAGGTTCGGTTAGGTTAGCAGGACCTTTTATGACGTCATCCAAGATGCCTCAACATAATGCAAATCTTCATAAGGCACCCCAGACGCGTCATCGTTACCCATTACCAGGCACCATATGAACTTTAGGAACCTTGAGAAAGACCTACCTTTTTACTTGTAATAGTTGTATTCCTTCCAAGAGCTTGAAATACTCGAGCTGCTCGCTCCGGTGTTCAGTCGCCCCCGATTTGCAGGGAACAGATGCGTGGTGCAACAAACACTTTTCGAAAGGAATAAGCGCGTGAAGCCCCGGAGCTGTTCCGGAGCTCTTCCTAGGTATGAAAGGAATACAACTATTGTCAAATCAGACGTAACTGATTTTAAGCGTTCGAGGGCAAAACGCATAGAGTATGATGGATGTGAAGTGTTTCAGAAGCTTCGCACTCTGCACCGGAAAGCGGCTCTGATTTGCACATGCACGCTCTAGCTGCCCACTCCACAAACTCGGAGTTTATCGGGCTCGCTCGGAGCGCTCAAAATATTTCAAACCAAACACAATCAGCGCTGTCGGAGCTTAAAAATAACAGAAGAGAGAACCATCTTTACTGAGACCCAACTTTAGCTGAATTTTCGCGACGAACTACTTCCATGATTTCATGAACACAAACGCTTTGGCGAGAAACTCATGACGTAGCTTCTAGCCGGCGTTCAAACTCGTGACGTCACTGACGAACTATAGTTCGTCCTTGGATGAACTACATTCGTCGCGAAAATTCGGTTGTAGTCATGATTTATGAACTTGTTCTATGTCCTAGCAACAATTCCCCACTAAAGCCTAGTACATATTTATAACCGCGAATTGCGGATTTTTATTTCGCGGATTTTTTTCTATTAAGCCTAGTACTCATAACTGCGGAATTCGCTTTTTTTGACATTGCTTCGACAATTTGACGTTTAATTCACGCATAAAACGTCAAATTGTCGAAGCAATGTCAAAAAAGTGCGAATTTCGCAGTTATGAGTACAAGACTTAAGTCGAATATATAGGATTCCAGCGATCGGTCGATTTTTCCCAAATTTTGATATGTTGTAGAGGATTTAATTCTTAACAACCTTTAAATGGGACGAAATCTTGTAGGTATTACGGTCTTTGAGATATGAGCGTTGAAAGATGAACTTTTTTGCGACTTTTTGTGTGGAGAGTATACGAAATACTAGTGTTTATCAGTCAAAATATTGACAGGTTCACATATTTTACGTCAGTTACAAATTAATGTCAACATAGGCTAAGGCCGGGACCGCACTGGGGTCAATGGTGGAGCCAGTGTTACCCCGCCCTTAGCCCATGTTGACAAATGTTTAGTGACGTAAAATATGTGAACCTGTCAATATTTTGACTGATAAACACTAGTATTTCGTATACTCTCCACACAAAAAGTCGCAAAAAAGTTCATCTTTCAACGCTCATATCTCAAAGACCGTAAGGTTGTTAAGAAATAAATCCACTACGACATATCAAAATTTGAAAAAAATCGACCGATCGCCAAAATCCCATATAAGGTGTGCGGGGTCCTTTGTCATATTCGACTAAGGGCGGGTATTATAAAACTACTTTGAGAGTTAACTTAAAGTTAACTTCTGAAATTACATGTGATTCAAAAAGTTAACTTCAAGTTAAGTTTTATAATACCCGCTCTAAGGGCGGGTATTATAAAACTGCTTTGACAGTTAACTTGAAGTTAACTTTTTGAATTACATGTATTTTCAGAAGTTAACTTTAAGTTAACTCTCAAAGTAGTTTTATAATACCCGCCCTAATAGAAAGAAATCCGCAGTTCGCGGTTATGAGTACTAGGCTTATTTGTGACGTTAACCGCAAACGTCAACTCTTGGCGTAAAATGCATGATCCTATTTTAAAGCATTAATGAAAAAAAAAAACGAATACCTAAACGTTAAAATCACTTTTTCTACATTTAAAATCGACGAAAAAAATTAACTTATAAGCACAGCCTGAATCGCAAGCAATCCATCGAGATCTACGGGTGACGTCACCACTATCAGTTGCTGATAGTGGTGACGTCATGCGCAGACCAGACTGTCTCGAAAACTAGCGAACGTTTCCACTTAAAACAATTATTGAAAAAAAAATGTATTCCTTACCAACACACTTTAATCATACAAAGTATACATTTTTAATAAAACAGAAAATAATAATGCCCAACTTATCATAAATCACAAATACCTACATATAAAAGATTTTTTAAAAGAGAATAATAAACTAAATTTAGAATCCTCAGCTTAAAATTATCCACCAAAAAAATAATAAAGTTTTATCAGTCAACAATAAAATTTTGAATAAAGTTATAGAGTAAAATTAAAATTATACAGTTTTGTGTAAAATATTTTCAACAGTGAAACTAAAATTAAGGTGTATATTTACATTAACTAATTATAGAGCGATTTAATTTGGTACAATTCTTTGTAACAATTCTTTATTAAACCTATTTAGGCTTCACCTTTGGTTTGACATAGTATTGCTGATAACATAAAAATACATATATCTAGGAGCACATAACTTAATACTTTTTTCAAAATCTGAATTTCTCTTTATCCTATATATTCAGGCATGGGATTAGAATTTAATGGTACCTATTAAATATTGAAATTCCTTGCTGTTTTGTTTAAAATAATTATAAAAATAAACACTTAATACTTTTGATTTTTTTTTTTGAGGTATTGTTTTGTTTGCTGTGTAACGACAATCAGAGAGTTGGTGCAAGTTTTTTGTATTTTGCAAAATCACTCTCTATAGACAAATTCCTATCAATTAACTAACTTTTTACCACCAAACCAATCCTTCTATCATGGCAAGAAGAAAAAAGTAACAAGACAAGGCTCCAAAAATGCTATTCAACAAAATCACTAAAAATTCAACAAATCAAGAGTGTCGTTTCATGTGAATATTCAAGTGATCGGCCCTAACGAAGGTTTTCTCACATATCGCACACTCGTAAGGTCGAGCACCGGTGTGTTTTCTGTAATGCCTTTTGAGCTCATCCGAACGGTTAAATTTCCATTCACAGCCTTCCCAAGTGCAAGCATAAGGTTTTTCACCTACAATTATTATAATTGATTTGTGCAAATACAAATCAAAATATCTTACCAACCTGTATGAGTTCGTTTATGTGCTTTAACATGCGAACTCTTTGTATAAGCTTTATTACAACCTTCCACATCGCACTTATAAAATCTTCTCTTTTTGGTTTTTTTAACTGTTAAAGTAACTTCTGGGGTTATTGAGTAAACTGTGTTTTCTTCCATGTATCCTATAGGATCGTCTTCCGTCTCTTCCATCTTTATTGTGATTTCTTCTAAAGTTTCTAAACTATATTCTTGTTCATCAAGTTCTTGTTTCACATTCACACTAATTTAAATAAAATAATGTTTATATTATAAAAAAAAAGGGTGTGGTCCGGAAAATAAATTTTCAACTTACCATTCAACTATGTATAAAGGGTTTTTACCGTCGTCTACTAACTCCATTTCTATTATGTTTTAAATAATTAATAAATCAAATTCAAAGGGGTTTTCTATTTAAAATATCCAAAGGCTTATTTTGAATTTTTTTCATCAAATAAAAATAAACAATACGCAACTTTTGGCTCACATGATAAGCTGTCAACTGTGGTTATATATCGATTTTATTCGGATATCTTTGTCTGGCATGTAGGCTCAGAAAGAGATAGATATTTTATGCGCAGCAAGCAAGTACCCCACCCTCTTTAATATTTGACAGTAGTAGTAAGGGTGCGTTCGAAAACACAATAAGTCGGTCTTATTTCACTAGAATCAATCCGAGCTTCCAAGTACAGCCTGGATCGTAAGCAATCTATCGAGGAATGCGGGTGACGTCACTACTATTAGCTGCTGAAGGTCACTCGCAAACTACGCTGATTCGAGAATAATTATTGGCGTACGTTCTGAGAATGAGCAATCCTGTTAGTTTACGAATCCTGAGTATCATGTTTTGTCTTAATAGTCTATTTACACACATCAGAGACGCATTTGAACGGTATCAGTTCAATTCAATGACTTCAGTCAGTTGAGTCAGTGAGTTCAGAATTCGGGCTGAATATACAGAAAAATACAACATGGGTACAGAAGTGCATCAATTATCGGTGTCGAAGTATTTTTATTTTCGCTGCAGGCACACTAAAGCCACAGTAAATTATATCTTCTTCTTTTAGGAAGCAAATCATATTTCATATAATATTGTCATATTTTACCACCCAGCAGATATTGAGGAGCTTAAGCCGACCCCCTCCACTCCTTCTCTAGGCTCCTCCCTACGACAAATCACGCATGAAAAAGAACACAATTACAAAGTTATTGTTAATTGTAGCAAGTAATACAGAGTAGGAGGCCTACAAGCCTAATGTTTTTTAATACTATCTAGAAGCAAATTTGCTATGAAAAAAAAAATTGTCTAGCCAAGTGTCAAGATTGATTTTACCTAAAATGCTCTGATATAGAAATACAAAAACATCTGTTAAATGTATATTGAATTTCTACTAAAAACCACATCATTTTGAATAGAAAAATTATATTAAGCATATAAAGATATCAAAGAATATGAATGATTATTTTCTTGTGCCAGTCACACTAATCACTCTCTTCTTCATCACTGAAGTAAGCGCTCGGCTTTATTTTCTTCTTCGATGTGCTCTGTCCTTCAACATTGCTATCATACGAGCCAGTAGCCACTTTAAAACGGTATTCTTCAAGATCAATTTTTTCTTGCTGAAAATTTAAAATAACAATATTATCTATTTATAGGTTTCAATTTTTCTTCTATGTATTGTATTTGAAAAAGAAAAATTATGATCTACTAACTAATAACATCTGGATGTGAAACAGAAACTTCATTAACAACCAACTTACTTCAGTTTGTATAGCAGCACTCAAAGTTTCGTCATCAGATTTACAATATTCATCATCCGAACTATCAAAATATTGCTTTTCTTCCTTAAAACGAAAACAATAATGCAATTGATATATTAAATGAAGACATTTTAATACCTCAGTTAATCCTTGCTGATCGTCTTTCTTCTTTCGTACTCTTACTTTTTTCGGGGGCGGTTCCCGATCTCCTAACAAGTTTTTCGAGCAATTATAACTTAAATGTCCGCTTTCGCCGCACTCGTAACATCTGGTTTTATCCGGGTATTCCTAGATCATATTTATTGCATGAGGAGTTACCATTTTTGATTAAAAAGAAACAACAGTAATAATTTATCAATACTTTATTTTATAGAATTTCATCTTTTAAAGCTAGAATTATTATAGAAACCAGATTGCCTAATAGCTTTGCTAATAATGTAATAGGACATGTCAGAAGATTTTTCTTTTGTACAAAAACATTAAGTATAGTTTTCTATTATGATTCTGATTATTTGAGCCAACATGGAAATAAAGTTATTAAGGCAAATTAACTATGGTAAAAGTAAAGCCTCTCAATGAAAATTGTAATAAAACTTTAAAAGTTCTTTCATTTTCAACCATATAGGTATGTAATGTTTACTAGTCATATCCCAGCTTTATTTTCCAACCATTTGTCTGGTCCAATTTGAGCATAGTACACAAATATATCAATCAACCAATAATATAAGAACATAATTATAAACCCCCTAGTCACTTATTTAACTTAAATATTGTAAGAGGGAGACCAAAAATTAAAATATTATACTATCTTTGACAGGAAAATTAATTATCCCTCTTGCAATTGCAATGAATAATTTTCCATATTGTATTACATATATACTAATAAAAGCCCTCATTGTCTAACAGCCACTAAAAAGTTTTAATGCATGATCTGCCAAAAGTTTTCACTAGATTGAGCCTTAGGTGCCAATTAACTTCAAACAAGAGTGTCAGTAATTTAATCTGATATTGGTAAATTCATCTTTTAGAGACAATTACCAGTAAGTTTATCTTTATCTAAAGATGAATACCTCTCTTGTTCTTGTGCATGTCGCCAGACAAATGCCTTTAAAAGTACACCTCATTGTCCTTTCCTAGACAAAATCTTGACTTTTAGAAGATCATACACAAAAAATGTTCACTGGCTCCTCAACTATCAGTAATTTTGTATAGGAATACCGTCAGAATATTAAATAATCTACGTCAATACCTCTCTATATAACTTATATTTAATAAGATGGAAAACAAAATATTCACAATCAATTGTTCTCCCATACACTTTTTCAATCCAATATTCTAAGCCTAGTTTAAACAATCAACACACCTAAAATTAAGAATCGGTCTTGAAGACTTAAAGCTTGCATCATTTTTTCAACTAGGTTCACTTTTCTCCAAGCACAATAATAAATCATTGTCACACAAACTTATTCCTTAGGCTTCCACGTAACATATTTCATCTTATTATTTAAACTATCCAAAATCATACTACAATGACTAGTCATTTCCGGCGTTAGCTTCGCCATTGGATCGTCCGCTTCGTCTTCTCCCTCTTTCTTTTGCCTTTTCTGCTTCATTTTAACCTCCGCTTTATCAATTATCTCATAGTCCTCGTCATCATCGTCATTTCTGGATTCGCTCAGCCTTTTTTTGAGTTTTTTAATGTGTTTATCGTATTCCAAAGCGTCGTAATAGTTTGGCTTTTCGCGACGGACTCTCGAGGTGCGTCTTAAGTAGTCTGCTTCCATTGCAAACTCGCGCGCTATTTTTTTAGCGTTATAAAAGAAATGGCCGCAAGGACAGGATTTGCAGGCAACTGGGACTTGAGCTTTGCAAGCCGGACACATTTTTGCAATCATTTTTGGTCTAGGCATTGTATATAATATTCTAGTTTGAATCAAGGAAAATAACTTGATTTAGAGTAATGATGTCAATTTCTTCAGTAGCTGAAAGGGGGAACTTTACTAAATTCTTAACTATATTTGCTTTTTTTCTTATTTTCTATAAATACTACAGATTTTTTTTATTTAGACTGTATGTGCTGTATAATATTCAAGACTCAAAAGAATATTTATTAAGGGTTTAAAAAGTGAAAATAGGTTTTTTATTCAAGAAACTTAATTATTAGGAAGAACTAAACTCTACTTCAATTCAAAGAGATATATCGATGTCAGATATCAAACTGATTTTATAGAAAATGGAAAATTTGGGAATTGTGTATGAATTCCACAATAATAAACTGCCAATAAATATACTGCAGTCCATAAAAATTGTTTTTGGTCTGTTGTTCCAATTCAGATCGAATAGAGTACCTATATACATGTTCTTATTTATATCACCTACCTTTCTTCTAATAAACTCTGTTGTTCTGCCATTATCCTTTGCTATACTCGCTTTTAATGTTCTACCAAACATCTGAAACAAAAAAAATTACACATTTATAGGCCAATGCACTTACTTTAAGTTAAACCTTACTTCTTTCAAATTAATTTCCTGAGTGCATGTTTTCGCATCTTCGGGGTTTAAAAATAGAATAAATGCTACGCCTTTACTTTTTCTGGTAAGTCGATCCTTTACAACTGTTACTCTGAAATTACAACAGAAGATATTTTAAAGCCTCTTCCATATGAGGAATATGTATTTGATTTTAAAAAATGTAATGTATGATAGTATTAACAATTTTTTAATGCTCTAAGATTGGGATAATGTTCTACTTTGTGATAATGTAAAAGTAATATAAAAAATGCCCATAAACGATATAAATGTAGTGGATTAGTAAGCGATCTAACTTGAGACAATTATACAAAGAACTGACAGACATTTGTTACAAAAGTTTCATGTTGGATAGAGCGCAAAATATCTTAGATAATCTGATCCAAAGTTCTTTTGGAAATATGTCCAGGGTAAAAGGAAAACAATTTCATCCCAAATACAATTAAATTTAATAACACTGGCGTAACTATCATAGGGCAGTTTGGTGCAAATCACCGAGGCCCCCGAGACTTAGTGGGCTCCGCAGGAGCCCCTCTTTTGTCATAAGTACCTACTTATTTTATTAAATTCGTAATATGTGATTTGAAAAAAAAAATGTTTTCAAATGTCTGAAAATTATAGTACAAATTTATAATAAAACGTTTGCGGCTCACAGTTACTTCAGTTCTCGTGATGTACCTATCATTGGGTACAATTTATTTTTCTGTTATCTTGCATTGATTGTGTACCTATTCTTATGGGCAATTTCCATTCTCAAGATGGAGTGAGAGAAAAAATTGCGAAAAGCCCATGCCTTTTTGAATGGAGAAACAATGTGGTAAGATGAGTAAATACCAAGGTAATCACACAATAGGTTGTCTTTTGAAGGCTTAAAATTACCGTCTTTGGGCGTGGCACCCAAAGAAAACTCCGGCATGGTCCAAGGTTCCTAAAGTTAATAGGTTGTCTGGTAATGGGTAACTTGATGATGCATCTGGGCTGCCTTATGGAGATTTGCATTATGTTGAGGCATACAGACGACGTCATCAAAGTTATCAGGCAACAACTTTGGGCGGGGTCAATGACGGGCGGGCTGATCTAATCTTGCACCAAGGCCCCCTGATGTCAAGTTACGCTACTGTTTAATAACCAGATATTTGATGGCGAGCTGACTTTTTCGCACTACGTTATCAATCAGTTTATGAGGCTAATGATCAAGTAGACGACATAACTGTATGTACATTCTGATCCAGGAAACACAAATATCAGAGGATGGCGCTGGTATCTGTGGGTTGTTGTCAGATTTTTTCCAGAGTATCTATGTCCCAAAAGCTTCTAGGAAGAGAACAACAGAAAAGTACTCTCAGGATATTAATAGTAAGTCATCGTGTGAGATTCTGTTAAATGTGACTGAAGTTCTGGAAGCTTTAAAGAGTTTGGACCAAAAAAAGGGAGCTGGCCGAAATGACATCCCTGCAATCTTTGTAAAAAGATGCTTGTGCACGCCCCTTACTATGTTGTTCAATCAATCTCTTGCGATAAAAAAATTAAATGGAAAATCTGAGATAGAGGATCGATAGTTTGGCATTTCGACTTATCAGTGGAGTTATAGAAATAAATATAAAAGTCTAGCATGAAAATTAAAAAAGTTAGGAATTTTTTACGAAAATCTCTTTTTTAGGGGGAAAAAAATCATTTCTCCAAGACTAAAAGACCTACAGGGTTGTATGATGGCTCATTTTAAAGCTTCTTCAATGTTCTAAAACTATTGCCATAGTAGCAAAACCATCCGATCATTAGTTTTCGAAATACAGTGAAATAAACAAAAAAAAGCCGTATTTTTGCACTAAATATTGTTTATAAAATCCCCTAAAAGTAATTAGATGTTGCAGTTTTGGTTTTTAGCATCTATAAATGATCCTTAACAATACTGCATCGATAGTTTGCTGTTAAATTTTATGTTACGAAAAAATTTATCTGCCCTGGCCTAATAGTGGCCATTGAAACCTAATATATTTATGTGATATTCTCTATGTCATATTGTTTGTGACTTGGTTTGTGATGTTTTGATAAATAAACTCAACTTGACTTTCATGTTCCCCCAGGATCATTAAGAAATTATAAAGCTTTTCAAACGCAGCAGCATCAAGCAGGTTATGATCGAAACAGTGTTGTCAAAGCTACCGAAATTTCGGTATTTCTACCGAAATGGCAATGGACCTACCGAAATACCGAATACCGATGAATTTTTACCGATTTTCGATCATAATTACGATTCTACCAATTTTTTTACCGTTTTTCGCCGAAAAGTGAATTTTATCGTTTTTGTTTCCGCCGATTTTTCTATGCAAAGCCGCACCCAATCTACTATCGAATTTTTTGTCCGTGTCAGAACTGTCAGATGTCAAATAGATCCTCCGACGACAAATGTATTAACAGGTTGGTATCAGTGCATTTCCTCCGGGGAATACCCGTCGTGTTTCCTGTGATATCCGAATTTTTTCCCATTTTTCCGCCAATTATTGAGCGCACATTCTCAGCAATAAATCGAATGAAAACAGTACAAAGAAATAGGGTACATTCAGGCGGTCCCAGCGGCTAAGCTCAGCGCAGGGATTTTATTTTCGAAACCAAGGAACAGCGTTCTCATAAGAACGATTGCTCTGTCATTGTCAGTGTTATACCGGACGACAAAGACAGAGCCTTCGTTCCAATGAGAACGCTGCTCCCCTGTTTCGAGAATAAAGTTCCTGCTGAGTGGCTGAACTAAGCCGCTGGCACCGCCTGAATGTACCCATTGACTTTCTAAGGAAACAATCATTGGGCTTTTACATACTCAGCGACATATAAAAGCGGTTTACTGTCATGATTTTGAAATCAATAAACAATTGGGTACATTCAGGCGGTCCCAGCGGCTAATCTCATGCACTCAGCAGGAACTTTATTCTGGAAACAGGGGAGCAGCGTTCTCATTGGAACGAAGGTTCTGTCTTTGTCGTCCGGCATAACACTGACAATGACAGAGCAATCGTTCTTATGAGAACGCCGTTCCTTGGCTTCGAGAATAAAGTCCCCGCTGAGTGGCTGAGCTTAGCCGCTGGCACCGCCTGAATGTACCCATTGACTTTGAATATGTCCAAGGAATATTGGTATGATCCAAATCGCATGAATAAATCTGTATATTCATTGTTTCTTCAATTTTCTTGAATAAAATATAGGATTTGATTTTCCGCTTTATAATATAATATTTATTAAATCATACAAAACATGGCAATGTTGAATTTTAGTCTTTATGCTATACCAAAGTTTGGTTATACCTACCGATTTTGTGCAGCAATCAATCAATCAATTAATTTTCAACGCCAGTTTCTCCCGATTTAGTATTTTGACGTTCGGCAACACTGGATCGAAACACTGCAGTGAATCATGGAGGGTTGCAACAGTATTGATGTTGATCTATTTATAATCTCTGAGATTGCATTGAGAAATGTGTTGAAATGGCAGTAGTTTTATGATATTTGTAGTTTGTACCTACTGATTGTTGTATGGTCTCTCTAATCCTAGGTTTGATCTGAATGGTTGTAGATTGTAATACCTACTCAACTATTGTGGTGTGCCTACCTTGGGGAAGGTATAGGAGTGAGTATAGGAGTATTATGTAATGGGTTTTCCAGAAGGGGTTTTTCACCTAACAAAATTTGTACACTGATTAACAGTACTGAGATATTTCCATGTATTAACAGATATTTCTATGTACCTAATAACAAGTTGATGCCAACTATTTCTATGTTTTACCAAAATATTTCCACATATTGCCAGGTATTTCCCTAGTATTATCACATATTACCAGGTATTGCCATACTATAAGGCGGTTACACACGGACGTGAATGTCTGAAAACATGTACGCACATACATGAATGTGGAAACAAAAACATCAATGTGTATGCAAAATACCGTCCCGTTTTTGAATGTGCAAACCGAGGTGCAAACTGTAGAATGACACCCAAATGAATTCTGAAATCGCTAGAAATTTTGTATGCACACTCAGAATACTGTAGCAAGAGTAGCAAGACTGACAGTTTTGTGCGAACGTCTGTACAAAAGTGACATGCACGTTGTTGTTTGCACGTTGATGTATGCACGTATATGTATCAAGCCATCCACGTCCGTGTGTAATCGTCCATTGACAGACTAAAATCAAATATTTGTCTATATCTACAAGTATTGACATATATTACCTAGATTATACAACTCACTGTACATTATTCCCATATGACACGAGAGGCTTAATAAGTGATAAGCCTTTTGGGATTATCGCGCTTGGTGGCAATATTGTTCATTTGCCAATAAAAATTTATAAAGTATTGAAGTTTAGCTCGTTGTATAACCTTCTGAATACCACTCGATGTTTCGGGATTACCTAATACTTTTACCTGACACTCAACGCGTTACCAGCAACACCACTCCTCCTTCGGAGTCGTGGTGTTGCTGCGTAACGCGTTTCGTGACAGCTAAAAGTATTATTCGGTAATTCGGAAACCTCTTGTGGTATTACATTCGATAATTAACCAGTAGGTATTGCATAGTATTGACACTTTTGACCTAATATTTACCTGATATTGACATATATTCGAACATATATTAACCAGTGATTTGTACAGATTAACAAGGTAAAAAACCCCTTGGCTTTTCCGTTAAATAAATAAATAAATTAAAATAAATTTATCCAACGGTGAATTTTATTATCATAAAATATTAAATGTTGATAGAAAATTTAGGGAAATTTGTCTTATGAGGAGTATAATTGCTAATTAGGTAAATGTGTAATCTGCTGCAATAAAATCCACGCAAGACCCAAGTAAACTGGATTTTTTTTCTTTTTGTATGAAAGAGAGTAAAGTCTACATCAAGAAGATTTTGGCCTAGAAACTACATGATGTATTATAGTAAATTAATATTGGAAAATTGAGGATGTTATTCATAATATTATCATGTTCACCTACTTCACAACTTTCCCATACTTCTCGAAGATTTTGTGCAAATCGTTGTTCTTCAAATCAAAGGGCAAATTCGAAATGTAGACTGTACTTTTGCTAGGGACTAGACCACCACTCATTTCGGTTCAAATCTCATTAAATTATCATTTATCACTATTTATTTTTTTATTTAATTAACAAAGTGGAAAATACAAGCCAAAGGTTGTGTTGTTTGTTTACATTAATTCAATTTTCTTCTATTCTTCTTCTTCTTTTTTATTACTTTTTTTTCACCTATCGAAAGACGCTGTTCGAGAAGTACGTTCGACAACCTGAGAGCTGTATTCCAAACTCTAGAGCTATTCGGAGTAACTTCTAACGAGGGCCCTTTTTTAGCTCCAAGTACTCCATTTGGCTAAAAATTGAAAGCTTGCACAGCTGAACGAGCATTGGTGACAATTGACAACTGTCTATTTTTCATTTTCATGATTTTCATTTATATTTTCCCTTTAATCAAAACGAGCTTTTTTTCAACGTGGTGAATTGAAAATATCCAATTTTTTCCCAACTTTTAGGTAATGTAATGATATCAGACCCGATAGCTTTAGTACTCCAATGTCAGATACTCCTGCTGAACAAATAAAAAAGTTTGTTTTCACTTCTAATAATTCCAAAGGAGAAGCTTTGGAAATTTTTATTCCCGAGGTACTTTAAAAGATGTATAAATTTATTGTTATTGCATGTAGTAAAAAAAATAGTAATTAGTCTTCTATCCTCGTTATTTTAACCTCGCTCGATTTTCACTCATTGGAGGGATCTCAAAAATCTATACTTAACACCTTGTATTTTTTGGATTTTCCAAAAGTTCTTCTATATCAATTTCAATATTCCTAATTAAATAATCCAAAACCTAAATCTCCTTGGTGGTGGACTTTGACCTTAAATAAATATAACCAGTTCAGTATGCCGTTGACAAAATTTCCAAGATTCCATCCATTCTGTTCCAGTTGCTCCAAGCCAGTTACTCCTTTTACACTTGGCCATCGGCACCAGTTTTGGCCTGGTTCCTTTGGGAAAACCGTGCAGATCTCAAAGGAAAAAGAGTCCTCGAGTTAGGATCGGGCACGGCTTTGCCTGGAATCCTAGCGGCAAAGTGTGGCGCTTCTGTTACTTTAAGTGATTCGGCTACGCTGCCAAAAAGCCTCGCGCACACCAGAAGAAGTTGTCAGCTTAATAATTTGTCCATTAACGAGCAAATTAAAGTTATCGGAGTCACTTGGGGGTTGTTTTTGAGCAATTTGGATTGCATTGGACCCATTGATTTAATTTTAGGTATTGTATTTTTATGTGTAATGAAGTATTGCACTTTTCTGTTCTTAGGTTCCGATTGTTTTTTTGAACCAGCCACTTTTGAGGATATCATCGTGACTGTTTCTTATCTTTTGGAAAATAATATTGGTGCTAAATTTTTTTGCACCTATCAAGAGCGCAGCAGTGATTGGTCTATAGAGCATTTACTTGAAAAGTGGAATTTAACTTGTAAAGTGCACAATATTAGCACCTTGGGTAGTCAGAGTGGCATAGACATTCACGAAATTATTGGAGGACTCAGTATTCACTTATTAGAGATTTCTTGTAAGGTTTGAAATGGCAGCTAATGGTGTAAGTAAGCATTTAAAGCAATAAATTTATTCTATTTTATTCTGTAAAATTTTTCTAGACTAAATTTTACAAATTATTTGTGAGCAACTTACCTTGGACAGTGAGTCATCAAGAACTTCGTCAATATTTCAGCAAATTCGGTCCAGTTAATGTTTGTACTGTTGTTTTTGATAGAAGCACTGGTTTGTCTAAAAGGTTTGGATTTGTAAGTTTTGGCAATAGGCAAGGATTTGAAGAAGCCCAGAGTGCACAAGAACACAAAATCGAAGGCCAAATTATTCAGCTAGCTCCAGCCAATCAGGAGAACAACAGTTCAGAATAAAATCGTAAAATTATTTCTAGTAGGATTTATAGTTGTTAGATTTGAAATGGCCGCTTTTGAGGATGATTTTAGTGATTTAGTGGAACTAGGAATTGATGTAACTGAGGATGATTTGCAAAGTAAATTTGATAAATGCACTAGGCATTTAGAAGAAAAACATGGGTGTCTGGATAAACAAACACTCTCTACACTTTATGCTCTATTTAAACAAAGCACTACAGGCTCTAAGGTGCCTGACCCTAAATGGGTTAATGAGGAATGTAAGGCATTGGAAAATTTAGATATTATTGACCAGAGACTGGCCAAAAATAAATACATTGAAAAAGTGCTCACATTGTTTCCACAATTTTCTTTTGATGAAGCTGGCAGTGTCAAGAAAAGCTGGGTAAGCACCATAAGAAATTCTCATAAAAATCACTTGAAATATTTTTTTCCAGGCAAGAGTATCATCCATGGTTCCAGATCCAAAACCTTCAAACACAAACATCCAAGATTACATTCGTGCTAATGACATCACAAAAGTGAAAGAATTCCTCATTAATATACCTGACATAAATGAGCAAGATGAAGACGGTGTTTGTTTGGTACATTATGCTGCGGATGTAGGAAGTATTCCAATGCTTGAATTTTTGATAAAAGAAGGTGCTTGTGTAAATGCTATAGACGAATGCGGCCAAACGCCTCTGCATTACGCAGCTAGTTGTGGTCATAAAAACGTAGTCCAGTTCCTGTTGGGCAAATGTGATCCTAGTATTGTAAATGAAGATGGTTTTCGCCCTGAAGAGGTTGCCACTGATGACGACATCAAGGAAATTATACTTAATTTTAGTTCTTCTAAATAGTGTTGGCCATTTTGATTTATTTTAATAAAAATGACGAGGATTAATTTTGCTTTTGCTTGAATAATGCAGAATAAATATCACACTATGTCTATGATGATAAATAATCCGTAGCACTTCTTCCAAAGTTATCCTTTATGGATAGATCAGCTCCAAGAGTTTTCAAATGTTCACAAATTTCTCTCAACCCTTTTCTTGCAGCACAATGAGCAACAGTCCAACCATTTTTGTTCTGGAAATTTATCTCACCATTCAATTCACTTAAAATATAGTTAATCACTTGTAGACTGTTTTGACTAGCTGCCAAGTGCAATACACTAAAAAACAAAGATTTGCAAACCAATTTTAAATCATGACATACTTAGAAACCTTAAATCACTGTTATTTTTCGCATAAGTATCAGCTCCAAGTTCTACTAACACAGCAGCTATTTTAATATGTTGTCCTAAAATAGCTTCATGTAAAGGTGTATTGCCACAGCTATCTTTTGAATCTATATCGATGTAAGTAATTAGTTTTGATATAAAGCCAATATTTCCATGGAGTGCTGCAATATGTAATGGTGTTCTCCCATTTTTTGTTTTAACATTGACCTACAAAGAAACCTTTATTGCTATTAGACTTTTTTATGTTTAGGTATCTACTTGAAGTCCATGCTCTAATAAATAGTCAAATATATCTTCTCCACCTTCTCTTGCTAAAATATGCACACAAGTCCACCCATCTTTATTAGGCAAATTGACTTGGGCACCTCGTTTGACCAAAGCCTTTGCAATAAGTAAATTACTCTCAGATTGTACTTTAGTGCAGGCAAGCATCAAAGCTGTCCAGTCGCCCCTTCTCAGCGCATTTACATCAGCTCTAAATGAGCACAGTTTCAAAATACTTTGAAGCTGAGCAAACTGAGCCGCTTCATGTAAAGCAGTTTTGTCATCTTTATTTCTCACGTTAACTGCACAAGGGTAGAATTCGTCGAGTAAATAGTGGATTATTGTTACGTAGCCGAGTCTCGCAGCTACATGTAGGATGGTGTCCCCAGTTTTTTCGTAAGATATGGAGCTCCAATGGAAGCAAGGATTCTCCAAGTTGAAACTCTGTAAAGTAGAAATATCACCGTGTTGAACTTCTTTTAATATTTTTTCTTGAAGCTTTTTGTTCAATTTTAAACTGGCCATTAATACTATCAAATTCTAGTTTAATAGTTTTATAATAAATTAGATTTTTTCAAATTATCAAACCTAACCTACCTAAACTTTCATCAAACAAATGACAACAGTAACGAACACAATGCTGACTCCGTGCACTCTAAATACTCCGACTGTTCGGGTAAAGAATTTTTAGCGTAAATAAATACGTTGGGCTGTACGGAACGGAATCGAGTAAATGGAGCTCACTCCGAAGCTCTGTCTCAGGAAAAGAGTTTTTTAAGTAGAGTAACTGTTAAAGTAGCCATAATAGAAAGTTCTCGTGCCTCAGACGCTACGCTAATATGGTACCGTTAACAATACGGTATTTCAAATGAAATTAAAACAACTCTTCTGAGGTGCTTTCTAGTGACCCATTTGAGTTACTCCTGAACTTTGCGCGTTCCAGTACTTAGAGTTTCCTACATTTGAACTACTCATTTCTGTTATCCCCTGCCCCCTTATGCAACAACCCTTATTTCGGTGTTCCATACTCCTGAAGTCCGAAATGATGGGGGTTAAGACGAGACCGTTCCAGTGCTGCTTATGTCGAACAGTTCAAGAGCGTCACATTCCAGGAGCATGATACTCTAACAATTTAGGCACTGGAAAGCAGCTCTGATTTCGTTCGGAGTCCAAGGATAATACACACTACTAGGATTGCTTATCGGCCTCGTTTTTGGTTATCGTCGCCATATTGGTGTGTCACTATATCCGACGTCATAACTGTCGTCAGCTGTTTGCACTAGCGGTATTAGTTTAGAATTTAAATTTATGAATTATTTATTATATTATTAAGGGCGGGTATTATAAAACTGATTTGACAGTTAACTTGAAGTTAACTTTTTGAATTACATGTATTTTCATAGGTGCTTTCCAGTGACCCATTTGAGTTACTCTTGAGCAGCTCAGGAGTGCTCCACAATTACTTTGCGCGTTCTAGTGCTTAGAGCGTCGTCCACTTGAACTACTCATTTCTGTTATCCCCTGCCCCCTCATGCACCAACCTTTATTTCGGTGTTTTATGCTCCTAAGTGCGAAATGGTGGGGATTAAGACGAGAGCGTTCCAGTGCTGCTTATGTCGAACAGTTCAAGAGCGTCACACTCCAGGAGTACGATACTCTAACAATTTAGGCACTGGAAAGCAGCTCTGAAGTTAACTGTCAAAGCAGTTTTATAATACCCGCCCTTAATTGATTAACATAATAGGCAAAGAGGAAGATGGAAACGAGATCAGAAAAAAAGAGTTGTTAACTAAAACATTCACCCACATTTACATGTACATCTCACCTAGGCAGGTATAATAAGAATGTTAACCCTTAACTGACGTTGGACCTTTCTCATTTTACCTGTGCTGCGCGCGCCGCATGTGGGTGACAGATAATTAAATCGTCAATTTACTGAACGCGGTCTGACCCTGACGTAGTTGAGCTAACCTCAATAATCAATTAATATCAATCAATGGGCAATCCAACGACCTGTCAAAATGGAATTCAAAATGGAGGCCAATGCCTTTTTATCCGGGTTTTCCACTAATAATTTCTTAAACTAAAAACTTTCCATCTTAAGATACGAAAATTATCCTCCCAAACACTAGAAAATCATCTAAAAATACCACAAAAAAACAGTTTTTTGACAAAAAAAATGTCACGGTTGTGTGAGTTAAATTTATGGCGCCGATTTTTTGGCATTGACTATGCATTGACCGCCATTTTGTTTGGATTGCCCTATATTGCTGAAAATTATTACAAAAACTGTTTATGATACAATGGTTCAAATGTGTTGAATTAGATCTTGTCAGAATAAGGCGAAAAAGAAGTCAAACCTTTCTTTTCACAAGTTCCCAAGCAATCAAATTGTGAGAAAACAATAGTTATGTGCTCTCAACCCGAATGAAGACGATTTAAGTTGAGACAGAGATTTGAGGGTTCGTAAAATAACGATTTTTATATCAAATACAATAATAATTGTACAATTAAAGGTTTGCTGCGCACATTTTTGTCCAACCATGGGTTTTCTTTCTAATTAATGTTAATAAATATTTGTCATATTTACGTTTAAAAATAAACAAAAACAGAAACATAACCGAAATTGCACAATTTGACAAGTGGAACCAATCAAAGTCATTCCACACAGGTATCGCGCGTCATTATATGTGTCTTTTTCTTTATTGCAGAAATCTTAATGAACTATCCTTGTTGTTCATTGCATGAGAAAGGTCCTCCAAAACACGTGACTTTGACAAGCAAACAAAGAGTTGTGTGCCTCTTTGCAGACATTTAAATTTAGGTTTGACAGCAGCTTGGTTAAGCCCAATACTCATAACTGCGAAATTCGCTCTTTTTTGACATTGCTTCGACAATTTGACGTTTGATTCAGGCATAAAACGTCAAATCGTCGAAGCAATGTCAAAAAAGAGCGAATTTCGCTATTATGAGTAGGTACTAGGCTTTATCGCCTATCCAAAACACATGAGACAGAATTCAAATTTGAAAATTTTACAATTTTTTTCGCTCTACAACATGGCATCTTCAAATTTTGAATCCGACGTTTCGTGATCAAACTACCATCATCAACTTCATTTTTTTAAATACGGACTGGAATTATTTATGTCATTATTAGAAAGCGCCCTTCTTACCCGTCATAAAAATGACATAAAAAGTTCAGGTCCGTATTTAAAAAAATTAAGTTGATGATGGTAGCTCGATCACGAAACGTCGGATTTAAAATTTGAAGACGCCATGTTGTAGAGCAAAAAAAATTAAAAAACTTTCATAGATAGATTTAGATTGTGTCTCAAATATCAATAGTTTTCGAAATAATTGATGAAATAATTTTAGGCGCTTTTTAGAAATCTCCCTGTATTTCGTAAACAAGAAGGAATTTGGCAACACTGTAAACAAGCCTAGAATGGGCATCAAAAAAGGCAACTTTTTTCTAATTTAACCATCCTTGTAGCTCTTACCGTTTCAGATATAGCAATAATGGTATCACTTAAAATATACACCCTGTATAAGATTTAGGTGAACATCCATCATAAAACATGGAAAACAACGTATTTGATGGACCTTATAATAGTCATCAAATACGTCGATTTCAATTTTTTATGATAGACGTCCATTTAAAATCCTATATATTAATATTTAAAAGTAACAAGAGGCTGGGAAAAAAAGGCGGCGGGACCTCTATTGTCGCCACTGTATGTAAAGGTTTATTTAGCCACTGTAAGTAAAACCAAACCAAGTATGCATAAAGTAAAAGCCCTCGGACCTGTAGTGCAAACAGCCTAAGTCAAGGCGAGAAAGTACATGGTTATTACGTCACAACTGGTGATGTGGGGGGCTTCAGATTTGTTCCACACAGGCCTTATGAGGATAGGCTATTCTGTAGTAGTATTGTGTATTATCCTTGCCAACAATCCACTAGTACTTGTCAGTTGTCATACATTCCAGTCAAAATCGTCAACTGATAAAAATCAATAATGGCGACGCAGTTTTTCTGTAAAAGTTTATGATAACCAAAACAAAACAAATATTTGATATTAGAAGCGAAAATGTGATTTTCCTTCGAAAGTAATAATTTGTAATTGTGACGCAATAATGGCTACGTCGTCCGAAAACAGCGCGCCAGACAAAGCGTGGATAGAATTTTGCGAGAGACATGCCTCGGCTGCTGCACAGGATTTTTCGAAAAGTTGTCACAACTACATAAATATGTGTTTGCCGGAGAACGCGAGGCACCTGGTCAACCACAAGGATCTCATGAAGAAGTTTCTTGAGTTTTTCAAGGAGGAATTCGACAGGGACTTTAGCAGGAGACAGTTGGGTGGTACCAAGTGTACGAATGGTGTTGCCAGTCTTGCCAGCAACGAGGATAGCTTCGACATCGAAGATGGGAGTCCCAAAATGAGTCACAAACCTTTCTTTAGACGGTAATTATTATATTATTCGATTATTTCTGGAACAAAGTCATTGGTGCAAATGCGAAGAGTCAACTTTGCTTTTTTTTGTCTTTCTTCCCAGGCTCTTATTTCTGATAATTTTGTCCTACATAATAATTAAACACTTAGTATACGCTGATATTAAGTTACATGAGCTTAAACCCAATATCAGTAGGGGAAATTTTGTTGATATTGTAGCATATGAAGAACCGAAATTGAAAAGATATAACACATCATGACATTATAACATAGATTAGGTCTTGGATTACATGTACCAGTTTGTACAAGACACCTGATTCACCAGAGGATTTACCTATATAAGCTGAAAAAGGTGAAAGGCCTATTTATCATCATTTGTTATTGTTATTACTAATGACCTAATAATTGTCCTGAAACTGAAGTATTTTACATTTTTTTGAAGCACACTGCTTAAAACTGACTTAGGGCGTTACTTGAGTATTCCTTGGAGGTCGTGAGTTTAGAATGGACCTTTGCTACTAGTTGACAAGTTAATCATGTCAATTCTAAACGTTCAAGGTTTCTTCAAGGTCTGAGGAAACCTTAAGGAGTGATTGCGACTATAAATTCTGCCCTTAGTTAAAAATATTTGAAAATTTCTCCAAATTTTTGTATTTGACACTTTCGTTAAAAAGGTCAAATGAAAAAGTTTGGAGAAGGTGACATTTATAATAGATCACCCTGTACAAATTTCTAGTTGTATCATGTAATTTAGATGCATTAGTTTTCTGTTAATTTAACTCTATGAAGCATTCATCTCTTCAATAATTTAAAAATAAACATAATTTACTTATTCTACAACCAGTCACAAAATTCTCTTTTGCTCAAATGCCTGATCTATTTCAGCAAATGACCACTGGGATTTTTATTTAATAGAATACCTAAGGGCCAAATTATGGACTGACTGGTAAACATCTGGTTGTTACTTAGCAGGAACTTTATATGCACTATAGAATAGGAAGTACCTGCTAGGTAACAACCAGACACTTACCAGTTGGTCCATAATTTGGCCCTTAATGACACTAATAGACTAATATAAGCAATTAATTTTGCCATGTTTTCATGAAATTTAATAGACGATAATTTAAATTTAATAAAAGTTGCTTGTTAATTTAGCTAATTATTTTCAACAAGTCAGCATATTTAATGTCCAAAAACGTCATCCATATTACGTTGGTGCGATATAAATACATACCAATTAAGGAAATTCACAACAATTATAATAGAAAAAATTTCATGTTATACAATAATTACCCATTTGAATCAAAAAAATTTGCTGTAAATTTAACGAAATCAAAACTAAAAATTATAAATGTGTTCTGTCCTCAGATTAAGCTTCAAGATGCTCAGAAAAAGCAAGGACCTTTTTCACAAACATTCCGACGAAGATTCGATCACTCACAATAAAACTAAACTAGCCAAAATTGTGGTGGAGTGTCGTAAAGAGGGCATTGTCAATTATTCAACCCCAGAATGTTTGGATCAACCGTCAGGACCGCCTAAATGGGAAAGATGTAGATTACAGTTGGTCAAAGCGACAGGTGGTTATATGTTGGAATTTTATTCTCCACCTAAAAATCCCAAAGTAAATACAATAAATAGTAATCAAATTTTTAGTTTTAATTATTTTTTGTCTTTGTTAGCCTCGAAGTGGTGTCTTCTGCGCTCTTATAACAGAAGCAAGGGAGACTACTGCTTTAGAAATGCCTGATCATGAGAACACTTTTGTTCTAAAAGCCAGCAATAATATGGAATTTGTTATAGAAGCTCATGATACAGATGATATGAGGTCTTGGTTAGCAACTATAAAGTAACAATTTGCTTATCACTCAAATTTGGATTGTTTTTATTTATTTAATTATAGATATTGTATGAGGCTAGGCCCTGGGGCAAGCGAAGCAGGAGGCATAACTGATTATCAATCAAATAATGCTCCCGATTTACCACCGAGGCACGCTGCCGGAGCTAGTAGCAGATTGTCTTCTAGTTCAAATTTTGATATTTGTCCTAGCGGAGATACACACAGTAAGTTGTCACTTGAATGTTAGATGCAGATTATTTAATTTTCGTTTTTAAAGATACAGAATCAGACATTGGCCAGACGTTAAAGAAGGAGCTTTGGTTTCATGGCATGTTGCCTCGATCGGAAGCTACTCAGCAAGTTTTACACGACGGTGCTGGTGGGCATGGCAGGTTTTTGGTTAGGCAAAGTGAAACGCGGACAGGAGAATTTGTTTTGACATTTAATTTTCAGGTAAGGGATATTGAGTAGAGAGATTTAAAAAGCGCTAAAATCAGCTACATTTTGTAATTGGTATTAAAAATAACTTACTATTAGTCATTTTACAATACATTTATTATTTCTAGGGTAGAGCAAAGCATCTTCGAATGACAATAAACGAACACGGGCAGTGTCGGCTGCAGCATTATTGGTTCGCCTCCATCTATGAGATGTTGGAGAATTTTCGCACCCATCCAATACCTTTGGAAAGTGGTGGAAATTCCGATGTTACCTTGACGGATTATATTTTAAATCCCAATGCAAGGCAACAGGTAAGATACATTTGAAATTTGATTTAATTTTAACTAAACTTTATAGTGAAATAATAAAACCTTAAAAAACAAATTGAATCTATCTACAGATTCATTTTTTTAAAATACTTTTTGCACTTAAATTGATTTTTCTATTCATTTCTGATGTATTTTTTCTTAGTTGCAACACTCCGGCACCCGTAGTGCTGTTCCCTCGCCCAATAACACTCTGGTGGCAGGCCAAGGAACTTCGGCAAATGGAAGTTCGGACGCTGCTGGAGCGACGCGACGCGCCCCCCTTCCCGTCCCGGAAGTTAGACAAGTGAGATAGATGTTAGACCGCTAGATATTGTAGGTGTTGTTGAACATCTTGCGCACGTGTGCTAAGGATTTTAGAGTGAATGTTTCCTGTGACCTTTGAATATAATTTATATAGAGGCTTGATAAGCGAATATAGATTATTCTAGTACTCAGTAATAAAGAGTGCAATTATTGATGATTTTGAGCTGTTTCTTATTTGTCAACTTTTTCAAAAGGTATGAGTAACATTCTTGTCAATTTCTATAAGAGAGAGATTAAGGACTGTTTCAATAGTACAGTTTTGTTAAAGTTAATAATATGTAGTTACTTCTTTGCATTATTAATCTCAATTTGTTAAATTTTTCTCTTGTTCTTTTTGGTGGCTTTCCTGTCTTTTCATATTTCAAGTGACATTTAGTTAGATCACAGTCAAGAAGTTACTCTACTCTAATGGTAAAAGTTCTGATAAATTTGACCATAAACTGAGGGACAGAAATGCATAAGAAAGCTAGGTTTAAGTTTATAGCAAACATCAAAATACTCTTCCACTAATTTTTATTTTACCAAAAACGCTTCAAAAAGTATACAATCCGTGTTGAGTGAATGTTTTGTGTCGATGTTTAAATCCTGTAAATATTTTATTTCCTCAAAGTACCCTGGAAAGGGTACAAACTTTTAGGTATTAGTTTTGTGCAGCTATTTTTCTCTTCCCCCTTACCTCATCTTTTTTATTATTTAATTTTTATTGGTTAAGTTTAGTATTAGAACCCAGCAATATTTTTTTTTCTGTATATTGAAACATTGAGTGAGGCCCATCTCTATCATTGGAACTTTTATTATTATTTATTATAGGGGCAAGCAAACTGTTTTTTTATCAATGTATTGTAAATCGATCATTGCTTCCTCTAATCGTTTACCATCATCACGCATTTATTATTTCAAAAGTTGTTTTAATAAAATATACAAGGTGTAACTACCATAATTTTAACAACAATTTCAAAAAAAAAATACACCTTGTATATATTATTTTAATTATTTATATGTAGTTATTGTATATTATTTATTCAATGTTCATTGTATTAGTTTAGATATTCTTCTTTGGATGTTTAAACGCTTTTTTTTGTAATTAAATGTTGAGAGCTATTTTTTTGCTCTCAGCATTTTTTACTATTCCAAAGTACGCGGCTCAAATCCAATTTGAGTCTTGTCCTGGAAATCGCTTAAAAATACTCCATAGGATTCTACAATCCGAAACAAAAATGAAAATAGACTGTGCACAAAAAAGTCGCTAAAGTGCAATTTTTATATTTTTAAGGTTCCTTATTTTTAGGTTTGTTTTAGTTTCCACCTATTTTATGTTATTTAAATCGGCTTTAATTAAGCAGTAAGCAATCGGATTTTATAAATACGCATGCAATTATCGACCCTAATTAGCACTAAGAGACGAATTTTCATGTTCAATATAAGACAAATTTTGATATTTATGTAATGATGCATTGAAAAATAATAATAACGGAATCATTTGGTGAAAGTTTCATTAGCAAATTTTTCAGTTACAAAATTATAATTGTTAATAGTTTTGTTCCAACCCAGCAGAAAACCGTAATATTACCGTCAGGATTCTGCGCAAAACCTAAAATTTTTACGTAGAAACCAAAATTTGTATACAGAGTGGTTCCGAAACCGTTCTGGGACGGTTTTTTGATCGGTTGAAACAAACCTTATATACAGATCTGACAAATGATGATAAATGCATATTTTCATTACTCGTTTTGGGTATTTTTCTTTTGGAATATGCTACATATTTATTTCTAATGAAGACTATATCTTTCTTACTTACAAAAATGAAAAATGCTAATAGCAAATTCAACTGATGTTTTATACTTGATCTCTGATCTAAAAGTAGTAAACATACATATTTTGGGAACAATCTGAGAAATTATAAAAAATGGATATAATAGGGGGTATGTTAGGATTTGTTCAAGAAATGGATAACTGTTTTTGGGTATTTTTTTCTTCAAAATTATACTGCTTTAAAAAAAAATTCAGCAAATCTATGGAAACATTTGATGCATTATGCGGATTTTACAGGCAAGATATGAACATTGAAAATACAAATTTTTACATCAGAAGATTTTCATTAAGTATTTGTGTGAATATATTAATTACCTTCTGTTACCAAAGGTTAATGCAAATATGAAACTTTTACCAATTAATCATAGTAACATTATGCTTCCGTTCAAATTATCACTCGCATCCGTCAGTAATAATTTCGTATTCATTTTTTAAGATTTATAAATATACGAAACTTCAAGCGCTCGCTGATTTTGTTTTATTTTATTTTTCTATTCCTTTTTTTTTAGGGTTTCTTTTTTACGAAGACGAAAAGACAGGGTGAGTTTCCTGATTGAGTATTTTAAGTAATTTGGATTTTATTTATTACTTACTATTCGGCTGTTTCATAAATATTTGTGTTGTTATGCTTGAAACACAGCTTAAAGCGCTTATTTATTCATATTTGTTGGATCAACTTCTGGAAAACGAAACTGCTCAATCTGTATTCAGCTTGAAAATCTAAGCGGATCAAATTGATCCAAATAAGTATGTATATAAAATTTGACAATTTTTTCCTTTAAATTTCATTGGTTGCAATGTACCTACCAAAAATCTAGAGAAAAACATGATTGAAAATTTAAAAAGACTATTTTTACAGGTCGTGGCACACAACGGCAGTATACGTAGTCAAGACGCTTTGGCAGAACAACACATTGAAACGCCAAACAGGGCAGTGGAAAACCAATACAGTTTCGTTTGAAACATTTTCACCCTTTTTATGTAATTGAGGCAACAATATCATCAGAGTTCCGGATAGTTGTTTATTGTTCAGACGTAAAAGAACAGAGCTAATTTTTAGGTATTTTCACAATAATTTTGTAAATGCAATAAAACCTTTTTTTTTTTGTTGAGGAAGCAAGAATACCCTAAAACAAGGGAAAAAAGTATACACACATTTAGGTCAATTTTTTATCTACCATAATTGATGGCTGGTACATATTAAAGCTCAAGCCAAGTTCCCCATCTCTGTTCTTGAAAATTATACCAATTTGTTCATTTTATATCTCCACCTTATAATCAAAAATAATGTGCAGTGTCTGTATCTTCGTCATTCCAGCGTGAAAGAGCTATTTTTGAATGTAATTATTATTGTGTATGAGCTAATGTATTTATTAATCATTATATTATTTACCTAATAAAGAAATCATTACATTTTAAAGTAAAGCTTTTATTTACAATATTACAGTCAGTTGTATCAACAGCTTTTTACACATAGTATACTAGTAGCTATATGCGTAAAAAAAAGTAGGTACATTAATACCATCATAAGAGTAAAAATATAATACATCATCTAAAATAGTAAAACAAACAAAACAATAAATAAGCACTAGCGGTACGTTGATTTGAAAAATAAAACTAACAAACATTAATACAATATTTAATACAATGCAATTGAATTAAAATAAATTTGGACCAACAAAACTTTTTTCCTCATCTACAAGGTGATATATTTAAAATGAATGGGCTTTTCAATAGATAATATTGAAATAAGTCTCATGTGCATTTTCAATGTTTCATCTTGCAATATGATTATGAAAAAAGCATCAGCAACTTATCATAATATAATGCAGGGATTCTCCTGATCTGAGCAAATTGATTGTGATCACATAAGGTTTGTTTATGAACTGCTGAGACTAATAAAATACGTGTGAAATTAACTTTATATTATTTCAATCAAATCAAAAGAATACCTGTATTATCAACCACAAAAATTAAAAAATGACACTAAGCATAAGACACCAAAATTAAATACTCAATTCAAAACAATCCAACTTTTGTTGATATGTGTTTTTTTTTTAAATACTTACTACCAAGAGATCTAATTTGCAATTTAGAATTAGAAGCAGAGTGGACTTGCACATTACTACAATCTACCCAAATTTTTTCCACTTGCAAGGCCTAGATAGGTTTGATGAAACAATTCAATAATTTTTTATATCAAAATAAATATAAAAGATTACTCTCTAATCAAATTTAACAAGCCCGTGCAACATTAGCAAAGATTTTCAAACTCAAACGTTAAAGGACAAAAATACATTAGCACTAGGCAGAAAAACATCCAACAAATAATTAAAAACCCTGTAAAACTATCAATTTTAATCCAAACTACTTTTGTAGCTGCTTACGCGATAAGAAACAGACAGACAGACGAACACGCTCACTGATTACAATAATAATTATTAAATCATCTACTCGACATAAACCAGACAGCTGGCTCCATAGACGCTGCCCAAAGTGAACAGCATGGGAACCTCGAGAAGCAAAACGGGACCGGCATTAAGAGGGCAGTTCCCTGTTCCGTTCCTACGACCTTTTATTCTGAACATTTCCCTGGGACTTTTCGTCTGATGATGGATGCGTCGCCGCTCGTTCAATGACAGGAACTGTGGTTTTGGCTCGAAATGGAGCTTGAAGCAGCTGGTCAGTTCGGGGCGTCATAAGTCAGGAAATCTGAAAACAAATCAACACATCTTTATTTGCATTTGTAAGAATAAATAATGTAGTAACTACTAACTAGTAACCGTAAATACTTTTCATTAACAAGGTAATTTTACAATGTGATGGTGGAATTGGCTGTTTTCAGTCAAGCCCAAGGGGTAAACCACCATCCCAGAATTGGTGCAAACAATTTCTCAAAGGGGAATTTTTTTCGCATACTTAATTCCTCAAAATTCCTGCAAATTCCTCCATATACCCCATCACAAAAGTTTCTTCATGTAAAGAGGAAGGTGAGAAGATCGTTTTTCCAAAATTTAAGTTTTCCAGTGGAAAACAGCAACATGAAAAACCTTGGAAATCAACCTACAAAAACTGAATTAGTTGAAAATACAGTCTTCCACATTTCAAAGTTTTCCTGGAAAACTAGTGAAAGGAAAATTTTGAAACTTTTTGCATGTAAAGAGGAAGGTGAGAGGCTCATTTTCCCAAAATTTCAAAATTTTCCAGTGGAAAATAGCAACATGAAGAATCTTCGAAATCAACTTACAAAAACTGAAATAATTGAAAATACAGTCTCACACATTTCAAAGTTTTCCTGGAAAATTAGTGAAGGGAACATTTTGAAACTTTTTGCATGTGAAGAGGAAGGTGAGAAGCTCATTTTTCCAAAATTTCAAATTTTTCTAGTAGAAAATAACAACATGAGGAATATTGGAAATCAACCTACAATAACTGAATTAATTGAAAATACAGTCTCACATATTTTAGTTTTCCTGGAAAACTAGTGAAGGGAAAATTTTGAAACTTTTTTCATGTAGAGAGGAAGGTGAGACCTCGGGTGAGACGCTTATTTTCCCAAAATTTCAAAATTTTTCAGTAGAAAACAGCAACATGAAAAATCTTGAAAGTCAACCTACAAAAACTGAATTAGTTGAAAATACAGTCTCAATTAGTTGAAAATACAGTCTCACATATTTTAAAGTTTTCTTGGAAAACTAGAGAAGGGAAAATTTTGAAACTTTTTGCATGTAAAGAAGAAGGTAAGAAGCTCATTTTCCCAAAGTTTCAGATTTTTCCAGTGGAAAATAACAACATGAGGAATATTGGAAATCAACCTACAATAACTGAATTACTTGAAAATACAGTCTCACATATTTCAGAGTTTTCCTGGAAAACTAGTGAAGGGAAAATTTTGAAACTTTTTGCATGTAAAGAGGAAGGTGAGAAGCTCATTTTCCCAAAGTTTCAAATTTTTCCAGTAAAAAACAGCAACATGAAAAATCTTGGAAATCAACCTACAAAAACTGAATTAGTTGAAAATACAGTCTCACACATTTCAAAGTTTTCCTAGAAAAATAGTAAAGGGTTAATTTTGAAACTTTTTGCACATAAAGAAGAAGGTGAGAAGCTCATTTTCTCAAAGTTTCAAATTTTTCCAGTAAAAAACAGCAACATGAAAAATCTTGGAAATCAACCTACAATAACTGAATTAATTGAAAATACAGGCTCACACATTTTAAAGTTTTCCTGAAAAACTAGTGAAGGCAAAAATTTGAAACTTTTTGCACATGAAGAGTAGAAAGGTTGAAGGCTCATTTTCCCAAAATTTCAAATTTTTTCAGTGGAAAATAACAACATGAGGAATATTGGAAATCAACCTACAATAACTAAATTAATTGAAAATACAGTCTCATACATTTCAAAGTTTTCCTGGAAAACTAGTGAAGGCAAAAATTTGAAACTTTTTGCATGTGAAGAGTAGAAAGATTGAAGGCTCATTTTCCCAAAATTTCAAATTTTTCCAGTGGAAAATAACAACATGAGGAATATTGGAAATCAACCTACAATAACTGGATTAATTGAAAATACAGTCTCACATATTTCAAAGTTTTTCTAGAAAACTACTGAAGGGAAAATTTTGAAACTTTTTGCATGTAAAGAGGAAGGTGAGAAGATCATTTTTTCAAAATTTCAAATTTTTCCAGTGAAAAACAGTAACATGAAAAATTTTGGAAATCAACCTACAAAAACTGTATTCATTATTCTTTCGAATTTTTTAAATTTGACAACTTCCTTTAAATTCCTCATAAATTCCTCACAAATTCTTCATAAAGTCCTCCAAATTCCCTATAAATTCCCCAAATTCTCATAAATTCGGATAGGTTCCTACAAATTCCTCTAAATTCCCCACATTTTTGGCAAATAATTCCTAGGTGGTTTGCCCCTTTGTCAAGCCTAAGTTAATCAGGAACCAGGAAAATCTGAGCAACAAAATTGAATAGAAGAGTAGATAGAGTACAAAGAAATAAAAAACTTGTGACCCACTGAAGAAAAAGATGATAGAAGTGAATATATCTTGTTCATAATTTTTTTTTTATAACATAAAGTTGTGTAGAAAAAATTCAAATTCGATTCTGGTTCAGACACTAGTATTCTACCATCAAATATTTTTGATTTTTTTTAAATAAAGCATTCTTTCGAAAGTCAACAATTATTTCAATAACTCATGGTTATTTCAAGTTTAAATCTTTGAGAGTTGAATTTAAAAAGTTATTACAAAGATGCAGTTTCACACATAAGCTTCATTATAGTTGATTGTAATGGTGAACCACTTCCAGACTCAAAAGATAATTTAATTTACTTGATTAAAAGACTAGTGATAGTTTCCAGATATTTAAAACCAAGTATTGATATTTATATTACGTATAAAGAGGTTCTTACCTAGTTGGATCCTCTACATATGTCTCAGGCACCGAAAACATATCTGGTGATATACTATCCCTGAATTCAAATTCCTGGAATGTTATCTTGGCAGTGACAGTGGGCAAAATGGGCAACTCTATTTTAACAGGAAACCCGCTGGGCAGTTTAAAGTTAATAAAGTCCCTCAACTTTGAAAAGTGCTTGAAAGGAGCAATAACTTCTAGGACATTAAGGAGCATTTCAACTGAAAGAGGAAAGTCTGAACTCATTGCCAAAGTTGCCTTGAAATGTTTAGATGATTCTTTGTAAACGAGATCCCTGCCTAATCTAGGATAATTATTAACTTCTGCATTCATGTATTCCTCCCAAGTTACATTCTTTTCTGGCGGTGGAGTTAGACTGGCTCTTCTTGAAGGAACAATATTATCATTGTCAGCTATATTGCCTCCTTTAGTAAAACTGTCAAAGATTGCTTTATTTTTTTGCAAATCGTCATTAGACAAATGTTCTCTTCTCTTTCTGCTTTCCAAAGTCAATCCGTGAACAGTGTAAAGTTCAGCGTCATATTGGCCAGCCACTAGTTCTCGTCTATCTTCTCTAAATATCCATCCACTCTGCGCTCTTGTAAATGAAATTCGTTTCGTTGAGATCTGAGCAGCTAAAATGTCTGTTGACATCAAGAGATCAACTTCGTCTTCAATTTCCAACTCAGATTCCTCATACTTTACTTGCTGGTAAACTTTTCCAACATTGTCCAATACAGTGAGGCTTTCATTAGGCTTTGCATCACCTCGAAATATGAATGAAATATCTCCCCTTTCCCACCTCATATCAGAGAAATCCACTAAAGTTGTGTCCAATCTGATATTTGAGCCGCATTTGTAAATTTTACAAACATCCGAGGGCAATATCCGTGACACCAGTGGCACTAAGAAAAATTATCAATAAGATATTTTTATTGATTGAAAACAAAATCTCTGTTACCCCAACTTTGAAAATCCCATTTAAGTTCCATATAAAAATTGTCAATTTTATTTAAAGCTGTCACCAAGTTGGGTCGCCTGTGCTCCATTTGTTCTCTGGATTGTTGTCTGAATTTTCTTACCAATGACGATACTAGAAAATATTGTTTTGTAGGTATTTCACATGAAATCATACTACACTTACTTGTTGGTCGATGACCATAGCTGACTGCTTCTGCCAAAACTGTCCATCCTAGACCATTTTTAACTTTCACTAGTGCGTCGTGATTTAAAAGAAGTTGTACACACTCTGGAAATAGGGATTTTGTGAATAAATTGTTTAAAAAATATAGTGACAGCAATGTGACCGATTTGTTGATTTATTGACCTAAGGCAGAACACATTCAGGCTGTCCCAGCAGCTAAGCTCAGCCACTCAGCAGGGATTTGATTTTCGAAACCAAGGAACAGCGTTCTCATAAGAACGATTGCTCTGTCATTGTCAGTATTATGCCGGATGACAAAGACAGAAACTTCATTCCAATGAGAACGCTGCTCCCCTGTTTCGAGAATAAAGTTCCTCCTGAGTGGCTGAACTAAGCCGCTGGCACCGCCTGAATGTACCCATTGAGAATTATAATTTGATGTTACTTGTCCTAATAGGTTTTGTTTAAAAATATTTAATTTTTTCAATATTGTAATAGATGTGATATGCGTAAATGAAAATTTGATTTGATGTGACCAACATGATTATCAGTGTTGCTTGGCACGGAACACATTTTTGACTTTATTATGATGCAGCTTACTTGATAAAGCAATGCCAATGGCATGATTCACAGACAATAATAATTTCCATCTCAGGGTATAGGTTCATTAATAAAACAGGATTATTGAAAGCTGAGCGCATTTATTACTTACCCTTTCTGCCCATCATAACGGCAATATGTAATGCTGTATTGCCTGAAAATTAAAAAAATATTTAATAGGTTTTTGAAACTCATGGATCCAAGACAAGACCCTCCCTAAAGTTGACATTATTAAAAAGAAATATAAAAATTAGGGGAAAACTTTTGGAATAAAATTAAAGAGATTTTAAAAATGGGAAAAGTGAAATAGATACTGTATATTTTAAATTTTAAAAATTATTATAAACAAACTCTAGAGTTGAGGGTTGTTATAACCTCATTTCAGTGAGTCAACTTTTTTTTCCACAAAAAAAATAGTGTTCAAATAAAATTTAATGGCAAAGTAGGGACTCACCGTGTTTGTCTTTGGCCGACACATCGTATTTTCGTAAAAATTTGGATAAATTTGGTAAATCATTATCGAAAACCGCTTTGTGTATCGGAAAATCTCCAACATCCTCCTCCATCTCCATTTTTGTTTTGAATAATTTTCAATTATGTTTTGTTGTCAATTGATATTGTCATTGTCAATGTCAGTCGGTTGTCGGGATTTGTCAATAGTCCATGTTCCCTTTTCACGTGGCTCCGGTTTAGCAAACCGCAACATACCGCTCAAATTCGAGTGGTAGGTAATGGTATCCACACGTCACTTTGTAACCGGGTTAGAAAACGGTATGTAATTTCTCTAACCGTTTTGTAACCCGGTTAGTTACTCTAACCGTTCTGTAACTCGGTTAGTTAAACCGGAGCCACGTGAAAAGAACTATTGGTCGATAATTAAAGGTGGTTACACACGGATGTGGATGTCTGAAAACATTACGCACGAACGCGCAAACAAAAACGTCAATAATTGTATTCCTTTCAAGAGCTTGAAACACTTGAGCTACTCGCTCCGGTGTTTAGTCGCCCACGATTTGCCGGGAGCAGATGCGTGGTGCAACAAAAGCTTTTTGAAAGGAATAAGCGCCTGAAGTCCTGGAGCTGTTCCGGAGCTCCTCCTAGGTGTGAAAGGAATACAACTAATGTGTATACAAAGTACCGTCGCGTTTTTGAATGCGCAAGCGCTAGAATGACGCTCAGGTGAATTCTGGAATCCCTAGAAATTTTGTATGCACACTTGTAACACTTTAGCAAGAGTAGCAAGACTTAAGGCTCATCCTCAATCAATTTAGTAGCGAAGTGGCACTTCGGCACGCAAGCTAAGAAAATGTTGTTTAACGTTGGCATCCTCAATTCAATTCCGTGCTGGCATGCACGTCGACTTCGAAGTGAAGGTTGCAAGCTGCCAGCTTTTTTGATGCGTGCCGACTTATGTCATGCGCAATACGGTAAAAAATAATTTAGGTTATCCTTGCGTTCGGTATTTTGCTCAAAGAGCAGAGCGGAGCCGTAATCACCTGAACAGCGAGCGCACAGAGCAGTTAAACGCTGTATCAGAGGGCTCGAAATTTCATTAAACGAACGTGAATGAGCCTGCACCGAGTACACTTTTTGAATAAACGAACGGTAAATTCATCCTCAGAGAACTCAGATCAAAATACCGAATGCACAGTATGTGACCGTACTACACGCACAGCAGACTGAAAATTGACAGCATTGAGGATGGGCATAAATTTTCTAGCACGCGTGCCAAAGTGCCACTTCGCTACCAGATTGATTGAGGATGTAGCTTTAAGCTTAGTACTCATAACAACGAAATTCGTTCTTTTTTGACATTGCCTCGACAATTTGACGTTTTATGCGTGATTAGAACGTCAAATTGTCGAAGCAATGTCAAAAAAGAGGGAATTTCGCGGTTATGAGTACTAGGCTGGAGAGTTTTGATATTTTTGTTCGAGCGTCTGTACAAAGGCGACATGCACGTTGTTGTTTGCACGTTGATGTATGCACGTATATGGATTAAGCCATTCACGCCCGTGTGTATCCGCTTGAAGAGCGCTTTCGACTTTTGCCTCAATTGCTCAAAAAGCGATCCGAAACTGATTCACATGTTCGGTTTAAAACGGAGCGTTACTCTCGGCGAGATTCACGTGTTCGACTGAAGAACGCTCTCAAATCTCGTACAGAGCGCTCTTCTTTACTCCGTTAAATTCGACTGATCAAGATCAAAGAGTTTGATCAAAACAATAGAGGACGTTCGGTTATTTTGATTTCAATTAGAGTGCGTTCATAAACGCTTGCCCTGAGTGTATTGTGGTTAGCCTCAATTCCGATTCTCACTTCGAATCAATTTGAATCAAAGTTCGGGATTTTTGTAGAACGCAATATTTATCTTTGTTCGTGGATCATATTATCATGTGCCGCTTCCAAACCAGTCCAATAGAGCTAATTCAGAAACGGTTCATAACCGATTTTGATTGATCCTTGAACGTACTCATTCGGTATTTCGTGATTCGCGCATTTGAACTGTGCACGCGAACGTTACAAGAATCCTTCTGAAAAATTACCAACAATTTTTGCGTAAAATAGAGAATTTTGTTTTCAAAACCGCTAATGGGACGGTTTTTGATGTGTTGTGTATTGGTACTCGGAACAGACCAGGGCTGGGATCACGACGAGTAGAATTCTACTTTCATGACGTCACCCGCAACCTATTTACCACGTACAGTACATAGGATGTTAATAGTTGCTAGGAGAGTTTACACTTGAGCTACTCGCTCCGTTGTTTTAGTCGCTCCGATTTGAAAGGAACAGATACGCTGGCTTCCGTGCATTAAATGGCGAGTTCGATCTGGAGCACTCGGTGCAAAAAACACTTTTCGGAAGGAATAAGCGCGTAACACCCCTGAGCTGTTCCGGAGCTCTCCTAGGTGTTAAAGTATTACTATTACCAGATCCTTATCGATAAGATATATTCGTATCGATATGCACTATCATCATCATCGATAACGATCGATTTCAGCCATCTTTAGGTGAGTTCGGCTTGGAAAAACGGAGTTGGAGCGGATAAAGAGCAGTTTCATAGTCACGTGATCACAGAGTGAAAAGAGTAAAATGGTTAAGCCGAACGCATCGCAGGGAGCAAGGTTATCCGCCGCCCGCGAATGCCGTGGGCGTTTGCGCAAAGTCGTTCCGGGCTGCGTTCAGGAATGGCTACAGCCAAACCAATATTGGCATTTTGCGTTCGAGTTCGGCTCCAACCTACGTGGTTCGGCATTACCGGTGGAGGGGGAAAAGTAAGTTTTGGCATTAGCATTACCGTCTTTGAACGCACCCCACAAGGAACACTACTTTTTTCTTGTAATAGCGTATTTTCATCATTAGAACGAGATTATTCCCATCACAAACCGGAACATGTGTTTTTGCGGATATTTTGGGGAGCGAAGCCATTTTTTCTACCAGAGGCAACCAAGCCGTAAGCAAAAAATATCTTCTTTGAACTCTTTAGGTTAGGATCGTTGAGATAGTGAATTATCCAAAGCTAACATTTTACCTTTCGGAAATATAGGAAGTGCGCATCCCCGCTCCTCGAGCTTCATCACTCGAGGTGGTGCTTGTGGAGTTAACTCTTTTCACTCTACTTGGCTGTACCCGAACGATGAGGAGCTTGCACTATTTGCTCCCAGTGGCGTGACCCGAACGTTTTGCAGTGAAAAGGGCCAAAGGAGTCAAAAGAGTTGCCAAGCCGAACTCACCTTTTTGGTGCGTACGATTTGTCTGAACCGGTTAGGGTTAGTGTGGTGCAGTTATGTTTTGGAACGCAACCATCTGAGCTACAGGAAAATGGAACGCTGAACGGTACGAATGGTGTAAAAAGTGCGACATTAATGACGGGTCAGGGTAAAAAGTGTCAGTAGTTCGGACTTATCGTAAGCACCATTTCACAGGAGTGACACTAATGAAGTGACAAGTGACAGCTGACGGTTTCTTTCTGTTTACACAAATACTTTTAGTTTTACATCTTGGCTTTCGGCGTTTTTATTTCCTGTAATTTTGTTTAGTGTTTGCAGTGTGCTTTTTTAAATAAAATACAATTTTTATCAAACTAAAACCAACCTGTTAAAAATGGCTATTAGAACTTATGGAGATAAACCTATAACTTTCCAATTGGAAGAGAATGGCGAATACTATTGTGTTGGATCAGAGGTATATCCAAATCAATTAAGTAGCTATAATAGACATCATAATTTTGTAAAATTGACCATTTCCACTAGTCCAAGCTTTTTGCCAACTCTCATTTCTGGTATCCTTGTAGCCGCCTACTTCATAAATTTATATGCAATCATACATTGACTACATGAAAATTGTTTTACTTACAAGCAGAGCTGGGCAAAATACTTTCAAAAAGTATTTAAATACTAAATACTAAATACCTAATAAAGACTGAAAGTATTTAAATACTAAATACTATTTGACTATACAAAAAGTATTTAAATACTTATTTAAGTATTTAAATACTTTTTAATATTTAAGTACTTTAAAAAGTATTTAAATACTTTAAAAAGTATTTAAATACTTTAGAAGGTATTTAAATACTTTTATTAGGCAAATACCTTATTCAAAAACTTCAAATAGTACATTTCGTCACTAGTGCGAATAGACGGGCAGGCGGCCTTTTTCAAACGAGGGCAATGATTTTGGAACGAGTCGTAGTTCGTAGCAGAAGGAGCCATCGGCGGAAGCGAGTTTAAAAAAGAAAGGCGTCCATTCGCACTTTTTCTTTGAACCAATACAACAACCTCAGCAGAAACAACAAATATTTTTCACCAAAAGCGCGTAAAGAAACTACCCTGCCTGCCTGCAGATATTTTCAGAAGCCGTCTAGCCAAAGATACGCACGCGGCACGTGTCTAGTCTAGGAACTGATAATTTGACGAGTTCTTGTTATTCATCTGTATATTTTTTGCAGAAGAAAAAGTATTTAAATACTTTCGAAAGTATTTAAATAATTTTGATAGTAGTTAAATACTTGAAAGTATTTAACTACTTTTGAAAGTATTTAAAATACTTCAAAGTATTTAAATACCAAATATTTCAAAAAGTATTTGGATTCATAAATACAAATACCAGTTTTAGAAAAGTATTTAAATACTAGGTATTTAAATACTTTAAAGTATTTAAATACTAAAAAGTATTTAGAATTGAAAATACTGCCCAGCTCTGCTTACAAGTGTGTGGTGAAGTGCACTTTACGCTCTTATTTGCAAGTGTAAAGTAGCACTTTACATCACACTTTAAAATGCCTTTTTTTTAGAGATGCAGATACTCATAGGTAAAATTTTGACCTAACAAATGCAGAAAGTGATACTTTACTGCACGCAGTGGCAGGTAAAGGCACTTTCTGCATTTGTTAGGTGGATAACAAATAACTATCATATTCCATTTTTCTCCTATTATGTGTGTATTTGATAAACCAAGTTATAAACATTGTATCAATACATTTTCTTCAATAATTAATAATTATATTTTAAGGTGGGAAATTATCTTCGGCTCTTTAGAGGGTCTCTATATAAGAAATACCCTGGGATGTTCAGAAGGTCCATTACAAATGAAGAAAGAAAACGATTGATTGATTTGGGACTTTCACAACACTGCCTTGCCAGTAGTGTATCTTTGCTAAGGGCTTCTGAGGTCGAAGACATCATCGAAGGAAATGATGACAAGTAAATTAACTCATTTTTCTTTTAAAAAAATCTTTATACCTATTTTATTTAGATATAAAGCTGTCTCGGTTCATACAAGTGACCCACCAGTACCAAGGGAAGGTAAAAGCAAAAAGAACCAACAATGGGTACCATCTTTGCCAAATTCCAGTCATTTAGATGCTGTACCACAAGCTACTCCGATTAATAGAAACAGAGTTGCTGCAAAAAAAGTAAATAAATAACACCTTCATTTTTAAACTTTTACTTTTAAACCTTACTGTTTCCAGGTAAGAACTTTTCCTTTGTGCTTTGACGATACCGATCCCCAGCTCAACATTGAAAATGGTTGTCAACAAGAGGTTCTGGTGCCCATCCGTTTGGACATGGAAATTGAAGGACAGAAATTGAGAGACACTTTTACTTGGAATAAAAACGGTCAGTTAAACCTCAAAGCCACCTTGGAAATTAATTATTTTCTAGATTTAAACAAGTTCATGCTCTTCATTTATAATCTATGCTTATTTTAGAAAGCTTAATAACTCCAGAACAATTTGCTGAAGTCTTATGTGATGATTTGGATTTGAATCCCTTGACTTTTGTGCCTGCCATTTCTCAAGCTATCAGGCAACAGTTGGACGCTTTTCCTCCAGAACCTCCTAGTATTATTGAGGAAAACGCTGATCAAAGAGTTATTATTAAGCTGAATATCCATGTTGGAAACACTTCATTAGTTGATCAAGTATGAGAAAGAATCATATTGAGAAACCTATTTTACAGTTAAAAATTATACAATGATTTATATTTCAGGTTGAATGGGATATGAGCGAAAAACAAAACAATCCAGAAGAATTTGCTTTGAAATTGTGCTCTGAACTGGGATTGGGCGGAGAGTTTGTCACAGCAATAGCCTACTCTATCAGAGGACAATTGAGTTGGCATCAAAGGACTTTTGCTTTCAGTGAAGCTCCATTACCAACTGTTGAAGTTCCTTTCAGGTAATTAACAATTTAACAAATATTCATTCACAAATATGCTTCACAAATCTAGTGAAGACATAGTTTCTTTGAATTCATTATGAGCAATTTTTTTCTTTGTAGAACTCCATCTGAATCTGACCAATGGGCACCGTTCCTTGAAACTTTGACAGATGCTGAGATGGAGAAGAAGATCAGAGATCAAGATCGAAACACGAGAAGGATCAGAAGACTAGCCAATACCACCCCTGGCTGGTGATTTCAGTTTGATAAGGCTAAATTAAATATATTTTTACTGGCATTAATTTTCTAAATCTTATAAGTGTCTCGGTAAAAATAAGTGTTTACTGCTTTTAATTTTTGTATGTGAATATTTTCTAGAAAACTGAAATATGAGAATAAAATTAAAAATAGGTTCATACATAGAAATATTTTTGTAGCTTGTTCAATCCAAGATCAACAGTTAGGGGAGTAACTTAAGATAAGAATTAATTTGGATATTTTCTTGTGTCCCTACACTAACTATTACATAATGTGTAGGTGTGGGAGCATCAAACAGGCTTTTTATTAATTGATATAAATATGATTTTAAAGTGTATTTGCAGTTTTTGTTAATTTCTGCATTTGACTCATGGCCGTTTCCACCGACCATTTTAGGAAATCCTTAGCGATAAGTATTCTTCAAAGTGGCATTTCTCCACGTAAAAATGTCATTTTAAGGAATACTTATCGCTAAGGCTCCCTTAAACTGGTCGGTGCAAACGGCCATAACACCATCAGGTTCAAGGACGGCAATGCTAAAGCCAAAACCTACTTTTCCCCCTCCACCGGTAATGCCGAACTACGTAGGTTGAAGCCGAACTTGAACGCAAAATGCCAATTTTGGCTGAACGCAGCCCAGGGCTGCGTTCAAAAACGGCTAAAGCCGCGCCAAAATTGGCATATTGAGTTCAAGTTCGGCTCCAGCGTGCGAAAAACGGTTGGCTTTACACGTTCCAAATCGGCCGCGGTAAAGTAACTTTTGGAGGCTCTTTCAACTGAGTCTAGAAATGGTTATACGAATTTTGATTGGATGAGATCAAATTCAATATGGCGTGGCGGCCAGCAAGTTGGTTTTGAATATAAGTTTCCATGCATATTTCAATCATTTTGTTTGTTTGCAGATTTTATTTTGATTATTCAATAAAATATTTGTTAACTAGGTACGTAAACTACTAAGTCGGGCAGAAAATAGATATTTTCTTGTGTTTTTGGTCCATGTGTGGTCGCCACACCATCTTGAATGTCACGTGGTTTGGATTGCCTAATTGAGAAACGGTATTTGGCGTTCCAGCAAATTCACACCAGATTTGGCATCGCCAGTAGAAGGGGAAAAGTAGGTTTTGGCATTAGCATTGCCGTCTGTGAACACACTCCAGGGCTTTCGCGAACGATTTTGATAGTGTACTGAATATTGAACAGAACAGAAATTGCACTGAATTTGAAAAAATGTACTGAATCGCGACAAATTCGAAAAATGGAATGTATAAAAGTGGTTTTATATAGATCTATATAAAAGTGAATGTTGGATGTATAGGTCTATATATAGATCGATGGAATTTTTTATAATTTGTCTATAAATCTAGCTAAATGAGGTCAAGGGCAACTCGGAATTCCCACAAACATAACCTAAATAAATTGCACTAGTTCATTTGGCTTGACTTATCTGTGACGTCACTGTACTCTGCTCGATCCGCTCGGGGCAGACCTACACTGTTCTGGGAGTCAAAATTTGAATCTAAAATTACGAGCTACTCCTTCCTCTATTTCCTAACTAGTGCGGAAAGTGCCACTTTTTCCACGAGTTAATAAACTATCCTTTTTGTTTATTCCATGAAAAAAATGAATTGTAATCCTTTCAAATCCAAGATCTGTGATTCTTGGGTAAAATCATAGCCGTGTTCGTTTTTGTCATCTTTTTCGTCGATTTCCTCTGAAATTTTTACAGGCACGTAATTTCTCAATTGAAACTGTCTGATTCAGTTACGTGCCTGTCAAAATTTCTCAGCAAATCGACGAAAAAGATGACAAAAACGAATACGGCCCATGTTAAGATAATTTGACAGCTACTCCAAGTAGATCTTTTTGGCTGATTCGGCTTAACTCTGTAAACTCTGAGCGCGCTCGAAACGATAAGATCCTGTTCGTTTTAGCTCTCAGAGTGTTCTCTTTTGCCTTGGGCTTATGACCGCGTATGACGTCGTGATATCCTTGCTTGGAAACTTTCGTTACATTTGCCTACACAGGTTTCAGGTTTTCTTGTTTGTAATACGTGTTGCAATCAATTTCCACCATTTAACGACAAAAACAGGCTTCCTCTCCGCAGCAGCGGCACTTGGCTTCACATTCGTCAGTGTGTGCATTCCAGTTTTTGGCTATAGTAGGCTGTGCTATAGTTCATTGGTCGCACTAACTTAAACTCAGCTATAGGTTTAGCTCAGAATTGGCAGATAAACCATATAGAACGCTCACAAACGGACGCCCCCAAAGCAGGAAGTGCTGCCCCGAACAACACAAAAAACAAACCTTTTGAAGCTCGTTTAATGGGTTCAAGAACCAAAAGAACACGCTATTTCCAGGAACGCAAGGATTTTTACTCCTACTCTGAATTGCTGTTCCGAACAGCAACTGTGATCATTGATCCTACTGCATAAGTTATCGAACACAGCACCGGCCTTTCTTCAAACTCCTCCCACCACACCAACCCTAGTCAAGTTTATCTTTCCTTTTTCCATCTTTTCATTTCACCACCAACAGGTTGTTCTGTTATTGTATTGTGTTGATTGTGCATTGTTTTTAAATTAATAAATTAAGAGACTCCTCAGTATTAATTAGGCTTCTTATTTGCACTTTGCAGTAAGATTGACTGCTACCTCACAAAAATGAGCGTCAACGCCGTCAACATAAAGTAAGTTATATTTTATTATGTTTTTTTACAAAATACATTTCCTGATACAAGTCTCAGTACATACCTGGCTTATTTGCTAGCCTAACCCGACCCACTCTAATCCACTACTAATAATTCTTGGAATAATTTCACTACCTCCTAATAGCATTTGTAGAAAATAATAGTTTAATTTTTTTGTTAGAGAGCTGGTTGATTCTGGATCCAGTTTCGAAGTAACTCCTGCTACATTTGAAGAAATTGAAAAAGACTTAAGAAACGAAGATGGCGTCGAAATCACTGATGAAGAATTCGATAAAGAACTCTCCAAACATGTCAATTACCAATGCATTGGTGATTTTGAGGACGAGAACACGTACGATAGCAGCGAACCTTTTGCTGTTCTAGCGACAAAAATGACCGACTTAATCAAAGGACACTTGAAAAAAAGAGTACTTAGAGAAGGGTACGGTAATTATCCAGAAGAAAACTGTATCGCAAGAATACATTATAATTCTTACACTGAATTCAGTGAAACACCATTTGATTGTACTTATGCCAGAAAAAAACCCATGAGCGTTACTATTGGCAAAACAAGTATTATTCCTGGACTGCATTATGCGATCCAGACAATGAAAATCAATGAACTTTCTCAGTTCTTAATTGGGCCTGAATTAGCCTATGGTGAAATGGGTGTTTTCGAGAGAATCCTTCCAAAATCAACAATCTTAATTCAGGTAGAGCTCCTCGAGGTTATTGAGAGTGGGGCTGCTTTATGCTTTGAAAATCTGCCTCCAGAAGAGAAAACCGAGTTTAAGCAAGCCTATAAGTATTCTATGGCTCAATTGGCTAAAGGAAAAGATTTATTTAAACGCACTGTACCTGCAGCTGTAAAAGCATTCAATCTAGCTATAAATGCTTTAGATAACGCTCAGATGATGGTTCACGAAGAGCAAATACAACAACAAGAACTTTTGTTCAAATTACTTTCCAATCTACTAGTTTGTCACACAAAAATGGAAGAACCAAAAAAAGGCTGCACCTCTTTCAATAGAATGAAGGACATGTGTAAAGGTACTGACTTGAAAATGCCTGCTAAAGCTTACTTCAATAATGCCAGATGTTTGAGAATGTTGGGCGATTACAAAATGGCAAAGAGCCGATTGCAAATGGCCCGCAATTTAGAGCCCCGCAATCCAGATATTTTGAATGAATTTAAGATTATTGACGATGCCCAAAAAAGGGATAATGATAAGGAAAAACAAATGGCAACTGCTTGGATGAAGGCAGTGGGAACGTAAATAATATTGCTACCAAAAATTTATTTTGTATCTTATTTTTAGTTTAGTTTTCATAATTTGTTTTTAGTTTAGTTTTGGAAGTTTATAGAGTACTTTTTCTACGTTTTTATGTTGGAATTTGAATGTCAATGGGATATAGTTGGCTCTTAGTTTAGTGTTGAAAGTTTTCAGAATTTGTTTAGTTTTGGAACTTTTAACTAGAATTTTTATTTTGATTGGTCAGAATTTGCTTTTAGTTGAATTTTGAAGGCTCACAGAATATTGATACGTTTTTATGTTAGAATTTGTATTGTACTGTATGTACTTATTAATAAAAAAAATAATAATAAAATTTTTCCCCGTTTTAATTTTGGGCAAACACGATAAGGATAAGATCGAAAATCTAATAACATTTTTGGATTTTGATACGATATACAGGGTGGTCCATTTAACTTGAGACAGTTGAATAGGTTGGTGTACGAGAGGGCAGGGGATAACAGAAATAAGTAGTTCAAGTGTACGACACTCTAAGCACTGGAACGCGCAAAGTAATTATGGAGCACTCCTGAGCTGCTCAGGAGTAACTCAAATGGGTCACATAAAGCACCACCTTACCTTGCGTTCGGTATTTTGCTCAAAGAGCAGAGCGTGCTGGGCGGAGCCGTAATCACGTGATCAGTGAGCGAACAGAGCAGTTGACCGCTGAATAAAAGTGCCAGTAATTTCAATAAACGAACGCGAATGAGGCTGCACCGAGTACACTTTTTAAATAAACGAACGGTAAAGTCAAGCTCGGAGAACTCGGACCAAAATAACGAACGCACGGTTAAATGATTGTGCTGTCACCTGTCACATCACAAACAACACCCTAACCTTAAAAACTATTCAAAAATCAAAATATCAAAACTTTTAAAAAATGTCTGTTTTTATCAAAAAATCTTTATTTTCTAATAAACTAATACGACGATGTCTTTCAATTTCTCAATATCTTTCTACCCAAGTGAATGCCGAAGAGAAAGTGACACATTTTGCTCAACATTTTGGCTTTGAGCCAATCAACGAAAGTGAAAAACAAGAAAAAGGTTCAGCAAAAGCAAATTAAATACCGATTTTGATTTCCAAATTTTTCCAGTTTTCAAAGTTTTCGAAGATGTAGCCCAAGACTACGACAAAATGAATGATACCTTATCGTTGGGCGTTCACAGATTATGGAAAGACTATTTTATGTGGAAATTGGACCCGGTTCATAATACGAAACTATTAGATGTAGCAGGAGGCACAGGTACAAATAAATGCAACAATTATATTTTTTTCCAAACTTCAGAAAAACGTCACTTTGTTAACCCCTGTCAAGATGTCAGAAACTTCATTTAAGTTCATTTCTATGCTGCTAGGAATATCCAGCGGGTTAACAACACCTGTCGAGGTGGTAGAAATTCAATTTCTATGCTGCTTGGCAACCCCAACGGCAACAAATAGTTATTTATGATATAAGTGTTAAAAGTACATTTTTAAGGCACGCATGTGAAAGTTTGCAGAATGAGCGAAGCGAATTCTGCAATTCACATAAGTGCCTTAAAAATACTTTTAACACAAATATCATACAATATTTTTTCTACAAACGGCCATAAAAAGCAATAACCAGTAACAAATTGGATTTTTAAATGAATAATAAATTGGAAGCATCTTTCCTACATGAAATTATTGAATTTGACATCCAAACAACCAGCACCTTGTTTTACAGGTAATGAAATGTCTTGTCAGTTTCTTGGAAGTCTGTCGTGGTCAGTACTGCTTTTTGCTTAAAATGCAACAAAATACAGAAGAAAAAGAGGGTTGCATCGATCCCTTGAAAAATATACATGAGGCGGCCAATCGGGCTACCTCAGTTGTTCAAATTTCACCATTAATATCAATGTAAATAACTAAAAATACAAACTTTTTTTGACGTTCGCTCTCAAAATTTGATGTTTCATTTTTAACACTAGTGCTATAAAGACTTTATGGCACTAGTGCGATAAAGTAACATTTTTAATGCTTCGGGGGGGTGTTAAAAATTGCATTTTTAACACGTTTGTAGAAAATAGTTATTTATGATATAAGTGCTAAAAGTGACATTTTATTTTGTGAAAAGGAAAGTTTGGGACACGACGCCGAAGGCGGAGTGTTCCATCCCTTTGAACAAAAAAAATCTCTTTTTTAGCACGAATATCATACACTATTTTTTCTACAAAAGCACTCAGTGCTAAAAGTAATCACTTTTAACACCAGTGTCATAAAATGGCATTTTAGACACTGACAGCATCCATTAAAAATGACACTTTTAGTGACGTTTTTGCGGCCGCTACACAGTCCGCGAAACTATGAATCAAAATTTGATGACACTTTGACAATAACAAAGAGTAAATTTTATTTCCAAATTCTTCAGAACAACATAAATTATTTGGGATAAATATTACCACTTTTGTGACACTTTGCGTTATTACTAATATTTACTCCTGAAGCTGAAGCAACTAATAATCCAGTGTTTTTGAATTAAACTCTCAAAACTTTCCATTTCTGTATTAAATAAGCAAATATGTTTTCAGACACCATTTTGACGTTTTGTTTGTCACACCAATTTTTGAACCCGCAGTAACAATTTTCATATTGCCGCTTAGTTTTCCAGGTATTAACTCAGAAATAGCTGATTGAACCATGCTTTTTAGCTCTGGAGGAGTGCAGGAAAGTAAAATATCAGTATCGCTTTCGGACATCTTCATGATTTTTTGAGAACCGTCAAAAAATTTTGTGTATTTGTTTACTAGGAAAATATGTCATCCATGACATCCATAGAAACGCTGTGCCACCATAGCCACCAGGTTATACATCAAATTGGTAGTTAGTTCCACATGTTTGTTGAAAGGAGTATATTTTTTCTGTAATTTCACATAATTTTCATGGTTGCACAAAAAATAGTGTGTATACCGTGACCGCGAAACTTTTTAACGTCCTCGAGATTATCTTGCCTCGGCGATAACTTTTCTCTACGTACGCTAAAAGGCACTTCGCGGCCTTGGTATACAAATAACTATTAGTGCCGCTTGTACTTTTACTGCTGCTCAACCATCTACTTGCCCCCGAGCTTACCCCATTTGTTTGGAGAAAAAATAGCGTGTTGCATACGGAGTAGAAGCACTTTTTTGTGCTTCAGCAGTATTGCAAGCCTCACTACGTTCGGCTCGCAAACCTACTGCTTCAGCACAAAAAAAGCAAAGCTTCTACTCCTAATACAACAATATACTATAATGTCATTGTTTCTTGTTTTTTTTTTAGGTGATATCGCTTTTAGATTTGTAAACTATGTTAATAAAACTAATATGAAAGACTGTCATGTAACTGTGTCTGATATAAATCCTCATATGTTGGAAGTAGGGAAACAGAGGTGTAAATCGTTAAATTATAGTCCTGATATGATAAGTTGGAAAGAAGGTAAATGAACTTTTTTTTTTTTTTATAGAAGTATTGTAATTTGTCTTCTGTAAATTTTCAGCCAATGCAGAAGAACTTCCCTTTGAAGACAACACATTCAACGCCTACTCTATTGCTTTTGGTATTAGAAACGTGACACACATTGATAAAGCTCTAAGCGAAGCCTATCGAGTGTTAAAACCTGGAGGTCGATTTATGTGTTTGGAATTCAGCCAACTGGAAAATTCTGCTGCTCAATGGTGAATTTATAGTTTTTTTTTTCTAACGGACAAACCTCAGAAACAAGCTAATAACTTCTTTTTAGGTTGTATGATCAATACAGCTTTCAATTAATCCCAGTGTTGGGGCATTTAATTGCTGGCAAATGGAATGCTTATCAGTATTTAGTGGAGAGTATAAGGCAATTTCCTGATCAAGTAAGAATCTGTGAGAAACACCGAGGGTTACTTGATTAGTTTATTTTTTTATTAATAATGAAATTGGCATATTGGTTAGCTAATTATTTGTATCTAAACTTCAAGAAAATCTTGACATGAAAATTCCCGATTCGATTAATTAACCTTTCAAAACAAAAATTGCACCCTGTATAAACAGGAACCAGAAATTTATTAATTTAGCAACTAAAATAATCAATTATTTTAAGAGACTTCCAATTGGCTAATTTTTAATTTTTTCCAGGAAACTTTCAAAAACATGATTGAAGAAGCTGGTTTTCGTGTGGTCGACTACGAAAACTTAACCATGGGTATGGTGGCAATACATTCAGGCTTCAAATTGTAAATATTTATTGTTGTTGTAGTTTGTAATATGGCGAAAAAAAAAATAATAATAATAATAAATAATTTCTATAATCGAATTATTAGTTGCAATTATCCAATATAAAATTAAATATATTTTAATGATACAATGAGCAAATAAAAATTGAAACCTATAATATAAAATAACCAAAAGCTTTAGATCTAAATAAACAATTATTTATACTTAACATTAATAAAAACATTTGTTTTGAATAATTTAATTCTTTTTATACTCTATTCTTTCGACTTTGACGTCATCTCCAACAAGTTGGTATACATACGTAACCACGGTGGTATTTTGGATATCCATTAAAACAAAAGATGGTGTTATGGTCCTGGAACAAGAATATTTAAATCAAAGAAATAGTATATCTGATGAGCGAAAAATTGCGCTAAATCTCAGTAGTAAAATCTTTGGGTGGTTGACGTTTTTAGTAGTCAATTACTCATTTTTTCACTGGTTTGTTTCCAATGTCATATAAGTTGAAAAACTCTAATGCTTCTGAATCTTTCTAATAATCTTTTGAAGGTTTTTGCAACCATTTCTGTCGACCCAAACCTTTAAATTAAATCCAACTAGTTAATATACTTACGAATCTAATGCATTATAACTTCCTGTAGCACTGCCAGGATTGATATAAAATTTATTTTCATGCTCGTAAGCCTCAAACTTATGTGTGTGGCCTGATATCAAAATGTCTACATCTAGTTGCCTTTGAATAAGGGCTAGAAAAAAACAAAAAAAATTTAACAACAAAAAAATAAAATAAAATTTACACAAAGGAGGAAAGTTTCATAAAAATTCTCTAAACGGTTGGTGTAATCTACTCTAATTGAAAGTAAATTTGCTTTATCCTGTATAGTTTTAGAGAAGATATTCAACAGGGATACATATAACTTCAAGTACATTGGGACTTGGGAAACCATTAAATATACAGGGTGGACCAAATAGGGAAAAAGTTGTGCAATTAAGTGTCTACAAATAATCTCTGTCATCAAGTTCTTTGAACTTGAAATATACAGGGCAAAAAGAAAAAAGTGCCTATTATTTTGGAATTCAAATTGCCTTTGGGTTATTCTGGACTCCCTGTATAGATATAATATAGCAAAATATTAAAATATAAATACATACCCAATGCTTCTGGATCACCCCAAGGTACGACTTGATGTCCGTGTGACAAGCCAATACGAAATTGCCCCACAGTAACAACTTTCTGTTCTGGATAGTTTAAATTCTAAAATAAGCATTTCATAATAAAACCACACCACATAATGATAATAGGTAATTATTGTGATCTTACATCATCGAAATCGCCCCTTACAACGTGAACATCCACCGCCAACGTTTTCAAATAGTCGTAGGATTCTTTTGTACACAAGTTGCCAGTACACAAAATGTGTTGTATCCGGCCTGGTACCAGGAGTTTTTTGAATTTCGCTGGCAGACTACTACATCTATGCGGAATGTGTAAGTCGCCCAAAACCAAAACGAGCTATAAACAATAATTACATTTTTGTAATTAGTAACTATGTTTTCAGTAGTTTGAATTTATGCTATGCAACTTACCATTATGATTATAAATACTTAGGTATTTTGCTTCTTTAAAATATTTTCTCAATTACTTATTAAAAAACAACTTTAATTAACAAATCAACCTGGGAAGAAGGCCGGAGGGGTGTTTTGTTGATTTTTATTTATTTATATGTCACAGCACTGTCACATCATGTCTTATTTTTACATGTCAAGAGTGACAGAAGGAGAATCAGCCTTGGAGTGCGTTCGAAATCAGTCTGGGCATCACACCGAGTGCACACCAGGGTTGCGTTCAGAAATAGCACTCTGGGTGTGAGAGTGACCATAGAGTAACTCTAAACCCTAACCGTTCATAAATTAACAGTGAATACTCGGAGCGTTACGCTGGAATCGTTCAAAAAACGCGAGTTGACGTGCCCAGAGTGCGCCCAAATAACCTCACTCAGGGACTGGGTAGGAAGACGCCCCACGGTTTTTACATAGGTTTTTACTTCAAGGGGGTGTGCGCCAAAAAAACTTCATCTCAAAAAAAGAGAAAAAAAATCTAAGAATAACAGTGAAAACCGCACCCCTCTATGACAAATAATACCGAAGACAATATGGCTCTATGAAGGTACCGAATCTCACCCTATGACGTCACGAAAGCTCAAGCGACGCACGAGAAATTGAAGTAAATTGAATTTACATATGTTTTTCCTGTGTCACCTGCAATAATCTAAACAAAAACCACTCACGCCTTCCAGGAACAATCAAATTAACAATGCGGAGCGCGGCTGGACGAAGCTCTCGTGACGTCACACACACTTTAAAGCGGTATATCTCAGCGATGGTTTATCGTAGAATAACGAGGTTTGAACAGTTATTTTAGATTTTTTTACACTAAAACTTTAAGTTTTGGCGCACACCCCCTTTAACCGAATTTTCGCGACAAACTACTTCCATGATTTCATGAACACAAACGCTTTCGCGAGAAATTCATGACGTCATATTGAACGTAATTCGTAATTCGCTGGAAGCATGGACGCTTGTAGCCAGAGTTCGAATTCACGACTTTACAATATACGAACTATTGATGAACTAACATTTATCGCGAAAATTTGGTTGTAGGTTTGACGTGTTTCATGACATGGCTACGTTCACCAGAACCAAAACGCATTGTAAACATTTTACAAATACCAACAGAATACGTTGGGTAAATTCTTGGTTCTGCTGAACGATTTAACTTTTCGATAGAACGTCACCCTATGTAATGTCACCACAGTTGAGTTTGGAATGGGATTTTGAGTGCAATGTTCATGTAGTGCAAGGTTATACCACGTGATGAAGGTGTAATCTGTGATGTAACACCGAATACACCATCATTTTGTACCGAGTAGACGGTTTCCCACCATCTTTACACCATTCGGGTACCAAGCCAAGTTATTTCCAAACGCAAATAAAGTGTACACAAATTTCTCCTATTTACCAACTAACGAACGCTAAAATGTCAATAGTTATATTCCTTTCAAGAGCTTAGAACACTAGAGCTACTCGCTTCGGTGAGTCGCCCCGATTTGAAAGGAACAGATGCGCAGGTTTTTCATGCATTTAAATGGTTTAGTTCGGGCTCCAGTACTCAGGTGCAGCAAACACTTTTCGAAAGGAATAAGCGCGTAACGCCCCGGAGCTGTTCCGGAGGGTGTGAAAGGAATACAACTAATAGTGTAAAAAGTTTCGATATCCACTTTGTATCATTCGGAACTCACCTCACACAAAACACAAATAGGGTGTTCATTTGTACTGCTTTTCTTGCTTCAAGCAGATTGGCGTTCACTTTTCCTATATGTTAGCTCATAAATAGCAGCTCCTAGCAGATCTTTCTAATTTTCGAGCAGGTAGAGCAAGTACAAATGAACAGCCTAAAAGTGTTGAAAATTATAAACACTCTTAAATTATGTTTTTGGTTTCAACACAAATTCAACGTAGCGTTCAGCAGAACAATCTCAAAGCGTTTATTAACGTTTGTATCTGGTGAATACGGCCCCAACCTGTGGTGCAAACAGCCTACGCCAAAGCGGAAACGTCATGCTGCTACGTCACAACTGGTGATTTGGCGTGGTGGGGGGCTTTAGCTTAACGTCTATGCGGTGTACCATCCCGAAACACGCTACCTACCATCTAATTTCAAGCTAATCAGGCCAATGATGTATCAGTTTCTATTATTTTAACATCAACGTTAAGTTATCTGTCACTGTTCATTCTATACATCAAAATAGAGACAGAAATAGATGTTGAGCCTTAACACAGCCGTTAAAATAACAGGATAGGATACATCATAGGCCTGATTAAATGGACTCAAAAGCTGAGTTCTGGATCTACCCTTTTTTACTCTACTCTGACTACTCTGAACGGAGTAAGATTAATTGCGTTCGGCCCGGGTATTAGAAATTCCAAATAAATCTAAAATCCCCCGCTAACCATTTATTTCAAGCCAATGAACTCTAAAGGCACTTGTGCGAGAAAACCCCACGTTTCCGCACGCCTTTTACGTCATGAACGTATCTATTTTCCGCACTAGTGCGAAAAAGTAAAAATATCTAAAATTGGTAGGTATACAGGGTGTCCGGAATAACTTGAAGTACATGGAGATTTTGGAAACCATTGAAGATACAGGGTGCACCAAATATGGAAAAGTTCCGCAATCAAGTGCCTACCCTAAAAAAATTTGTCATCAACTTCTTTGAACTCGGAATAGCAAATGGATATATAAGGCAAAAAAGGTAATGTTGTACAATACAAGGATTTTATAGAACGCACTTTTTTCTTTTTTGTCCTACATGCGTTGCTATTCCAAGTTCAAAGAAGTTTATGACATATTATTTTTATAGGCACTTGATTGCGCAACTTTTTTCCTATTTAGTCCACCCTGTATATCTTCAATGGTTTCTAAAATCCCCATGTACTTCAAGATATTCCGGACACCCTGTATAGTTGTAAATATAACTTTCATCTCCTAGACAAAATAGTACGTATCTACATACATGAGTCATTGTTATAGTAATTTTGATTGCAGACCATAGTTAGAAAAAGAAACATCTATTACCAGCGTTGCCAAGCCTAGGAAAACTTTTTTAGATCTAGGGAATTCTGTTGTAAAATAGAGAACTCTTTTCCATGTAATGGCAAATATCACAAACATTTTATTATCTGGCTCCTATAATAATTGTCTATGGACATCTAGAGACTTAGTTATAAATCTAAGGAAATAGAGAAAGTTAAACTGGCAACATTGGTGAGCACCTGAGCAGAGCAGGGTGTTTATTTTTTTGTGTCTCACTTAGAAATTGTTTATCGTTTCCTATTAAGAGTGTCCAAACTGATATAAGGGTGTCCCATGTTGTCTGTTTGTTTCTACATAGATTCCAGTGGTGCAGTCAGTTTTTCTCTAGTAGTGATAGTTTTTAAATTACAAACCAAACATCCATTTTTTTTTCAAATGAGACACCCTGTATATTAATAACTTTTTGGATAGTTTTGCTTTTGCTGATATCAATAATACTTAATATGATATCTCTGTAATAAGAAATACATATGAAAATGATGAGGAAGGTCTCTTTTTAACACAGTTTCTTAAAACAAAAACAGATATAATTTTTTCAACAACTGTTAGAGATAAACCAATTATATTTTCGATTCAGAAACTTGTATTTTAAAAAACATTTATTTTATTGATTAAAATACAGAGATGACAAAAGAAAATATTCGGATCAAATTGCTACAGGCTAAAGCCAGAAAACAAATGAACGCTCCTTATGGGACTGCATCGGCTTAAATAAACATTTAATGCCGACATAGCAATTTGATGTTTACTTTACAACAATGTATTTAAAAAGTCATAGAGGAAAGGGGTAAGCACATTAAAGCATATAAAAAATAGATAATTGATTATAAATCAGCGTGGCAATTGGTTAATATAACTAACCTATCGAACTTTATATCATTGAAATCAGCAAAAGCAAAGTTATACAATGAGTAACAAATTAATATACAGGGTGTCTCATCTGGAATAATATATCTTTGGTTTATAATTTCAGAATTATCACGTCTGAGAAAAACTGACTACACCACTGAAATCTACAAAGAAAGATTCTCACATTTCCGATCACTTATGAGAGCTGAATTACAAGGGCTGTACCGCGTACCGAAAATATAAAATGTAAAAAAAATATAACAAAATCAAATAAGCAGGTCAAAAAATTATATTTAAAATGACAATTGAAGAAATACATTTTAGTAACTAAAAAATACCAAAATCCCAAACATCAATAATAAAATACATAATATAAATAAGTAACAAACACATAAAAAACAAATAACAAAACAACATGAATTTTAAATTGTTTTTTCAAGTCTTAAATTTACTCTATAAAATTGTAGAAAGGTCAAACATTTTAAAAACTTTAAAAAATATAGGTAAAGTATGTATAACAAATTTTGGTTTCAATTGGCAAAATGCATTAAGAGATTGAAATTATTTTCTTGGAATGTTAAATGATAAAATTAAAATTTCTGGAAAGATTTTATAAATGCAACAGGTTACTATAACGAGCCTAAACTTTAAAAAGCTATTTGGCGAAGACCACCACATTTGGCGGGAAAATAAATGATTAATAATTACAAACTGATCACTCTCGCACCCTACTTGTTTATTTCTTAAATTAAGGCCAGAATTTATTAAACAAATCCATAAAGCTGTCGTATATCATGAAAGTAATGGCAACGTCCAAGCACACCCTACCTAACCTAGGTACTGTGCCTTTATAAAAGGCAGAAGGGCCTTCGTTTTTCCAAATTTGCGAGGCACAATCCAAAGTATTTTTGTATTTGCTGGCTTCCAGACCTTGCATTCTGGTCTTGACTACGTCCAGTGGTGTGTTGCCAAAAACTGATGTAGCTCCTGGACAAAAAAAAAACTTTATTCAATAGCATACAGCATGAGTTTCTTATCAAATCAAAACTGATTACCTGAATCTAACAGAAACAAAAACTTAGCAATTGTCCTAATCTTATACGTAAAACTATAAGATAGGAAAAATTATTGAAAATACCATATTGATCTAATATGTTTGACTTACCTGCTACTGCACCAAACATTCCTACTAAATACTTAGGAACAGGCTTCTTTTTGTCTTCTCCCTTATACAAATCCTTAAGCGTCTCCATAACAAAGAACCTCATAGCCTGATTACTACCCTGTTTCATTATGGTGGCAGTCAACCCCTTATACACACCACCAATACCTAAAAACAAATCGATCATAAAATTTTGATAATCACAAAAAAGATTCACCTACCTTGTTCTTTGATAATAAGTCCTACTCCATGGAAAAAGCCTCTGAATCTAGGGTTACCGCTCCTTTGGTCGTTGATGAACTTAACTTTAACAGTTTCCATTGGAGTGACGGCAAAAATTGCCTCGCAGACGCCCGCACCCAAACCACATAACAAACGGTTAGCAATTGATAATGAACCATCTGGTTCTACAACTAAACCTTTGAAAGTCTCAAAAGATCCAAATCTAAAAAAAACTTTTATGTGTATACATGTGTGTACATAAAATTTTCTATATACCATAAGAATATTAATAAAACTTTATATAGCATTATATGGAAATGTCATTACCTACCGCACAGCACTCTTAGGTATGGATCCATAGAGCAAGACGCTCAAACCTCTGTAAAGACCAAAAAAACCATGGCTTTTAACAGTTTTTTTGACACAGTCAGCAATTCCGTCGTATTTTTTTGCAGCTCCTTTTTCGTCCAATTGCAGTTGAGTCTTCACATATTCAGTCGGAAAAGTTATACAAATTTCTATACCACCAGTTATACCACCTAAAAATTTATTATTTTTATGTACCGGGTGATTGTCTATATTTTGCACCCACACCTATCTCACCTGTTTGAAGAGATACCCAGAAATGTCAAATGTGAAAGTTATAGGTAAGATCAGAAAGTTTTCAATGATGTTAGTTACAAGTACACAGGGTGTGTCGCAAAAGTGTGGCGAAGCAAATTTATATATATACAGGGTGTTCCACGACGTTTTTCCCAGGTAATAACTTCGGAACGCACCATCAAATATAATTGAAATTTTGAGGATCTGGATAACTTTTTGTGCAGCTTCTACCATTTTCATCCAACTTCACCACTTTCACTCCAATTTCGATCGAGTGACGTCAACTTTCGAATTTCAAATGTAACTCATGGTATATTATGGCATTTTTCGTTAGAAAATTAAATTACAAAATCAGCAATGCCATATTTGTTAAGGCTTTGTTAAAGAAAATGATGAAAAATTATACAGTAGAACATACGATTATGCGTTCCGAAGTTATCATTTGGGAAAAACTTCGTGGGACACCCTGTATTATTGTCCGATTGGATTAGCCTTTCGAACCTGATTCCAAATATATTTGTTTTTTTAGGATTATTCCTCATAGACCAGGAGAAAATAGGACAAAAAGGGGTGGAATACAAAAATACATGACATTCAAAAATGAGGAACAACTATGTGGGAACAACTCTGTCGGAACAACTAATGGCAATGACAAAGACATGATAATTGCGATAGTAGTTTGATACCATGAGAGGATATATCAAATATGGTTGTGTACACCGATTTATAATTGATAGTATTACCTGCAATGATGCCCTTCAATCCTTTATGACCAGTACCGACCGCTGAAGCCGGTTTAATGATATTTGGCGAGCTTGGAGGGTCCATGTTGGTTTTGTTGCAGGGCGTCTAAGAGTGCTTAAAGCTAATAAGACATTCACCTGAAACAAAGAAAACATCCTATTAAAAATCACTCAACTTGAGGAAATTTGTACACTAAGAATTTTAACGCGACTTCGCAAGCTGAAAATAAGACAGTGACTTATGATTTAGGTACAGTGGGTTCACCATACTTTTAGCTCGACGGTAGCAGACAATAAATGGACATTTTACTGGTAGGAAAATACAAAGTTTAGTCTTCTTCGGTTTTCTTAAAATAGCCTTCAATACACATAAACCATAGAGACATGAACCAAAAAACTATGCCCTTCTGTCGGGGCTGAAATAACCTTGTAAATGTCATGTATGGATGATGTATGATTGTATGATGGAAACAGTGTGTCAATGTCATCATCTCTGATGTCATCAGTGTCCGGCCACAGGGGCCACAGCGGCCACACAATATACTTTTCCCACATAACGTCGAAGAGGCTTCTTTGTACTGTAAGTCACAATAACCCAACTGCCAATTTGTTGTGGACTGGAAATGGAAATATCATCTTATTCCATCATCACTCTTTTCTGCTTCTACCAGCTCTCGTACAGACTTAATATGTCGCATCTTGATCTCATTGCTACTGCTATCTTGCTATTTTTCTCTGTACTTTTTGCTGTGTCTTACTCTCTTCATTGAGCTTCTACCCTAAAATATTTTCTTCAAGCAGTATTTAGAGCCAAATTATGGACTAACTGGTAAGTGTCTGGTTTACTTTCTATTCTCTAGTGCATAGAAAGTACCTGCTAGGTAACAACCAGACGTTTACCAGTCACTCCATAAATTGGCCCTTAAGCTACTAGTTCCAGGCTGCTCTTTGTTTATATTAGAAGATGTCCCAGGTTCTGTGGATGCGAGGTTTTTTTTTTGGAATTATTCCATGTTCTATTGAGACGAAAAAGCACAAACAACTGGTTACCATTGCTGCTGATACCAAGATATTTTCAACTGCATTTTACATTAGGACATTAAATAAAAACGCAAGTGGAATAGGAATAAGTATAAGATATCCCAATACATGAAACAACAATAATTATTTTACCATGAGTATATAATCTGAACTTACAATTACTTCAGGTCTACTGGAAGATTTTTTTAAAATAAATAAACTTTCACCTCCTTACCAAAATTTTAAAATATCACTAAGCACCTATTTTTGAGAATCAAGATGAGATAAAACATCAATAGTACTTAATCACAGAGTCTTAAAGAATGCTTGGTTTTACGCTACGTTTACCTCATACCCGTAAAAACATTATGTTAATGAAATAGAACAATACTCACCCGATTAAAGGTCGAAAACTTATAAAACTAGTCTAACAAATAATATGTAAAACGTTTGAAGGACGTCACAACCTTGCCTGCCTGATGACTGTGGTAACAGTATACTTCAATAAAATAATGATTAAAGATTACAATATTTTCTTATCTCGTCTGTTTATGCATGATAACGCAATGATTTTTGAGTTATTTATGTAATAATTTTAGGAAAATTTTATCTCAGTATGCTTTTCTCATGATGTTATCATCATACATCGGCATGAAGGCAAAGACACCAGTTTTTCTTTTAGTACAATTATTAGCTAACTACTTAATGCAGGCATTCCAGCTGTGAACACAATGTACGATTGACGATATTTAATTAATTTTTCTATTGGATTGTGTAATCTTATAAATGTCTGGAGGCAATGAGAAAAGTTGTTTTTTTGTTTATGTGCTATTTTATTACACGCAATAAAATGTTTTCTTTTAATGGATACAGCTGGAAACTCCAAACCAAACGATTTATATGAGTTATATATAAAAAACATATTTAAGAAATTATTCTTGGCAAAATTTCACCTGGTTACGCTAGAGTTTCCATAAAATTCACAAAAACATCTTCACCAAAACATGAAATTAAAAGTTTTTCTAAGTTCTAACCTCCAATCAAACCCATTGATTAAAGAAAAATAAATAAAACACGACAAACAAAACTCTCATGTTTTCTCAGGGCCAATCAAAACAAGGTACTGTTGCCAAATTCGATAAAAGTCTTTTAAAATTAAGAAATCTAAAACCGTAAATGCTTAAAAATATTCATTATTGATTGTGCTTTATATTAATGTACGATTCATCATAGGCTAAGGATTTATTCTATGAATAAAAAAAAAACGTAATTTCTCAAAAATCGGGTTTTATTTCAATAATTAAGACTTATGTGATTGCACATCTTGGCAACGCTGATCAATAACTATCGACCCACCCAAAAAGTCTTCGCCAATGTATCAAGAATATTGTATCAACTTTACATACTTTGATTTCTTAATTTTTGTTCTGTAAAATCTGAAACATAAAATAAGTACCTACACCTACGTCACCTACTACTCAGACAGCACACAAAGTCTGGAAGACGTCTTTTTTAGGTTTGCATTACGTCTGAACACTAAAGACCAAAAGAAGACCTTGTCCATCATAAGATGTCGTAAATTCACATCTTACAAGACAACTAGGGTCAGTGTGCTGGTTTTCGACCAGTTAACTGAAACTTCCACTTCAAAACACGATAAAAATATGTCTAATTAAAATATATTAATAAGACTAAGATTTTCTAAAAGTCTGAAGATTTGCGAATTCAAATTTTATATATTTTTTTAATTTTTGTTCGATGAAATGTGTAATTTTAGTAAAAATATGAAAAAAGTGCCATTTAGCTAGTTCTCGACCACTGGTCGCAATTTCCGACCATTTTTGGGTTGGTTTTCGACCACCTTTTAACAAGCATAGAAAGCTATAATAAATCCTACCTAGGTAGTAAAAAAAAAATAGCAGTAGTATGAAATGAAATTTTATTTTCTAAAAGGCAGTTTCTTATAAAAAAAAAATAGGAACATAAGTTTAAACGAGAATAAACGGATTATTACCTATGAAAAAACTTATAGGATTAAAAAAACAATAATAAATTCTCTTTTAATTAGGTACTATACCTAGTACCCATAAAGACAAGGACATAAAAAATTAAAAAAAAATATGAAAACAAAACAACTCAAAATATAAAAATAAATAAATAAAAATCTATTACAAAAGGGCAGTTCTTATTAAAACTAAAATTAGAATATTTAAAAATATGGAACTGCTAAAACTAAAAAGTTTCAATAGGCTAAGTATCTACCTATCTACCCCTATTTTAAATTAACGAAAAATATGAAATGTTTAGATTTGATGAAATTAAATTAGCATTGACTACATTTATAATCTTTGAACGGCGACAATCACATAGGGATTAGGGAGTATCAACAAATTCGGTAGGTACACTTTTTGTGAAAGCATTTTTCACAAAAGTCACAGCCGATGTTTTTCTTATCTTCATCCTCTGTGTCACTATAAAGATCTTCTTGGCATAATGAAGAGGATACTTTAGATTTGGATGAGGTGAGTTTTTGAGTATTTTTTATTTTTTTCTTTTTGAGAGTTTTCTGAACTTTTTTTTTGAATTATTTTCTTTTGTCATTTTCCATTTTTCTTTTCTTCGGGCTACCTATACTTGTTTTTTTTATGGATTTCGTCTTTCTTTTTATTATAGTATTCTCTCCATTTTTCAGAAGCAATTGCACTAGGGGTTTTCTCTCCTTTAGGTAAAGTTTTTTTTTTTTTTTAAGACAAAAGTCATAATGACATTATGTTGGCAATACAATGTAAAATTGGCAATGCTTTCAAATTTTGTATGTAGAAAAGGCTTTTGTTGCCAACATAGTTACAAAATTTTTGACTTGGGGAATTATCTTTAAAAAAAAACGGACTTTAAGTGAAGTTAAAAAAAAAATTATGTGGACGAAAACTAGATGAGAAGAAATTATTTAAATAAAATCATGTTGGTTCGGCGTCCAGAGTTTCTCATTAGAAAAACATGCTGGTCGAAAATCAGATCCATATTTAGATGTTCGACCACTTGAAACTACAGTGGACGAGAAATGGACTATAATAAGCTAGTTTCTCGACCACATATTTTTGCAAAATCTATATCCAATTTTCTTCGCAATATTTAAATGAAAAGTGGTGGTCGTAAACTAAAAAATAAAAATTATATTCAATATTCAACTAACAATTAAAAACAGAAAGTCATCGCGACTTTTCTAAATATTATTATATGAATTGAAAATGGACGACTTGAAACTCAGTTCTCGACCACCCCGGTCGTAAACTAAATTCTGATATATTTTGTATATTAGTTCCCGACCAACAAAAATTTTATGTAAAAAATTGTTTCACACTATATTTTATTCGTAAATTCGATAGAAAAATTAACCTACTATAACATAAAATCAATTGGTGAAAGGTCTTACATTCAAGAAGAACAATACTTACTATTTTCTACATCACACACACATACACTTTTTATAGATATAATGCGTAAACAACAACCCCCTTGACAGCGACTATTCAAATGAATTTTGAAGGCGAAACCGTTTATCGCCTATTAAATCTCAATGGTATTTTAGATTGGGAAAACTGTCTGGCAGCCATTTCAGCATTTATTGGACAAGAACGAGTGCATATTTACTATTTATTCCTGATTAAAGGTGAATGTGGTCGAGAACTAGTAATGGTCGGCAAACCAGCGCAGTCACCCTATTTAATGGAACCACCTGGCCTAAAAGTGAACAATGGTTTATTATATACAGGGTGTTCCGGATGAGTATTTACATTCTCATTATCCAGATGAATGCCATTCTATACAGTAGCATGATTTGTATATGTGAAACGCGCGTATGTTTACTCTAAATCATATCGCGATACAGAGTTTTATTTATATATTTATTTATTGGTGGCGATACAAGTAAATGTTTACACACGTCAAAAAAAAGTAATAATAATAAAACATTGCATAGGAATAAGTAACAGGGACAATGAATAACATGAATAATAAATAACATTAATTTAAGACATGTCCACAATTAAAATATTCCTCAAAACTATAGAATGCTTTCTTAATTAAATACATTCCCTAATCCTAGTTTTAAACTGCCTTGGTGGTAGATTTCTTACTGCACCAGGAAGTTTGTTGAAAAATTTGATGGCCAGGTACCTAGGGCCGTCCTGACACCTCTTTAGTCTACAATACCCCGACACTAGGTCATTTTGATGTCGAGTATCATATGAATGAACACTACAGTTTGTTACATACTGGTACTCATTTTTCTTGAAATAAAGTAAGCACTCCAAGTCCAAGTCCTTGCGTATTCTGTAAACGAATAGAAATAGACATAGAGAATAGATAGACATAGACAGGAAATATAAAAAACTAATTCTGTAAGCATCTTTCCAAGTTGATTCACTCCAATCCAAGTATGATATAGACAGATGGCAATGTCATTATACGAAGCTGATGGAAAGCAACCCTGCAGTCATCCCTGTAACCCAAACCCTGCATTATTCTAACAGCCTTTTTTTGGAAATGAGGAAAACCACCTATTTGAAATAGTATTTCTTTAAATCTTAACTTTTTAAAAAAACTTTTACTGAATAGAAGTAAATATTGCAACCATGTACTGCGCCACGAAGTTTAGGTTTAGGGGAGAACGAGTAGTATCGCACGGAAGAAGGTAGAAGGCGACGAGAAGATAGAGAAGACGCTTGGACCCATTATTGCTTGGGCTGGTACCTTAATACCGTTGGTCCACCATTGTTCATTATTCAAACTTTATTTTTATTTTGTATTAAACTGATTGTTCAATCGAATTTGTGATTGGAGCATTCACAGGTCAGTTGATTAATTATTATTTTGTTTTTGAGAGTTCAATTTATAGAAGTATCATATTTTAATTTTTATGTTTTTTTGGTTTGTTTAATACGTTTTTTTATAACATGTGCATTGTTCATATATTTAACAAAAATAGTTTCATGCTGTAAACAACACAGATAAAGAAGTAAATAAAACCTAAGAAATTATATGCTGTCTTTTTGTGCTGAGATTTTGATTTTGTGCATCCAGAACGTGCATTAAGGCCTTGTTGAATTTACTAACATTTTCCTACCCTGACGAGCGAATATCCTACCAAACAAAGGAAAGAGATATTGGCTCAAAATAACAACTATAGCTGGGTAGCATCTCGTATGGGACCTCAGTACCCTCCGGCAGACTGGCTAACTAACAAAAAACTCTTCAGTATTGATTATAGGTAGTGTTGATTGAATGTAGTGTGTGTAATTAAAATTTTAGCACAAGAACAGGGGCGGTACCTAGTTTCAACTTTTATTGAATTAATGACTCACAATTATTATTAAATCGAGGGTTTCTCTGCCGTGCTCTTTCCCCTCGTTAGTTCCAGGATGAGAACGGTACGATTTACGTTAATAATAAAGTAGACATTTCACAAATTTTTCGTTTCTTTTACACATCACAACTTCCCCTAAATTTCCCAAATATTTGCTATGTCGGGCGCATGTTCCTTCCAATCTTACTGAACGAACCCGCGGGTATGTTATACTACAGAGACCAAAGAATCTCTTAGATTGGGCTGCATACCCCCATGCGAAAATGGAATAGGTCATTGTGGAATGAAACAAGCTTAAGTAGGCTGTTCTTAGAGTATCAAGGGATACAGAATTCGAGAGGCTGCGAAGCATATATAAATATTTTGCTAACCCAGCTGTTACATTATCAATTTGGGCATCCCAAACCAGACCCGGATCAAGCTGGACGCCCAGGAACCTTACTCGCTGAACGATATTGACATCACCTACGTCTCTCAGGGAAAACACCAATCTCTCCGTCTTATTCTGATTTAAAAGTAGCATATTTGATGCAAACCAGGTCTTGACCCTTCTCTCCACCATTGCAGACTCCTTGACGGCTTCCTTAAGTGTAGATGCCGTGAGGGATATTGTTGTGTCATCGGCAAAGAGTGTGAACTTAGCATTTGGAGCCATTAAGGGTAAGTCGTTTATATATATATTAGGAAAAGAATGGAACCCAAAATAGACCCCTGTGGGATCTCAACAGTTATGTCGCTCCTGGCCGATTCCACTCCTCCAACCCTCACTGCCTGAGCTCTATCAGACAGGTACGAACTCAATAAAATTAGGCTATTATGATCAAAAGAGTATGCTTGAAGCTTCCACAGGAGAAAGTCATGGGAGACGCAGTCGAAGGCCTTACTAA